AACGTAGAAATATACATTTCCTTACTATAATTATATTATTAATCTCTTCTAATTACGGAGCGAACCTTTACCTTTAATAACCGATTATACTTATTAAATTTATATACGTATACTTATATATAATCAAAGATTTAAAGACCTTTAATACGGAGAACGTTTTCGTCGATTTTAACCTATAACTTTATTTCTTTATAGCTATCGAAATATACTTCCTACATTTATTTATAAAGATTACTTAAATTATAATATTTAAAATCGTAGTAAATCTTTAGCATTAAAGGGAAATTTTAACATTTAATAAAATTTAATTTACTACCTTTACAAATTAAGTGGTTAATTTTTAGTTTCGTGATTATTTTACCTTACTACTACCTAATTAATGAAGTAAATCTCTTAACATTAAATATAATTTCTTATAGTTCGAAGGTTAGGAAGGAGATAAATTTTAATAAATTTATTAAAAAGCTAGTAATAAAAGTAGTTAATAACATATTTAATAATGTAACTAAATATACAATCGATAAATATTTTATTTTAAATAATAAAATCAATTAGTTTCAAAATAGTTTCGTTACTATCTTCTTAAAATTCATTATCAAAAAATAATGGTAGGAAAAAGGTAAAACCATTATTTTCTATATTTTAAGTTGTATTAAAGGGTTTGAAATATCGTATAGATAATTAAGGAGGTTAATTAATTGGGTTAAATAAATCAGTAATTTCGTTACTAATTAACTTTAATCCTTCTTTAAAATTATTAAAATTCCCTAAATAAATTAAATTTTAATTAAAAAATATATTACGGCTATAAATAATATAAGTAATCTATAAATTCTAAACTTAATAAATAGAGGAGGTAATATACCCGATAAAGAATCCGATTTAGGCCTTTAATTAAAGTTTTTTTACACTGTTACTCTTTCTTTTATACAGTATTTATTATTGCATATACTTTATAACCGTAAATACGTAAATAATTGAGGTTAGGCTTGTAGGGTTCGGTTTATACCCCTTTATAGTAGGTTACGAAGGTATAAAACCGCTCGTATAATAATTTCTAATTATAGAAATACTTAGGCAATTGGTTAATAAAGTACATTAAAATTAAAACGATTTAAAATTAGAAGTTATAAGGGAATTTAATACTATTTATTATTATACGCGCCTTTTCTTTAATTATACCCTCTAAACATTTAATACCGCTATTTTAAATTTAATTATTAAGTATTATAGGCTCAAAAATAATAAAACGTATAATTAATTTATATCTTTAATATATTAATTATTAAATTCATTATCGTATTGAATATATTTAACTTTAATGTTATATTAGTAATTAATTATATCGATAACCGAAAGGAATCCTTTAACGATAACTTTAATTATTCGATTTATTATATAAATATCCTAAATAAATCTAATCTATCGATAAATAATAAATATAACGTATTGAAAACTATTTCTCCCTACTTTATATTCGAAGAAATCGATGGCAAAACGCTTTTCCGTGCTAAATCCCCTATTTTATAATTTTCATTTAATTTATTATTTAATTTTTAAAATATTATACGCATCATATTAATAAATAACAGGCCCTTTAAATTTAACGCCCTCAACGTTATAAAAGTATTCGAAGATTTAAAGACCGTAGTAACTAAATTACTTATATTAGAATTTGGCGGGCATTTTATATACGCAACAGCTAATAAAGGAATTAAAGCGATTTCGATAAATAAAGAAAACAGCGCAATTGAAAGAAAAGGGTAAATATTTAAAGACTATTTAATAATAGATTTTTTAAAGGAAATAAAGGAATAAACCGTTTAATTAACAGAAGTAATTATTAAGCGGTTTATAATGCTAATAAAGACTTTACTTTTAAAATAAGCGTAATAATATAAAATTTATAGTAAAATTAGGGTAAAAAGTTACCTCTTTTAACTATAACCTTAGAACTCCCCTCTCTTCTTATATTTCTACGTTAATAGTCCCAAAACCTTTAATAAATATTTAAAATTCATTAACCTAAATTTAATCCTTTTAAGACGCTACTCAAAATAAAGAAAAACGATTAATTTTATTAAAAATATAAATAGAAGCCCCGGAATCGAAGATTATAAAATTCTTAAGTAAATAAATATTACCCTTACTACTATTCGTAATGAAAATACTTTATTTAATAAGGAATATTAAATTATAAATACTAATTTCTCGTCTCCTCTAATTTTTCGAAATAGTAATCTATATAAAAGTAATAAAGCAATCCTATATTTAATTCCTAACCTTCTTAACCTCTTTACTAACTTCGGAATATTTTTCAAAATTTTTATTAATAAATTTTTAAGTAGGGCCGCTTAATTTCTATTTAGGATTATTCTTAGTTTTAAATATTAAATATTAATAATATATTATTAAATAAATGTTTTATTCGCAAATTTTATAAAATAGCGTAACGCCTCTTCTCTTTTTCGGCTGTAAAGAATCTTTTATATTTTTATCCGTATTACATTTCCTCCTTACATTTACCTTCCACTTCTTTTTATAATTAAAATTAAGAATATCTTCTTTATTAAATACGATCTCTTACGAACTAAAGCGGCCAATACTCTAAACGCTACGAATTATAGCCTTTTTAAAATTAATTAATAACATAGTATATTCTAATATATTAACCTTTTTAAAATTAATGGGTACGTCCTTATATTTTAAGGATATTTCTTTAAAGTCGTTATCGAATTTCTAGGAATTATTAACCTACATATATTTATATTTACAAACTATATTAATAAAGTCGGTAAATTATAAAGTAAGGGAAATTACTTTATTAATTCCGAATCTCTTTTTATTTATAATAAGGATTTCCTAATCGGATAATTACTTTTCAAAATCCTAAGGTTACTTCTTTATAATTTCTTTAATAAAGGCTTCATAATTTCGACGAACTTTAACAATTTAGTCAATAAGTCGATAATTAATCCAACTTTTAATTTCTCTAAGTTAATCGTAAGTAAATTTATCCTATTTAAATAAAATATTAATATAATAAGCGACCATATAAATACTTATCTAATTATAAACTCGGGTATTAGCGTCGTCGAAATCTTTCTAATATTTATAGTAAGTATTATACATATTATTAATTTAATTATATACTATTTTCCTAATAACTATTAAATTGATAAAAGGGTTAATAATTATATCCTCCCTAATATTCTACTTATTACGATATTTATTATCCTCCTCTTCCTCTTTTTCGTTCTTTTTTCTTAAATTTCCTTCCTTATCGTTTTTATTAGCGCTAGCGGCGGCTTCTTCTTAAAATTAAATAGTAATAATAATTTTAATAATAGTACCGTGCGTTTTAATAGCTGTAAGAATAATAGTTATTATAATTATAATTACGGCCTTTTTAATCCAGATTCCTTTATTAAATTTAACGAGCTTCTTCTTTGCCGCTAGAAGGCAGTCCTTTACTTATTTAGTAAAAAAGAAAATTTTCCGGCTTCGGGGGTAGAACCTTCTAAATTATAAATCCTCTTTTAAATAACTAATTTCTAAAGTCCTAATTACTATTAGCGAGTTTCTTAAGAACTTTATATTAACTAGGCCAATTAGTAGGGATATTAAGGATAACTATAATAGCCTTATTAGTAGATTCTTTTAATAAAGATATAGTTAATATTATTAATTTCATAGGGATCTTGCTTGTAATTGATAATTGTAGCGTTGAACGTAAATATGCAAATTAGACTATTAATTATCAAATATAACAGTATAAAATTAATTGATTAAAGAGTATGTGTAATTAACTCGCCTAGAAGGTATAGAGGGTGCTGGAGTAACCCAAATATGCCCGGAAATCAGGCAATATCAAGTGGCTGGAGCGCTAACCTCCATATGGTATGGCTAAAACCACCCTTGAATCTGACAGATCGAGAGCTCGACTCCGTCACAGGTCTTGGTTTGTGGGGAAAAGGGAGCTAAGGAACAAGCGCCCGTAGTCAATTCAGGCACCTCAACTGCTCAGCTGTTCAATGTCCAGTCGGGTTCGGGCAGTCTGAACTTGTGTAGTCTCCACCTGTTCTTCGATTTCATGGATGTTTCTCACGTTCCCACATGGTGAATACCATGTCCTCATCCGAACGACAAAAGCGGATAACCGCGGAGTATCACGGTGAAACAATGGGGGCGCCGATGCCACGGACTGACTGTTTTCGCGATGTGTGAACCACGCCGCACGGAGCATCGCCATTGTTCATTCCCCGGGCCACATTCGGGATGAGGATCTGACCGGATCACGATGGAGGAGTGAAGCGCAAGGATCCACTCCCGAGCGTCATGGTTCCTGCCGCAAACCCGCCGAAAGGAAGCTGGCCGTCGGTCACTGTGCGCGTGCCCAGGCCTCCCTTTGAGATCCACTTTGTGTAAGAAGGGGTAAATCTGACCAATGGAAAGTCACGAATCAGCCCCAATGTGGCGGGGAAAGTCGCTCTGGCCGTTCGAGTCATCACTCGCCATCGTAGCAAGTGCCGCCCACCGTGCCAATGTTCGACGGCAGCCCATCGCATTCCATCCACGTATCGCACTGATGTTTCGGCGAGCAGACGGCCTCACCGGCGGATATCGAGTGGCTGATACGGTGATTCCAGCTGACAAAAGACAACTTGCAATAGTAATAAACTCTTTCTTTGTCAACTTTGCCTCGCTCTCTTTGCTATCTATAAACAGTATTTGAACCAACTGGCGAGCAACAGAACAAACAATCCATCCTTTCCCCATCTTCCATCACCAAAACCAACGGTCAAGTTTGCCGCTACGTAGGACATAGGGCCCTGAATTCCCTGAATCCACTCCAGCCTCTCCACCTGGCAACTTTATATTTCTCAGACGCAATCCTCCTCTCGCGTACATACTTTGATATCACGACTCCAATTCCCACTTCGACAAGAACATCACCCTTTTCAACCACACCCACCAACAACCAAATAAACTCAATCACAATGTCTGCCTGGGATACCGACGCTGTCAAGATCGGCAAGAACGTCAGCCGCGGTGGTGGCGGTCCCCGCGAGACTGTTGTCCGCGGCAAGTCTGCCCTTAACGCTGCTCAGCGCAGTGGTAATATCATCGCCACTGAGAAGAAGTATGGTGCCGGCAACACTGTATGTGCTCCTTTTTCCCATCCTCCCTGATTCCCGGTGACGCTTGCTGCGTTGCAAACATCATCGTCGCCATATACTAATCTGTCTGTTTTCCCACAGGCTTCCAAGCCCGGTGTTGAGGGCCAGCGCCTAACAATGGTTGACCGCTCCGACGACATCGTCAAGCCCAAGACCGTCAGCAAGGACGTCGGTGCCGCCATCCAGAAGGCTCGCAGCGCCATCATGATCGGCGACAAGGCCATGACCCAGAAGGAGCTTGCCACCCGCTGCAACTCTACCCAGGCCATCATCGCCCAGTACGAGCGCGGTGAGGGTGTCCCCGACCAGAAGCTCCTCGGAAACCTCGAGCGCGTCCTCAACGTCAAGCTTCGCGGTTCCGATATCGGCAAGCCCAAGTTCGAGAAGAAGGAGAAGAAGTGAGCGTGTTCCTTTTGATGGAACCATCTCTCACAAAGGGTGTTCGCTCCCCAGGTGCCGGTACCGACGCCAATTTGGCCAACTCGGGACTGTGTCCTGATTCGCGGTAAACCCCCCGCGCTCGACTGGGACCGGCGCCCCGGGAGCGTTATTATTACACGATTGTAATCATTGGGAGGAAAGAGTGGTGGCATGAACTCAGCAAGACGGATCCTGTTGCCTGCATGATGGATGGTGATGATGAGGGAGGGTCGAAGGGCACAACATCATAAGAATATGTGCCGATGACCTGGTTTTTTATTTGCATACATCTACATTCAGCGAGGGTGTCTTGCACTTTTTGGAAGGGATTGCTTATACTGCTTTCTCGGAGGGAAGGCGTTTGCTGAAAGATATCACGGGTCCTTTGTTCTGCGATAGACGACGGGATGAAATAGACCTTTTTTGAATTCGTCTCACTTTACCAGTTTCTTCCTTGCGCTGTCTCAGTCTCCTTATCGGTGCCCACGCTCTGCTTGCTAGTTGAACTGATTCGCCGCTGTGTATGTGAATGCATTTCAATTTGTCCCTCAGTAGCACCAAATGCTCTATTTCTATACAACCCAAAGGATACAACAAGGGTATATCCAGCAGCCACGGAAACTCCCAAACTCCCAAAGACTAACGCATGCTTTGAATTCTTAACACCCTTCCCTCCTTGAAAGTTCATAAATTTCCCATGATATCATCTCTACATTCTTCGTCATAGCTCCTCCAGCGAGACGCTAACTCGCCCAGCTTCATCAGCATTCGCTGCACCTAACCCAACAAAGCCTTAGCCCTCTGCCCAACCTCCATCTTGCTCGGCTGCAACGCCGTCTGCACAACAACGTTCTCCCTCCCACCCACCGTCACGATCCTCAACCACTGTGGCGCCACCTCGCTCACCAACAGCCGCACGCACCCCGCCGCGTCCTCCTGCGAGATGGGCGTCCGCAGCGAGTCCTTGAGCTTGACCAGCAGCGCCGTCATGGTAAACGCCATGCGCGCCTGCGCGCCCGTGGCCGTGCAAAGCATCCCGATCACGGCCGCCACGTCTTCTGCTCGCTGCAGCGCGGCGCGACGCTGGAGCTCGGCGGCTGAAGGGCCGGTCAGAGCAGCGAGGGCGGCCTGGTTCTCTTTGAGACGGATGCGGTCGAGGAGGGAGAGTTTGGTGCCGTCGGGTTTGAGAGGAGCAGGAGGAGTTATGGGCTGCTGCTTCTTTTCTTGTTGCAACTGTTGCTTGCGGACGACGCCGTTCTTGAGTTCTTCGAGAGTACGCTGGTTCTTGTTCAAGAGGGAGGCGGCTTTAGTGGCCGAGGCGCAGGCTTTGATCGGTGCTTGCGGAAGCGTGCTGAGGAAGAGGGAGGCAACTTGGCCTGGCCGGCGCGAGTGCCAGAGCGCCCGGAGGTTGGACTCGAAGTCCATGTTGAGCTTGTGTTCCCGGAGAGGACCCGAGTGGCTTTCGTGTAGCTCGATGCAGATCTTGCCGCGACCGTAGTCGGAGAGGTAGAAAGGGGCTTTTGAGGGCGAATTGCTTGTTGTGGTGGTGGCCGTGGACTTGGAAGAGGATACCCAGTTCAGAACGCCGATGCAGCGCTGGATATCCTCGATGGTCACCTTGCGCTTGCCCCAGGTTCGGGTGACACTGGGCAATAGTGTGCGCAGGTCAACCGGCGAGTTGGAGCCGTTATGGGCCAGTTGCATGGTGTAAGTCTTGAGGAATGCGGCTTGGAGGTCAAGCAGCTGGACGAGCTCACTGCTTTCGCCAACATGATGTTTCGATCTTCTCTTCGCTGGCGACTGGAGAGCCAGGCGTTCCAATAGTGTCTCGGCTTCTGTGGCATCGCAATTGTTCTTTTGTAAGGGCTCGTCGTCTTCCTCGAGCAACCGCCGCTTTCGACTTGCGGAGACGGCTGGCGCAGAGAATTTTGGTATGGTTTTGAGGTCCAGCTTGTTGCTTTCTGTATCGTGCTCGGCCTTGACAGACTCGGTGTCCTCGAATCTTACGGTCTTCTTCTTCTTCTTGCGTAGAGTCTCGCAAGGAGCAATGTTCTCATTGCCCTTCGTGTCATCGCTCTTCTGGCGGAGTTTCTTGGAGATGGTTGGCGAAGATTCGATATCAGAGTCATCGGTGACTTTTCTCTTTCTTGAACTGAGAACAATCTCGATCGAGGAAGTACGTGTAGTTTCGGCTTGGGCGCGCTTCTTCGGAGTGCTGTCTTTGCCGGGGCTCTGTTGATTTTTGGCAAGACGGGCGAAGTCGCTAATATCGGGAGGAGGAGCTTGTTTACTTGGGCTAAGCTTCCCACGGGCGGAGCGCGTGTTGCAGGAAGTCGCGCCGGGCATGATTGATGATGTTGTCGTTGATGATGTTGATGTATCGTGATGAGCTCGTTGACGGAGTAACTAGAGATAATTATTGGTGTGGTATAACGGTAGAATGGAGAAAACTTTTGAAGCTTAAAGGTTGGCACCGGGAACCATTGTTTGGAGATTGTTGTAGCAACGAAATACTGGAGCAAGTGGATTTTGAAGAAGTGCTAGCAGAGAGCCAAGACAAGAAGGTTGGGACAGGGGTCTTCAGGTCAGTGAGCGAGACGCGGTCAAACTATCTCACGCGTAAAGTGGAAACGCGACGCGATCCGCTAGCGCATTCACGATTCCTGCATTACTTGTACAGTGCCCTTGCTGGCTGTCATGGGTGCATAACCTATGCATCGAACATCGATGCACTGTGCGCTTCGAGGAGAATTGACCAATGACTCTAATCAACCCTAACCCTAGTAGTCCGCAGAGGGGTACGTCACTGAGGGGCTGTGTTCAGTTCCCGTCTCCTTCCGCTTCCACTCCCAGGACCCCGGAACAGCATCGCTTTCCCGGCGTGAGATGAGATTCAGGTTCCGCTCCATTGTTGGCGCTCTTGGTGCTTGATTGCACCGTGTCATGCTGCCTTTGATCGTATCATTCCATCTGTCGGACTGGACTTGACCATCAACATCCACGGCGTTTCTACTTGGCACTGCTGCTGTTTGTACCTTTCTTCTCTTGCAATACCAATCAACCTTTTATGATCTGAACATCTCCGTTTACTCCTACGTCCATTGACACCGTGACCATTATGGCGGAACCAGAGGTAGCAACGAAATCCCCCGAGAGCGACGCACTCGAGGACATTCCCGTCGCCGAGCCTACTACTGTACCTTCTAATACAGTCGATTCATCTTCGACCTCTGCTGCCGCGCCAGCTCCAGCTTTGTGCGATAACTGTACTTCAGACAGACCTACTCCTGCTGGGCAAAAATCGACGGGTGAGATCATCAAGCTCAATGATATTGACGTTCGTTTCTCTTCCTTCCCTCCTTTCTAATTCGCACGAAAATGTCCATTATGAGTCTAACGAGCATTTTCCTACTCGCAGGTATACGTCTCGAAACCGGCCGACTACCCTCACACCCCAGCCAAGCTGCTCCTCCTCCTAACAGGCGGCACCGGTCTTCATAGCGTCAACAACCAGATTCAAGCCGACAGGTTTGCCCAAGATGGTGGCTTTGTCGTGGTCATGCCCGACCTTTTCGAAGGTGATCCAGCACCCAACTCGACGACCGCACTAAGCCCCGAGGAGCTCCCTGCCACTGACGCAGGCACGGGCTCGACTGCCCCGACATCATCATTCCTCGATATCTTCAAGATCAAAGCCGCCGAGACAGCCAAGAGTTTCCTCATCGACATGTGGCTAGCCCGCCATACCGAAGACAAGATCATGCCCATCCTGAAGAAGGTCTTGGACGGCGTACGCGATGAGTTTGCTGATGCGGTAGCCTACGGCGACGGAATCTATGCGGCAGGATATTGCATCGGCGGTCGATATGTTCTCTTGCTGGCGCGCGAGCAAACTAATGCTCCGCGGAAGGCCTCGATCAGCGAAGGGCTGGGCGGGATTACGCTTCCATGGGCGCATAAGCCTGCTGCTCCTCCTCCTGCTCCTACTGATCTGGGCAGTAGTGAAGGCAACACTCAGGGCGGTGATGGTGTTGAAGCGAATAGACGGAATAAGACGTCGGGCCCGTGGATCAAGGCGGGAGCGATCGCGCATGCCACGTTGGTGTCAAAGGAAGATTTCAAGGGCCTGAAGGCCCCCATTAGTATGGTCTCGGTGGAGAATGACCCCATGTTCCCGGATGAGGTGCGCATGGCGGGCGAGGATTACATGAGCCACAACAACGTTGAGCACGAGGTACAGGTGTATCCCGGTGTGCCTCATGGTAAGCTGTTATCCGCCTATGCAAAACTTGGTATTGCCTCAACTAACAGAAGAAACAACAGGCTTTGCAGTTGTGGGAGAATATGAGGATGCTCATATCAAGGAGGCACAAGTAACCGCCTTTGAGCAGATGCTAAAGTGGCTTGCGGAGCATTAATTGATGTCTTGTTGATGAGTATTGGCGTTTCCCACTGTATACGGCGCTCGGGTTTTATTGCAGGTTAAGGAGATGACAAAGGGGTATCTTGATGATTTGCTTGCAACGCTGGTAGGCAAATGGCCTCAAGATAAATAGAGACAGTTTCCAGTCCCGTGCTGCTACTGTCATCTATGAGACAGTGCAGATAATCTTGCCCATGGTCGTATTCGCCTCGAGCTGCTTGTGAGCCTTGACGATCTCCTCCAAGGGCAAAACAGTGTCAATAAAGATCTTGAGATCACCGCTCTCGAACTTGGGCAGGTACTCGCTCAACTTGTCCCTCAGCTGGCGCTGATAGTTCTCATCCCGACTCCTCAAGGTGCTTCCTTCCACGCGAGCTCTCTTGTACAGCAGCTTGGAGATGTCCACCTTATCGGCTACCGCACCGCCCATGAGCCCCAGCATGCAGATGCGCCCATCACGAGCTACCACATCCAGGTTCTTCTGGAAGTAACTGGCGCCGATAAAGTCAACAATCAAGTCAACACCCTTGCCATCCGTCTTCTTCATGATCTCCTCCACCCAGTCCTGCTCCTTGTAGTTAATCGCCGCCGTCGCGCCCAGCTCGTTCTCGATAAACTTGCACTTGTCGGCCGTGCCCGCCGTCGCAAATATCTGTTTCGCGCCAGCCAGCTTAGAGAGCTGAATGCCCGCAATCGACACCCCCGAAGCACCAGCATGCCACAAGATCGTCTTCCCCTGCTCGCCGATCCCGCCCAGCACAAAGTGCAACGCCTGCGTCGCCGTGATCCACGTCTCCGGCACGCCCGCCGCCTGCTCAAAGCTCAGGTGCGCAGGCTTGTGCAGCAGCATCTTGGACGACACGGCGATGTACTCGGCGTAGGCGCCGCCGTAGGCTAGGCCGAAGACTTCGTCGCCGACTTGGAAGTCGCCGTGGTCACCACCCTCGCCGAAGGAGTCGATGACGCCTGAGAACTCGACGCCCAAAGTGCTGGGCGCCTGGGGCGGAAGCGGGTAGTGGCCCTCTCGCTGGATCAGGTCCATGCGGTTGAGGCCGAAGGCTTTGACTTTGACGAGGGCTTGGCCGGGCTGGGCTTGGGGGAGAGGCGTGTCGGGGTTTATGAAAAGGTTGTCGGCGGGGCCTTTGCCGTTTTTGATGTCTGTTGTGTTTGGGGGGTTAGATATCTGTATGGAGAGCTTTGGGTTTTTGATGCGTGGTATGTTTGGTTATCTTACCGACTGCTTTCATGGTCTTTGGTGCCATTGTGACTTTCTGGTTTCTTGTCGCTGTAACTTGTGGTGTTTCGTTGAATCTGTACGCCTAGCTGAATTGAGCTTCCTCAAAGGATTAGTTTTCTCAATATCAACACGAGAACTGGCGGGGTAAATCGTGGTGTTGATGAGGGGAATGTCAATGGGCGTCTAGCTCGATGACGTTGACGATCCGAGTTGCTTGATTTGTCAACATTTCCCCACCATCCATCCAACAGTCTCCTCGGCTTGTGAAGTGCTGAACAACCCCAATGAGCCTAGCATTGGGCAACAGCTTCAGGCTACCATTGATATGGCTGCCTTCCAATATGGCTTGCGATGAGCTTGTCTTCGAAAAGATGTTCGACTTTGTTGTCCCAACATAACAAAACATTCAAAGTCTCTTCGGATCCCCTCAAGTCGCCGCGCCCTAGTCTGAATAGACATCTTGCCTGCCGGAATCAGCCCTAAGAATATAACCAGCGATCATTTGGCTTCCATCGCCAAATGCACACAGCGCGAGCTCCCACGGAAAGACGTCCGAAAGAAGACGAAGTTCGAGGTAATCCTCTGAGAAGTTGAAGACCCGGCAATGCCTACCGAGTCGTAGGCCCTCAACTTGAAGACGAGTCGACTAAAACCCTCTAGGACCCTGCCATGGATGCCTGCCATTCATCCGATATTGACATGGATCTGCTTGTTTGCTTCTCAAAGGAAGCAATTGAAGTTTGTGCTGCACTCGGCCTCATTCTGGCAATGCGATGAACAACTTCTGTCAGAAAAGACAACCATGGTTGGGACTTTGCAATGTGAATGAGTCGTATTTGTTTTTGTAGTCCGATTCATGCGACAAGGGCCAGGCCGACACAATAGTGGGAGATTGGGGAAATTGTCTCTTTTGTGTCTGACCATGCCGATGGCCTCGTACCCGGGACCGGAACTGGGCTCCCACTCACACCTGCAAAAGATGATGGAGGTTGGCGGGAACATGTGATAAGATTATTACAGGTCCACCAGTGTGGATTTCACTCTGGGGATGGACTCCAGTTCACTCCAATGCCTCTTCAAGGATTCTCTCATGAAGTCCAGGGAGATGCTGTCAGCCTGTCACCGCCGGTGTCCACGCCACTCGTGAACCCGGAACAGAACAGGCTTTTGTTGTGGGCACCAGAATCTGTCGATGGGGAATGTCGAGGTTCATGATCCATTCCATTCAACCCATCCGTCAACCTATCCATCTCTCATACTAGGTATCTCATCATCATCCACCTCTTCGAGACTAGGGAGCTTGGTGAGAAACGACGGTCCTGGAACTTCGATTCGAAAGAAGATGCGACCGGGGTCAAAGTGCTAACCCTGCAAGTGGTAAATTCAGGCGTACCCAATCGCCTCAGAGCTTCGGAGGAACCCCTTTCGAGGAAAGCTTTCAGAAGTAGTAGTCCATCGAGCGCACTGTAGCGACTAATAATATCCAGGAACCACAGAAAAGATTCGTGGGCAGCGACTGCACATTACGGCGTTGCATTTCCTCGTGGTCTTGGGTTCCCGTCCAAACGTAGGAACTTCCACTTGGTATTCCAAGCTGTAGGGCTTAACACGGAAACATGGACTTTCTACCCACAATAGCGGATAATTTTCCCATTCACCAGGCAGTTGATGTGCAAACACCGGTGACGTTCTTTGGCGATCCGATTTGGTGTTCTGGCTGCTGTGAGAGTGTAAGAGTTCCAATTTGGCACTGTCGGGTGGTCCGTGACCTGCCTGCTGCAAAGTTGCTGCAAAGTTCGGTGGCTCGCTCCGACCAACCGAAGACGCACCCACGCACACCGTCTGGACGCTTCATTTCCGTCTGACCATCTGCTGCAGGTACCGTTCACACCAAAACGAGACGACACATCCCAGCATCCATCATCCATGATTGATTATGAAAAGAGGCAAAAGAGGGAGAGGGTGGGTGAAGAACGGTTATACGAGATCGGCCGACGCTGGGAAGGACATCCAAATGGCGGAATGAACGAACCGATTGTTGCTCACGACTGGTTGAATTAGAAGATGACGGTTTGGCCATGAGGGCATGCTATCGACCCAATCACTTCCGGTTCCTGGACGCCTGTGAGAATTGCCTGCAACCCACCGAGACCAACAGGAACATGGCAAAGACAGCCACCACATTGGAGGATGACAGCTGCACCCTCTCAGCCTGTCAGCACGCCAACGGGCACACCCAACAGGCACATCAAACAGGCACGCTCAGGCACAGAAGAGACGGTGACAGGGACGCTGACAGCATGCAGGAAATAAAATTATTTCCCCTGGAGCCCTGTCGGCACCGTCAAACATCTGATGTTAGCCAGGAACAAGTCCCTTTGTTGAAGAGTGTGAGGTCTAATCTCTTGTCGCTTGCCACCATCCCATTTACGGGGTCCACCCACCCCTTCTCCTTTCCCGGGCACTCTGTCGACATTGTCACAATGGACTCCAACGAGCCCTGACTAAGCAGTCCCAAGCAGTTCCTGGCAGTCCCAAGCCCGTGTCGACGAGGTCCAAGGCCACCAAGGCCACACCCCCCAGCACGCCCAGCTCGGCTGTCCCTTGCTCGCCCAGGTGTGCTGACGACACGAGGCGCCGTGATTCGAGTGATCGAGTGCAATGGCGAGAAGATGGGTCAGGATTGATTATCCCCGGTGGCCGGCTAGCGCCATGCTGCAATAGCGACGAGATGCAAGGTGATGGATACGGCATGGATACCACCCAAGGTGGTCTTGGGTCGACAAGGGGCCTTTTGTGGCCTTGCGACCCTGGGCCGATCCACTAAATGGAGAAATCTCCCCCAATTTCCATGGTATATAACAGAAGATCGCTCGCGAAGCGACTCCATTTCCCCTTTTCCTCCCTCACCCACATCCACGCTCACTCCACACACCTTGACTTTTCAGTCAGTTCCATTCGTTATAATATCTCAGTTGCCGACCTTCGCCGTCCTCAACTTTTCAATCCTAACGACGAACATACAACTCCTTCTCCGAGTACATAATCCCAACCAACAAATCAGCCAAAATGAAGTTCTCTGCTGCCGCCGTCCTTGCCGCTGCCGCTGGCGCCCACGCCTGGAGCAACGTGACCTACACCACCGAGGTTGTCACTGCCGTCACCACCTACTGCCCTTATGCCACCGAGATCAGCTATGGCGGCACTACCTACACCGTCACTGAGGTACGACACGGTCCGATCCGAGACGCGGGGGAGGAGAAGACGGGATGAAAGACGGGAGACGGAGCCAGAACCAGAGCTGGAGCTGGGTTGTGTGAGGGAACGCTGTGTTCCGGTGTCTCCGGTGATACCGCAACAAAGAGCCTCATGGAACCTGGTCCCGGCCCAGCCCCGGACTCGTCCCACCTTCCATCTCTTCCTCCGCAGTCTGATCCGCTTGGGACGAGAACCTCATTGCTAACGCGTCCTTCTTTCTCTAGGCCACCACCTTGACCATCTCTGACTGTCCTTGCACTGTCACCAAGCCCATCATCACCACCTCGTCAGTGATCTGCCACAGCTGGTACGTCCCGTTCCCTCTCGGGACCGGTTCAAAACATGAAATAACTAACCCTTTTCACAGCACCGGCTACGTCAACTCCACCGTCCCTGCTCCCACCTCGGCCGGCTCCGTTGGCACCGGCAGCGCCCCCGCTGTCGTCTCTCCCACCGTCAGCCCCTCCGATATCCCCACCGCTGGTGCTGGCAAGGCTGCTGCCCTCTCCGGCGCCGGCCTCGCTGGTGTCCTCGGTCTCGCTGCCATCCTCCTCTAAATTCCTGTCCATGCGTGACAGCCAAGCGTTTCGACTTCCATGTCTCATGATCCCTCGATTCTCTTGATCGGTAATAGCTAATACTGCCCCGCCAACTTCCATATCCCGTCTGTCAAAAGCGGGACATGACGTTGCGGCGCCAAGGGGGTTGCGCTTGGAGAACTCTAATGGCTGTGGAGTTGGATGAGATTATGGATCTGGATTTAGAGAAGGGAAGAGATATTTATTTAAAGGATACCCAGGGCTAATGATAACGGGGAACGCAGAGTCCCAACTTTGTTTGGATTCTGTGTTTGTATGAACTTCTTAAAGACTTTTTTTTCGGGAAATCATTGGGACTTGCACACACTTTCAACTTTTTCTACCACCACCATTTTTGCATTCCCTATTAGATGGCTTGGTCCGCGGTGTTGTTTTTCTCGGGTTCCCCTTTACAAAGTTTTGAACGACGGCTCACATACACCCCCTTCTTACCCTCGGTGGAATTGTGTTCCAATGGGGAGTTCAGTGGGTTCTCTCCGATTGCAAATACCTAATACCAACACTCTTCCATTTCGAACGAGCTGCGTTTCGTGTGACACGAGACCTACTACCTGGACCAACTTGGAACTCCCAATGTGTCCGATTATCGCTGGGATTCGTTCAAGAATACCTGGAATCGCAGTGGATCGAGTTGCTTTTGACGATCTTCCGCTGACGATCTTCCGCCGGCAAAGCGCTCGAAGGCCGAAACAAAAAGGCTCAACGGTCCGACTTCCAAGGTGGCATGCTTTGGCAACCAAGTCCACCAGAACAGGGTCCACACCAGCGCTGTCACAAGCGCTGATCTCGCCGTGAACAAAAAGTGTTCTGATAGGTATCAAAGCGGGCGCGCCAACCTCGCCGAAAAGCCCGGAGACGATGACGACGACGGAGCAGAAGCGTGGTGGTCAGCATGCGATTAGTTCCTGATGGGGGTGGAGGACTAGTGGAACCGGGCAGCCTTTATCGCGATGGCCTCTGGGCGACCGACCGACCCGACCGACCGACCGCCTTTCTGCACCTTTTGCAACTTTTTCCAAAGAGTTGTTCGGCAATTGCTCCGGCCAAGAACGGTATCTCAGCAGCCAAGAAGCTGACCTTTTTTTGACGAGGAAATGATTATGCAATCAATGATTTCGAGGCACACGAACAGAAATGGTTGCAAGAATGAGGATACGAACTGAACCTCATCAACACGAAGTCACATTCATCTCACCATTATTTACGCGCTCACTCAATTCCAATAAATATCAATCAGTGCAACCCACACACTCTCAATTTAAACGGATTCACACTTACAAGGTCAGTCCAAACTCCTAAGAGGAAGTCCAAAAACTCATCACCGTCACTTCCGCCGTGTTCGATTGTGACGTGGCTGCACAAACAAAGAGAAGGTCGGCCAGGCCCGCTTCCCAATGCAACTTTTTATGCAAGGTACGCGTCTCTAGCTCCACCACTGCAGTATCTTTATGGTTCGACACCGAGGGTGGGAAAAGCAATCACCGCACTGCACACTTTGTGGCAGGCATTAGGCACTCGCAAGCGAGATTACCGATTGGAAAAGTGGGGGCAGTCACGGTGTGTGCGATAAGGCCATCGAAGAGACAATCACCGACACCATCAACAGCTCAACAGCGACGCCGACGTCACTCAGCCGAAGACCTTTCATCACTGCACCAACGTCGCGAGCAAGAACAGCAAAAGAATCGGGAATGTTATTTCATGGTTTTCTTCATCACTTTGTTAGACACCTGCGGCACGGCATCAGCGATCGCGGTAACCGCTGTCCGGCAATGGAACCGCTTTCAGTGATGGCCAGGCGACGCTTACCAGCCAGTCCCAGCCTGGCGGTGACTGTCTACCTACCCAGTCACTACGAATCAAGTACATATCTGCTGGTCTAACGATGACACGGTGGATCGTGAACGGGTTGTTCGTGATGACTCAGAGCATACCCGTTCAAGTCTCGAAGCGGTGGTTTACCGGAGCGAAATGGCGGCTCTGGCAACCGGTGGACAGCTTGGAGGACGCCCGCTCGTACCATAGGATTCAATCATGGTCCTGCAGTCCCCTGATTCCATTGACAAGTTTCGTCTTGAGCGCCGGTTCAACTCTCAATTGCCATCCAGCCATACATTACTATTCAATGCTGTCGATTACAGAGATGGTTCGAAAGTCAAGTGACTGAGCCTCTCAGTCTTGGAAGGAAGCTCGGATGCTGAAAGAAGCATCGGAATGGGTTTTCATCTAGACAGACAAATTCACGCTGTTGCGCAGTACACTCAACACCTGGTTGATGTCCATAGTCTCGTCTCACAGGGAAACCCAGGCCGGCGAGGCTACTTTTGAAGCGAGCGACAACAGCTACACCCGGATCTGGAAGACGATCTGGAAGACGGGTCATTTAAGGCTGATAGCGCCCCACTGGTACCGCGCCGATCCGGTGGATGAAGCCGTGATCTGACCCCGGTGTTTCGGTTGGGCTACCGAGAGTTTGGGACACAAATAGGTATCCATCCCTTTTTGCTTCTTGCTGGGTCCTATAGCTTCTTCATCGTAATGCTTTTATGGCTTCAGCTGGCCTATCCCTGCTGCTGGTTCAGAAGGCATCCGCTGCTATGGCTAGCTTCCGTTGACCTCCTCGACTAGTGTCGTGGACAGACTATACTATCTGCTTCTTCCTATCATGTGTAGATGCATTTCCCTTGGCCAGGTAGCAGGAACAATGTCTTATGTTGCTCCATTTCCCCCTGGACAGAAAGGCCACCCAACGGTGGTTGTGGGTAAAGCCCCTTGATATCATTGATTCACCTTCTTATCCGACCCGGGAGCATCTACATTTCCCGAACCATACCTGGGCATGTGGTAAATCATACCTTTCAACCACTTGATCGAAAATAAAAAAACAGTCGGCAGCCATTCACCCGACCACTTTATAGAATATAGCCCAAACCCGCCTTCCGGATGCCCAAGCCCATGATGGCTTCAAACCCCAAAAGAATCTATCCATGTCTCCTCTCCGACATGACCACGAGTACTCGGGACATTCTACCCATTCACATCATTGCTTCGGCTACCTCCAAATCCCGAACCAGAGATAGGCGTTCGCAGGCCCTCCATTAGTGCCTTCCCCGCGTCGACCCCCCAGACGGATCTTTGGGGTAGGAGCATGGGGGAATGAGGGGAAATGCCCACTTGGCACGCCGACGACACATGCCACGAGCACGTCTGTCATCTCAAGTCTAGTCCAAGATCGAATTGGAAGACCGCCGAAGACCTTCTCTCCACCAGTTCTCCAAGTCTAAAAACTCCGAGGCGGACGATCCTGTTTGCAATGGGGTTGGAGGTCACGGATCTAATATCACTTGTTTGGCTTGTCTCCTCCCTGACCCCCTCCCTATTTATACCTAACCTTCCCGTCAGGAAACATTCGCTCTTCTCTGCATTCTTTGTCTTCTTTCACTTATCCCCTTTTCGAAATTCTTCCTGGACCTTGTCGCTTACTTCTCTATACTCTCTAGTCCTCTTGTAAGTCTTGCCTCAAGCAACAGTGCCTTTACGAATCTTCGTCACCTAACAATTCTAGAGATAGAAATAGAACGCATCGAGAATCACTATAGACATAATGGCTCACCCTCAAGATGAGGCCCAGCATCTCTCCCTCACTGACCCCGAGACCTTCTGGGGCCATCAAGCTGAACAGCTTCACTGGCACAAGAAGCCCTCTGCGGTCCTGAAACGTACGACTAAGAACCTGAAATCGGGTACCTCTCACAACCATTGGGAATGGTTCCCAGACGGCGAGATCTCTACTTGCTATAACTGCATTGACCGTCATGTCCTAGCCGGGCGCGGAGACCAGCCCGCTATCCTCTATGACAGTCCAGTCACGAACACTAAGCAACGTTTGACCTACAAGCAGCTTCTCACCGAGGTCGAGACTTTTGCTGGGGTCCTTCGAGAGGAGGGTGTCAAGAAGGGAGATGTTGTTCTTGTTTACAGTCAGTTTACCCGTCTACGGCTTTCACCATTGTTCACTGAGCCAGCTACTGACATATTTGTCTATACAGTGCCGATGGTGCCCGCCACCCTGATCGGTATCCTCGCTGTCAACCGTTTAGGCGCTATTCATGCAGTTGTCTTCGGTGGCTTCGCTTCTACAGCCCTGGCCCAGCGCATCGAGGCATCACGTCCAGTCGCCATTTTGACTGCTTCCTGTGGAATCGAAGGTAACAAAGGGCCTGTCAGTTACCGCGCCTATATCGAAGAAGCTATCAGCATCTCATCCTTCAAGCCACCTAAGACCATTATCTGGCAGCGTGAGCAGCTAGTGTGGCGTCCAATCAAGAAAACTGAGGGCGAGCGGGATTGGCATAAGCTGGTTAAGAGCGCGCGGTCCAGGAACGTCAAGGCTGAGTGTGTGCCTGTGAGGTCGGCTGACCCTATCTACATCATCTACACCAGCGGCACCACAGGTTTGCCTAAAGGTGTTGTGCGCGATACTGGCGGTCATGCCGTTGGGCTGCATATGTCCATTTCGTACTTGTTCGGTATCCATGGACCAGGTGACGTGGTAAGTCAGCTTCTCGCTCACAGATCAAGGGTTCATAGGCAAAATGTGCTAACAGGTCCGGAATAAGATGGGCTGTTTCAGTGACATAGGCTGGGTGGTTTCCCACAGCTACACGCTTTATGGTCCATTACTGACAGGCGCCGCCACGGTCCTCTACGAAGGCAAACCAGTCGGGACACCCGACGCCTCAGCCTTCTGGAGACTGGCCGAGGAGTACAAGATCAATACCATGTTCACCGCACCAACGGCACTCAGAGCCATCCGAAAGGAAGACCCTGACAACGTCTTCATCACCAAGATTGGCAAACGTGGTGGGCTCAAGAGTCTCAAGGCCCTCTTTCTTGCTGGTGAACGGTCCGAACCAGCTATCATCACCATGTACCAGGACCTACTCAAGCGATATGGCGCGGCAGGCTCCCAGGTCGTTGATAATTGGTGGTCGTCGGAGTCCGGCTCACCGATTTCGGGTGTTGCGTTGGTCCCGCACGCAGGCAAGAACAGGAAGACCAACGTGAAGGATCATCCGCCACTGCCTATCAAGCCGGGGAGTGCTGGAAAGGCCATGCCTGGGTTTGATGTCAGGTATTTAATTTCCTCTGCTCCCTTTAAATGCACAAGTAACTAACGTTGAACCCTAACAACCAGAGTTGTGGATGACGAAGGCAACGAGGTACCCAAGGGAAACATGGGAAACATCGTTCTGGGCCTTCCACTGGCACCTACTGCGTTTCGGACGCTTTGGGAAGATGAAGAGCGATTCTACAAGAGTTACATGATTCGCTTCAATGGCAAGTGGGTCGACACTGGTGATGCCGGCTACGTCGACCAACAGGGGTACATTCACATCATGGCACGGACTGATGACATTATCAACGTTGCCGCTCATCGTCTTAGCACAGGCAAGTTCACCTCCACCATCTCTACATCCTCAGTCTCTAACATCCCCAGCAGGTACACTCGAGCAAGCAGTCACAAGCCACCCCCTCGTCACCGAAGCATGCGTAGTTAGCATCCCCGACGCCCTCAAAGGCCAACTCCCCTTCGCCTTCGTCAGCACCTCGGACAGCAGCGGCGACGTCAAGTCAGACGAGCAGCTCTTCCAGGAGATCCAGAAGCTTGTCCGCGCCCAAGTTGGCGCCATCGCCTCGCTGGGCGGGATGATCCGGGGCAAGGGCATGATTCCGAAGACGCGCTCGGGCAAGACGTTGAGAAGAGTCTTGCGCGAGCTGCTGGAGAACGCGGTCCATGACGAGTTTGATAAGCCGGTTAATGTCCCCTCGACGGTGGAGGATCCGAGCGTGGTGGATGTGGCGAGGGAAAAGGTTAGGGAGTATTGGCATGAGAAGGGCGGGTTGCATGCGGCTATTGAGGCTAGGGCGAAGCTTTGAGAGGCAGGTACCTGCATCAACAATAGTGTATTTGCTTCTTGAACAAAATTCTTTGCTCCTTCTTCGAATGACATGGGATTTACGTTGTGTAGAACAGAAGGAGCAGTGAATTGAAAAGCATAGTCGGTGGTCCAGACGTGGAAGGTGCACACAAGGTTATCCCGTCCCGCCAGCCCCACAACACCAACTCTTCCCATATAATCCCTCATACTGACGGACACTTTCAACAACCAACAGCCCGATTAGCTCAGCTGGTTAGAGCGTCGTACTAATATCAGTCCTCTGATATCAAGTCAATGCGAAGGTCAACAGTTCAATCCTGTTATTGGGCAATTCTCTTTTTTGGGATTCTTTTTTGCATGTTCACAAAAGATGAACATCGCAGCGTCATGTTGTCTTTAACTATTTTTTACCCCCTTTTTTCATTTGCTCATCTCCTTGGAACATCATTTTTGTTCTATGCTATGTATCGTTACTCGAATTATTCTCAGAGGAAGTAGGCACACGAGTCAAACAGGTCAGTTTAGAAAATAACTAGAGTTTCAACCAACCGCCCAAAATGAAATCTTCAACCGGTTCCGACATCAAGTCTTCTCTCGTCCCTCGCCATTCAACACTAAAGTTGCCACTGGCCGTGGCGGTCCCGGGTCCGGTCCCGCAATCCGTCTCTGGGTTCCAGACTCCCGCACCTTGCTTCCCAGGATATACTCCAAATACGAGGTGGACGAAACCAACTCAGCCCGTTCGTTCGTTGTTGAACGTTGGGCTTTGTGGCACCAAGACAGAGTTGAAGTGGCTCTTTGGATTGGATGGGATGGGATGCTTGGAAACTTGAGAAGGTCCATGGTACGTACGGGTTGGTCGGTTAAAGGGAAGAAGGAAGGGGGTTTGGAAGATTGGCTGGATCGGAGGGTACCGGACCCTATCAGATATCAGGTACCTAGGTAGCGCATACCAGGCGGGCAAGGTCGGGATTGATACAAGGTAGGTAAATAATGTGTCTGCGTACCTAGGTATGTATTTCATGACACGATAGCGTAGTTAAGTTGAAGCGGAAACGGCACTACGGGGGCTTCGGGGCTGCGGTGGATGCGGGGGCTACGAAGAGGAAGAAATAGATTGAGAACGATTATGTTGTGTAACTGTTCGATTTCTGTTGTGTTCACATACAGTCAGCCAGTCAGTTAGTCCATGCTTTGTCAGTTCCGGTTTCGCTCTTTCCTCTCTTTCCTCTTGTCAATGTTTTCCTTGCTGGTTGCGTTGGTTTAGTTGTGGTACATGCATGTAGTAGGTATTCTCTTCTCTCTAGGCTTCGTTTGTGTGAAGATTTGTTTCGATGACGTCTTTTCAACAGTTTTGGATTTATGACACAAGAGAATGGTGTAAGAAACGGACTACTAGCTCCGTCTCGAACCAAAGCTTTTGAAGTCTCAAGTAAACATGGAAGTTATGTTGTTCAGTGACATTTTAGTAGTGTCCCGTTTGAACGAGTGTGAGTGCTTGAGTAAGAGCTATAGGAGACCTAAATGACAGCTCTGTGCACTTCTGACTACATGGAGTTATCACCCGGGACTTATAACACGAGTATCAAAGTTGCGAAAAAAGGGGAACAAGCAACTAATACGTGTATTGTTCAAATTTATGGTAAATAATCGTACAGAGCTATTATGCCATAGAAGGAATCAAGTCTTCATCAAACTCCTCTCACCATACCTGGCCCTCAGCATCGGGACATGAGGTCTCACAGGACTAAACGCAAAACCAAGAGCCCAACCAGTTGACTAGACCAATATGTACCGATAGGTAACCAGGAAGCCAACTTTCAACATCCATAGAGCCCTTTCAGTGATGATCCCAGTTTCCCCACCTAAGTCACTACGATCATGATGGCCGTCATAACCTAGCAAGCGAGAAAGACGACCTCCCGAAGCCAAAGATCCAGGCCAGGATCTAACCAACAGAAACCAACGAAAACAGAAGACAGGCCAGACACAAACAAACGTTCATAAAGAAGTATATGCCAGGTGGAGCCGGTCTAGCCTTCTACTAGGTACGTTTCACCACCGACCATCCGGCCCTGACGGCTCAGCCCATAGTATCATATCGGTCGTCCAGACTTTAGAAAGAGGGAAGCGCAAAAACGCAGATCCGACAATGCAAAAGCGTCAACTCCCTGTTGAGCAGCTCCCTTCAGTAACCTAGCCTGCCATACCTACCCTAGCCTACCTAGCTTCCTTTGGACTATCTAGAAAACGTGTGCATGTACGTTATGTGGAGCGCTGTGTCCATCCGTGGCATGGCAGGCACCGCAGAACCAACAATTTGCAAAAAAAGGATCCAAACGGTCTGTTATCTGTCTGTGTCTCTCCATTCAAGATGACCCTAGTTTGACATCATGCCATGTCATGTCATGTCATGCTATGCAATGCCATGCTATGCAATGCCACGCTATGCAAGAAGGGGGAAGGGAAGATCGGGGTGGGAACGAGCGTGAGGGAGGCACGGAAACAGAGAGAGAGAGAAAAGACTTTTGCGGAGGCAAAGGCAACAACAGAGAGAGACGGAGTGTGTGTGTGTGAGAGGGGAATGAAGAGAAAGGCAACGGCAACGACGACAACACTAAGCATGCGATAACCCGTCCATCACGAGGAAAGAGAGTAACGGTGTGACGCCACGCACTATAGCTTCTCCTCAACGACATCCATCCATATCCATTCAATTCCCCCACAACGAATTGTTGTTGTGTACATAGTATGGCAATGTTCACAATCCCAGTCAGCTTCGGCTGGTCCCATCCATCCAGAACTCCTGAATTGCCCAAAACAAATAAATTGCACCCCCTTGCCCTTGAAGAAAACCGAGAATCGTAACCAAGAACCAAGCAGGCGAGACGGGTCGACCACGTACGTGCTGCAGGTTAATATATCGTGCAGCTTTTTGTTTTTCGTTGGAGCAAACAACATCCCCAAAAGAGATCGATTGACCAACAACGCCCCCGCCCATGCCCTATCAGCACCACCACCGCTCATCCATCCACTCCCCCCTTGTCCTCCTATCTGTCCGTTGCCTCTTTGTATATGCTGACCGACCCGGGACGACAGAAACCGGGGGGAGGCACCTTTCGTTACGGCGCGCCGCCGCCGCCGCCGCCGCCCCCCTTTCTGCGTTCGCCTGGAACCTTACGCACCCATTGTCCAACCATACCTCAGATGCAGCCAAGACGCCAGCGAGCGGTAGAGAGAAGGAATAAAGACTGTTACTCATATGCGGTGAAAGCACAGAAAAAGATGGAGTAACATGGGAAATAGTAAGAAATCTCGTAGTGGCGAACTGAACGCAAACGTCGGAAAGAAAGGAAGGAAAGGGCAACCGAAGACCGCTTTGAGTTTCGAAAAATGATAGGCAGTAGACACACCCGAACTTGATGATAGTATACGGATGGAAAGAATCGCCTGTTTTCGAACAGCTGGTGGCCTCGTTGTCTTGGTGACGAGGAGTGCCTCGTCTGGCCTAGACCCAGACCCTACCTTGCCCCAAACGCCGTACGGCACGACACTCCTCATCCTAGCAAAGCGTCGTGTCGTGTTGTTCTCTCTGTTGTATCTCCATCGTTGATCGTGGTGCTGTGTAATGCCTCGTCGTGCTAGGTATGTGGCCCTTTTGCTTCGCTCCGCCGGATTGTATGCTGTCGTGTCGTGTCATTGTGTTAGGGAAGGGCATGCATGCCGCAGCATTTTGCACACATCACTTCTCTTCCCATCCAAGGTTACTCTACTTCACCCAGCTAACGCGAGCGAGGCGTGAGGAGGAAAGCATAGTAACCCGGAACCTTGGACAGGACAGGAGAAAGAAGGACCAAGATAGTCGAGGCAGCGGCCGCCATACAACACAACATGTAAGCTCCCGTGTCTGTCCTCACGGCGCCTTTTCGTCCAGCGTTATCCTCCCTCATCGTCGGAATGCGCCCTAGTAGGTCCATCATGCTGGCGGCTTGTTCTTCGAGAAGGCGGAGAGAACACTTTGCTGCCCCTTTGCCGCGATCTTGAGGTTAGCGAACCTCGCCTCGGGCAGCCGCTTGCCTGCCTTGATGCTCTCCAGAACCCTGGTCGGAAAGGAGAGGACAGCGTTAGCGTAAGCACAGTATCCGTCAAGCGGTGCATCATACACCGCAGGTTCAACCAACGGAGAGGGGGTGGGTGAATGAACGATTGGGTTGGGAAGAGACTTTACGGAGTCCCAAGAAGGACGAACATGGACGGGCAAGAGGTAGCACAGTATACACATGTCCTATGACCAGTTTGTTGCCGGGGAAGAGAGCAGACTTACCATTCGACACCGACATACTTGACGCCACAACCGCCGACTCTGCGGATCTCTTTCTCCAGTTTCCCGCCGGCGAGTCCACCACCGGCGCCGGTATTTCGACCGGTCGGTTTGCCTAGGATGACGTGTGTGACTTGGCGGCGGCCGAGATGGATAGACATACGAGCGCCATTCTCGGCGAGGACTTGCTTCAGTTTATGATCAGAGATCAGAGGATGAGTGCTACCATTGACGTAGATATTCAACCCATCGAAGATTTTCCTGCTGTTGCTTGAGCCTCCCTCCTCCTTTCCCTGCCATTGCTGTCGAGTTTCCTCGTCTTCAACATGCCCAATCCCTTTCCGTAGCCCTTCCTCTTCTGGTAGACATGACGGTGACTGCGAACTTGTTTGTGACGCCGTCGCCATGGTGCCAGGGTTCCGTAGCATATCGGCAACGCTGTTCAGTGCGCGAGCTCGTACCTCCTTTGGGATCAGGACGCCACGCTTCTCGTCGAAATCTTGGGCGCCAGCCCCAACAAAGTCCGAGATTCGGTCGCCACCGGAAGGGCCGGCGCGGAACTGACTCTGCAGCTTCCTGGCACGAGATTCACGCCACCCGGTTGGCACCCGAGTTTCGGCTCGCTGATGGCCGGCCGCTACCGAATTCCACGGGTCGAATGCGCGGCCAGAATGAATCGGTTCTGCCGGTGGCGGCTGCTTGGGGTGGACAGGAGGAGCCATAGCACAGCGTAGATTGTTTGCTTTGCACTTGTTGGCTGTAGGGGCGCCTTCCAGGCTGTCACGGCGTCAACTGACTATTTGATCGATCCAGTAGGCGGTCGTGGCGTTGTCGGGATGCGCAAATTGAATGTGCTGGTCAAATAATAGCCACTGGCGGATCAAAACTGGAGTGAAAGCGCACGGCAGGTTGGTTCAACATTGCAACAGATGGAATGGAATGCGAGTGTTTGGGCAACACGCCGACCTGGAACACGACTCCAAAGGGTCCCGTTCCATTGCCGCGTCTCCATCTTCAAAGCGCTCGCGAGGTCATGTGAGTCCCGCTGCTGTTGTTTTCTTGAGTCTTTGTTTCAGCGGTCGCTTTGTTCCTTATGCTTGTTAACGAGAAGCCCTGAATTGTGTAGGTTCTGCGTTGCTGCACTAACAGAGATTCTGACATAACATCCCGCTTCACATGTCCGGGCATCCTTCATGCCTGCCGGGTGCCTCAAACCTCTTGAGCGTACAACAAACATCGCCTTGTGCCATGATATTCAATTTGGAGCATCACACACCCTCGAGGCATCGGATACGTCCCCATATTGATTTCCCGTTTGACTTCATATATTGTCCCTTTAGGCAGAGTTGTTGGTCAGCTTTGAACGACACCAACAACCCGCGCCTGTTCTTGTCAGCCTCCCACGCCTACACATCCCACTTGTCAAGCACTGTCAAGTTGACCCCCCGACCCCCCTCAAGGTGCTGTTTGCTATCAAAAGACTGTTTCCTGAGCCGCGCAACTGCGCCGCCGCCGTGGACTCAGGTCGGTTGGCCGGGAAAGGCGCACAAACAAAGCAAGGACTGGTACCGAATCACATCAGCCTGGCAAGGGTGACACAAAACCACGAAAACAGCAGGCAATCAACAATACCCAGCCCCGGCAGGAGTGGCTCGAGAGGGGGTGCTTGAACGCAAACAGGTGCCTCTACAACATTGCGGAAGGAGGCGGCGGCGTTGGCGTACCTCTAGCTCTTCTCTTGCTGGACAGCTCTCGCTCCTCAGAAACAGTACGGTATACTCTCGTGATAACTCCCTTGATTTCGGCTTTTCCTTCCCCTTTCTTCTTCTCGGCTTCGGCTAGGAAGGACCCTTTTCTCGACGTCCCTTCCCGAGACACGGATGATCCACCACAAAACACTGAAAAAGCAAAGAAAAGAAGGCCTGGACAACAACACAAGAAAAAGGAGGTTGCCAATTGTTGCTTGCTTGCTTGTTGTTGCTACTTGTGAGTATCTCCGGACAGGTACTGTAGCCCGGGTCATGTCCCCAGCCTCCTCACAAATCAACCGCCGCCGTCATCACATCATCCACCTTTCCCATCCCCAATCACCTTACCTCTAACACTAGACTCTCGCTACATCATGAAATCCCCCTCAATGGACCGTGTACCCATCACACACAACCCTAGCTCGTCTACCCAAGCGAAAGTGATAGTGAAAGAGGCTCAAGGGTTGACCGGTGGTCAAGATTCCGAATCTCATCGCCCACCACTGCACTGTAGATCACCGAACGGGCCGCCTTGCGCCCTGCGAGTCTCAACCGCTCATGTACACTATGCGTAATGCAAGTACTGCAGTAGCTATGCACAATTGCACATACAGACGCATCAACGGCTATGTAAGGCATGACCGGTAGGTTAGCTAGGTGGTGTGGATGCCATCTGTAGTCTACACACACTACTTTATGCATAACGTAGTATGTGAGTCTATCTACCGTAGTGTATAATCAGTGGGGGCCACAGCGAAAGACGACGACATAATGACAATGATGGAGGTATGTGGAAGAGTCGCTTGTTCAGACTGTCGTCTTCTGCTTACTCCTTTCCAGACAACTGCCGAGAGCTTGCAAAAGCAAGGAACAAATCGACAATTCTCTTTTGTTTACCTTGGAAGCCTCCTTGCAACCAGGGCCCCATTCCATATTGCAGCCAAGCGGCAAACTCTGAAGGGCAGCATTTACCAATCTCTTGTCTTTTGCGTCGTCTTATCCTTTCGTTTCCGTCCATCGGAGACTTTTCCTTGCCCTTTCGCTTCAGAACGCGCAACTCCACCCCCAATCGACATCGATAGACAAACATGAAAATCCCGGACTGTATCGAATGCAATCGGTCGAATTATAGGACTAGTTCCAAGATCCCAGATTCTCCAGAGCCGAAGTTGGAGGTTGTTTGAAGTTAGCAGGGATCCGACTAGAGACTAGACGACTATACTCCATATCACTTAGGTAAATCAGACAAACCCTTTCGCTTCTCTTCTTGCGACAGGACAAACAGAGGATAGTCTGCGGAGCAAAAGAGACTGGGGAAGGGAGGGGGTGTCTGTTAAGTTTATCATCCAAGCTTTCCAAGCGGGCACTAAACAAGGTTGTACTTGAGCAATGCGTACTTTGGCAGATCGAAAATAAACTGTATGGAACCCTATCATGTCATGTCATGTACTGTGGTCCAGAGATCTCAAGCCAAAAACCCCATAAATTCCACACAGTAAAGTGTGGACATACTTCCCATCCAGGAAGGATCGCCCGAGCCAACTGAACAAGCAAGGATAGAGGAAAGTCAACCATGAAAACACAAAAAAGAAAAAAAGCTCAAAAGAAAAATGCAAGGAAAAAGGGAGCCTCCAACAACACAACAGCAATTGCACAGAAAACCGGATGTCAAAGGTGAACACACAAAACACAGAAATCGTACAAAAAACACATCTGAAAACACGAGCCAAGTCGGAAGCGCCTACCTATCGCCCCGATCCCGCTCACTCCACCTTCTAAAAAAGCTTCCTCCACACAAAAAAACCAAAGACCATCGTTCAACCCTTGCTGCGAATTCAATCCATGTTACCAGACCCCCTCACCCTTACCCCCGGCCTCACAACCCCCCAGGGGTTCGCGCACGGCGGCCGGTCGGTTCGGTTCTTTTCCCGGTTACCTTAGCGGTCCAGCCTTCGGCTTTCCCCTCACCAAAAACCGAGAACCCCCCCTCCCCTCCCAGGCCTCCCTAACCCCGGCCACCGATGACCGGGGTTTAGGGCGGGCGGAGGGGCGGGGGGTCGGGGGAGGCCTGGGAAGGTGCGAGCGGGGGGGTGGGAAGGGAAGGGAAGGGAAGGGAAGGAGAGATTCACTATCCATCCGAACGGAGGAAGGAACGAAGGAAAGACAAATGACACAAAGAGGGAAAAAGAACAAAATAGGCAAGGGCCATGCCATCGATTGATGCTCGATAGAGGAAGGGACAATGAATGGATGGTGGGTTGCGAAATCGAGCAACCTCCCCCATCGATATCCAAAGGAGTCGAGCGCAAGGACTCTGCGTACAGTACAGTGACACCGGCAGTAGGTAAAGCAGTTGACGTGCTCTTGCTTGCATCCCGTTGCGATGGCTGGATGGGGATGGCTGGGGGGAAAGGGAAGGAAAAAGACCTGGTTGTGGCATTTGAAACCTTGACCTTGCCGCCGCCGCGCCGCCCGGACGCCATTGAACATCAGCTATGGAAATATCGGCATCAAACATGCAACCATCATCACCGTAGTCGCCCTTAGTCGCCAGCTCGCCGTCTCGCACCGTCGAGCTTCCCTGATTCTGATTCTGGTCTGGTTCTTTCCATAGTCCTCGTTCTGAACCACTGATGACTGACCGTCCTTGCCCCGCCTTCTTGGTTCGACGACCCGCTGGTTGAGACTACCGCTTTTACTCACTCGATGTGGTTTTACTCAACCAATCCTGCTACTGGATCGTTCCCAAGAAACCCTGCGACCCGCATCAACTCACTAGAAGATTGGTCGAAGCCCTTGTTAGGCTTTGCTAGTCCAGATCTTAGCGCAGGTTGAGTAAAACCACATCGAGTGAGTAAAAGCGGTAACAAGCGAAGTCTGACTCTGACATATGAAGAAAAAAAAGCCTGGCTAGAGGAAGCTGGGTTGTGATTATTTTTGGTGTATTTTGTCTTACTTGTTGTGGCAAAGATGGGCGGACGTTTCGACGATCTCGAATCAGTGACCTGTTCGAGCTTCTCCATGCCACGGCAAGGGACAAGCCAGTGTTTCGATTTTCAAGTAGTGCCCATTTTCTGTCCAGAGGCAGTACCTATCTTGACGATTAGGTGGATGTTTTTGGCTATGCCTACCCGTCTGTCCATCTTGCCTATCGTTTTGATCTTGATGATGTGCGGTATCGATATCAGATCAGATAGGAATAATCAACGGCTCGACCTTCCAACGCGTAGTGGTATCTCGGGTAACTACAATTATGTTGGATCATATATACACGCTGCACATGTACGCAAAGTGTACATAGTATGTATAGGAGCGCCGAGCTTGGTGGACACACGTAGACTCCATACACACTTTCTGGAAGCCAAACTCATCTTTGATAGAGTGTATCTCGCCAGAACAAGCAAAACGAAACGATGGCAAAAACGATCATGAGCATGCATAGACGGCAGCACCGCGGCCACTGCCGCACTTGCAGGAAATGGAGAGGCAGGCATAGCAAGCATACCAGGGCAAAGTATTGATGATTGCTGACCAGGGAGGGGGAAAACAGGCAGTGAGTGACAAACCAGGTCCCCCAAAAAGTCCCTACGGCGTGCCGCAGTGGTAGTTGAAGTGGCGAAGGGACATCGAAGCCCCGGGGCATTGATCTTATGCCGCTCACCTTGTTGCTAATAAGCTTATGCCCAGCGGCACTGTACGTGCCATGCACCACCACACCATCTCATATATACGGGGGACAACTTTCACTCTGTTGGTGAAGAGATTCGCCAACTCAAAGTTTGGTGTATCTCCAGTTCCAAAACGAAACACCCAAAACAGTGGTAGCATCAACGGGTGGGGGAGGATCTCGGTATCAGGGTATCATGGACCCTTCCATCATAAGCAGAGTGATCTTCCGTCAGCCAGGCCCGCCAGTCAATGTTGACGACTCTGCTTACTCTCGTCTCCTGGACTTGTTGATAGAGGTATACTCGCGTATCAGGTATAATATTACCGTCCGCCCGGTCTCACGAGTCGGCTATATTTCTCGGGGAGTATTGCCTCTGCCAATATAGGAAATTGATGCCGCATTCGCGTCGCATATGTTCCCCCGGGAGTCAATGGACGAACAAGAACTCTCCTGTCCCAAAGAGTACACAACATGCTCTCCAGGAGACCTTTTCGCCTTCAGTTCCTTCCTGGACTCCGGCGCTGCGCAGTGAACAGTTTGTTCAGCAAACCCAGAAAAGAGGCAAGACTAGACCACTTAGGAGCCGGGGTTTATGTGTGCCACTCGGAAACAGGGGTGTGAAATGTCCCCAAAGAGAAGCATATAGGGGACAAGGGTAACGGAAACGGTTGCTTTTGTCCAACACGACGAGGATGGGGTTCGGGATAGGGATAGAAAATCTCGTGTTCCACAACACCTCCAGGGAATCGACTCTCTGCCCATCTCCCGAACGAGAGTTGTCAGGCGCATTGGTGTGTATAGAGGCAGGTTACAAGTCGGTAGCCCCAATACTGAGGGTACTTTCTGTTGCGCTGACCGTTGTCTCTTGACGTGAGAACCGTTGAAAAGCATCGGCAGTGGTGAGGTCAAAAGAGAGGTAGGTAGCTGGGGAAGCATCACAGGGGCACATGTATGTAATGCGAAGCATACTTGCGTCGAATACGTAGTGATGTTGATTGACCAGCGGGGCAACATGGGTTGGAGGTGCAGTGCACTGCGTCGTGCATCCCCGCACCATCATCGAGAAGCAGTCCCCTGCCGTTCAAGGGCAGGCATCGAGTGGTTGGTTGGATGGCAGAATGGATGGACGAGAACCACGGGCGGTTTCCCTCGTTCAGATTCGAATCCCCTCCCTCTCCTCACGAATTGGTCAACGTTTCTGGCGTTGCATTTTAGCCCTTTGGTATCTCGCTCAGCGCCAGACCAGAATTGCCATCAGTCGCAAGATGCTTGCGACTCGCTCGCTCCTAGTTGCCCCAGCTTCACTGTCTTGACTATACAGAGTGATCTCGTAGCCCCATGTCGTGCTATACAGACTGCGTAGACGAGAAGCGGACCCTTTGTCGTGTAATCGCGGAAGATGGCAAAGATCTCGTAGATTGCTGCAGGTCGGGCATGCAAGGTGAGGGTGCGCAAGAGCACGCAGCAGAGAAACCGGTAGCCGAAGGGGAGAGGGAGCTACCGCGTGGAAAGTCAAGCAACTGAATGGGGTCGCCCTGAGACTTCTGGCCTTGACTGACCATGCAGTTCCACCATACCCGCATCCAGCCAAAGCAGAAGCAGGTGGACGCCGTGCATGGAAGGTGATCCGGAGGCACACACACGCCTGCCACGGGCTTCTGCTTGATCGAGTGGCTTTCTGTTTCTACCACCTTTTTTCACTTTCACTGCTTCCTTTCCCTCTCTCTGTCGGCTTGGCCCCGATGTCCAGTTCCTGGAACACCTGCCCATCTTTTCTATTGTCTGGAACGGTTGTGCTGGGACGTGCCGACCAAGATCCGGTATGGGCTCGGGGACGCCAGTTTACCAAGAGACCAGTCAGCTCTCTTGGTAGATACGACCTCATGAGTTCGTCTGCTTACCGTAGAGCAGCCAGCGAATTGTGATGCGATTTCTCCTCGGAATAGATGCTTGTTGGTGATTGCTTCTTGAACTCGTCTCGCCCCTCCAGGTTTCCCCTGCAACTGGCAACTGGCCCAGGGCTTTCCCTCCGGCTACCGGTCCTGAATGTAGGTACGGCTTCTCGACCTTCTGGCGGGATCGAAGGAGCGAGGCTTGCGAGAGACTGACTGGCTTGTTGACTGGGTGATTGACGGTCTCGACTGGCTGACAGGGAGTGGCAGGCAAGGTCAACACCATGAGAAACCATGGAGAGGGGGGTGTGGACATGCTTCGCTGCAACATGTATGTAGGCTAATGTAGGACAGCGCATCGGGAGAGACAGATAGATCTTCCATACATGATGGGGACTGGAGAAGCTACTGACGCAGTATCCCGCCGCCGCCCGCGCTGGCATACGCAGGTGTGTGGGAGAGAACCCTCTCACGCATGGCCACGACACTGCGTTGGTGGGGATGGCCCCATTCGAGAATGAGGGGGTCACCTCTTGGCGCGAGGAGAAAAGAGGCTGGACGACTGGAAGGGCGAGAAAAATAAAATAAAAAATAAAAAAAATGTCGTTGATTTCTTGCGTGATAGCCAACCGTCCACCGTGCTCCACAAAGATCCAAGTCAATCCCAACCACCGGTGGCCGCCATTGTACCGTGCGTGCATCTGAGAGGTTCAGAATGCTACTTTTTCTCGTGACGGATAACCGAGAACATTTGGTTTTGATCGTGACAGACAGAACTGGCTGGACCTGACAGTCTGGCTATTATTAGCGCATAGCTCCGTAGTACATGAGAGGGTGATGGATAGCTTCATCATTCGTCTGTATGAAACTTCCCATGGCTAGATTTGGGAATGGATCCGAGACCACGGGGATGAGAGGGATGAAGAGGCCGCGAGGGCGGGTAGGAGGGCGAAGGTTCGGACTTCGGAGGGCGGAGGGCGTCTGATGATGGGTAGCCTCAAGCGTGGAAGCGTCGGCCTCACAAGGCACACTCATCGTCAAGTCAAAACATCTTCTGGAGGTAGGTATGCACCACAGTGGGCGCGCCATCAAAGTGAAAGTGTTGCAATTGAAATGAACGCAGCGGCACAGCAAAAGGTATCAATGATGCTGAACAAGGCAGTATAACCATAGTAAAAAGCAATTGAAGTTGTCGCCGGCAGATGCGAACAATGGGATGGCAGAAGAAACAACGAAACAAGCACCAAATGGAAATGCTTGTATCGATTTCCGGATTTCAGTTTTGCATGTTCCACTTCCAAGTTGACGGGAGTCTGGGCCCCACTTCCCTTTCGTCCCATCTCGCGGTTATCAAGCCCGTATCCTGATCTGGCATTGGGGTAGCGACCACTGCGGGCTGGATCGTGACTTCCATCTGATGGTGAGGGGTCGAATAAAAACAGCAATCACGAACAGGGCAAGGTAGCGCTCAGATGTATCTTACACCCAAGATACCGTACTGTGTGGTATGAAACAGTGGGGTTGAGAAAAGAAGGCCGACCGGGGAGGGGGTCTACGCTTCGACTGAGCAGTCCGCACTCGCTGCAGCCTTGGTTGAACTAGCGGTGAAGAGGAGATCAAGCTAACCCCATTCTGGAAGCCCACAGTGCAGTGAACGAGCTCGGTCGAGGTACCCGGTTGAGGTTGTTGATCTGGAGTGTCCTCGCATGTCCATGATGCCCCGTTGTATCATGGAGATGCAGTGGTTATACAGGTATCTAAGATGTATACAAAACGGACAATCTCGAGTTTTGATGCTGAGGCGCATAGAGTTAGCTACCTATAGACTGGACTCGAGTTTGCGCAAAAGCCTATATTGCGCCAGAGTCTTGGGCCATCTACAGAGGTACCTACCAGCTGGTGTTTTCTTGCTGGTGGCGTGGCTTCTTTCGTTTGTACACAACTCCATGTTTGGTAAACTGAGTGCTATCTGTACCAGACCAGGTATGGATGTGAACGATGGCGATATCAGACACCTCACCACAGAGCCGGGGCATGAACATGATCTGGAATCCTTCCTTGCTCAACTCTGGTATTGTCCGAAGCAGTGCCCCTGAATTATCCACTTGTTACTATCTCGTCAACATGTCGTGCGAATTAGCTTCTTGCAAGTGTTCAGGCACATCGTTGACTTGCAGGAGCAGATGGTGATGGATTCACCTCTTTTTTGGGATGCCAATACAATTCAAAAGACTTCGAATCTTCACTGTGCATGAGAACAACGCTAAAAACCTCTGGCAAAGCGAGGATGACTTGTCAGTCACTCACCTCCGGCATACCTTGGACTGGCCTTGGCCCTGTCGAGCCTTCGAGGCAGGGAGGTACCCAACCTGTAAACTTGTGTCTTGCGACTTCGCACTTGTGTTCTTCCCTCTCCACCGTCACAGTTGCTTGCTGCATTCCCGGCTGCCCATGTAAGGCGGAAAACGGTCCGCGCATGCAGCTCGTCCCCGGCGAATAGGATGGGATGGAAGGGGTGTAAGCACGTCGCGGTGCCTATGATTTGCATAACGCCGGGCAGTTCGTGCAGTCTCTCTTGTCCCAACCCAAGGGTTTGGGGTTTTTAGTCGCGACGACATCCTTCAAGAAGCAGACACATCCTCGACGACAACAACAGGTTGCCCACACCGCAAGAATGAGATGGCAAGAATTGCTACAAAAATGGACCGGCGAGACCGGGCCCCCAGGTTCCAGCCGAGCAACAACAACTCTCCGCGCTATCCCCCCATCGTCATTGCCAGCGCACAATTCATTGGACCGCGCTCTGATACGATGAGAGGGAGCATGTTGATCTCGAGGTCAGCTCGTCCCCCTCGCCAATATCGAATGGGAGACAGCCGGCCACCTCGACAGGGCGTGTGGTGGTGTGGTTGTGGGCTTGAAGACGTGGTGGGCCATGATTGGATTGATTACATGGTGGCTTTCCATTTCGTACCACACCCGGCCAGAAGCTGGCGCGGGAAGATAAAGCCAAACCCGAACGGCAGGTCAAGCTGCATTCGCTGACACCATGTCTTACCATTGAGATCCCAGCCTGGCCTGGCCGACCTCTGGCAACATCCTTCTCCGGTCGGGGGTCGGTGTTTTGGAAGCAATCAGTTAACAACCCCCAGAGGTAGCCGGTGAGCCAAGTACCTAGCGAGACTCAAGAATAATCAACAGATCACGGATGAGGGACGACGAGCTACAATTGTGGAGGATTGGAGTTCGTATTGCGCTGTACAGCGGAGGAAACGTTCTTTAGGTTCGGTATCGGTAACCTCTACCTGTCATATCTCGCACGCAGCGAGTCAAGGTATACCTATACATGGGACGGAAAGGACATGCCATGTGTTGATCGGCGGATAGACATGTTATCGAACATTGTCAAAAGCTCTATCGGATTGCGCCAAGCGACCTGGCACTTCTAGCCTCGTTGCTTTTCCATTCTTCGAAAGCCAAACCGAGAGTTCTGGTTGTTCTCTGACTGTCTGCCAGGTGGCATCTCGAATGGCGATACCTCCGTGCTGCTGTCGGAACGTTGAAGGGCCCCAGAAGGTCCAGTTCCATCTGTACCCCGTCGTGCCCGTGATGCTGCTGCAAGGCGTCAGGGCCTGAGCCCTACCGGGACGCAGGAAAGCTAACGGACGGACCTGGGAGCCTGAAGCTTGTGATCGGCTTCGATGGATGGACCTCCGAAGTTTTCTATTTCCGTTCAAGATCCCCGACGACACTCCACGGATGGACTCGGCGAACACACACAGCGACGTTTTGATACTGCACCTTGAGGCGACTATGTGGGTGTTGCGAGTCTCATAGCACCAAGGTAGAGTTCCCCGGTAGAATTGGGAGATACACTGTGTACAAGGTGAAACCATATCCACTCCATCTTCTTTGGCTCTGTGTACTGTGTAAGGCTGATACGCTGTGCTGCCCAACCCTTGCCAGGACAGGCTTACCCACGACAACGGCGGCGTAAGGTACAGGTAAACAAAAAAAAAAAAAACCTGAAACAAGCCAACGAGACGCCATCTCTAGCAAAAGAAGAATTATGATTGGTAGCAATTCATTAATGCACAAGCACCTAACCGCTCTGCATTCGCTCCATGCAAGCGTGGGTGTCCCAGTTCCTTCCTTTCGACTGCCAATGCCTCTGGTGATGGGCGCGGTAGGTGCAATACGATCTTCTGGCGTTCGTTACCGGCGGATACGGGTTTGGTTTTTTTATACTGAGCCAGTATCATCGAGTCGTGTAATAGATTCGATATTACCGAGAGGTATATTCCATCCATCTCTGTCGATACTTGATAGGTACTGCTGTGGTTTCCTAATATGAAATTCACCGGTGATGAAGAGGGACCTGCGTGGTTGCCCTTGTCTGCTCCTCAACTTCCCGTTACCTCAACTGTGAATTGCAGGTCAAGGTAACCCAGAATGCAGGGACTCGGTGCGTTACTACCTCCGAACCTGTTGATTTCTGATTCCCGAATTCAGAACCGGGTCGAGATAAGGCATGTCGTGGATCTTAAAAAGTTCACTGGACAGACATGGATGGTACGGGGACGAAGAAACAAAAGATTACCTGACCCTGCATGTGCATCTTGCGCCAATGATAGAGGTATGGATCATTAACAAGATCAAAGGGTTATTCCTACCGTAACATTCACAGACGTACAGGGAAAGGGCTGCTGTTGACATTAAACCTGAGACTCTCAAGTCCCTGCCTGAGTGAAAAGGAGAACTCAAGAATTCGGGAATTTTCGAAGGGTGCGTGATGATACCGGGGAACGCCTAGGAACAAGAGGTTGTCTCACCAAAACTTCCTGCTACAGTGTACCATGGAGGTGGGCCATTTTTGGGTACGTGAAAACTGTAGCATCGCGACTTTGCTTTTGAAGACAAATTTGAATGTCAAACTTGGCGATTTCATCGTGTCAGTTGGCGAAGGGTACCCGTGGAGATAGGGTGGCCTTTTTCACCCATCCCCACTTCTGTAGGAGAGTGGGGATGGGTCAGAAAGCCACCCTATCTCCACGGGTAATCTGATCTTGTATTTTTTTCAAACAGAAAACTCGCAAGTCATACATCCAGTAACGAGTCTCAAGAGTGCCACGCATAAGCAATAGCCCAACCAACTCGAACACCCCAGCGAACTTCCTCATGCTGCACATGGTTCTCGATTCGGAGCCTGCTCCCGTGGAGTTAAGAACACTGATTTCCAGCATCACCGCCTCCAGACCGTATCATGATACCAGATCCGATGCGCCAGGTAAGTTTGGTCTTCACCATCAGGCGAATTATTGTTCGCCTGGATGGCGGGTTGTCTCTGAGACGGTACCTATCTGCCCTGCTTTGCCAAAAATGACTTTGACGAGATCAAGTGACCGAGAAACCAGCCAGTCTCTGAAGACCACGAATCTTTTGCGGGACACCAACCAGTGCACCCCCAGAGAGACCCGAGGAACACTTTCCAAGGTGCCACGAATTCCAAACAACCACGCGAGGGAGGCTCTCCCGCACACCTATCATGGAAACCTTTTCAGACAGGTGATACTCACTCCTGAGCCCTGCGTTGAGATTCAGCTCTGTGATTGCGCGCCCAGAACAGAGATTCAGGGCTTCATCACACATTGGTTGCAATCGCCTTCCCTTCGACTCGAACTTACGGTGTAGAGGTTGAGCTGTACAAGTAAGTCTCAGGGGAAGCGGTAGACTGACACTGCGGGAAAGATACCGCACCGGCAAGGTAGAGCGTCAGAAAACTCCCAAACTTTAGTACCTATGTACCAGCTACTTGCCCCGTGTCGGAGCCGGGCCTGATCAGGTATGTGAGTGGTGGACGTTTCGAGGTCATCGGTCTTATGACACCGTCCACGATGACAGTAGAAAAGTATCAAAGCGCTAGGCGTGGTACTGCGAAAAACCAAAAGTCATCGTTGATTCGGACCCGGTGATGACGGGAAGGTCGGGGCATCGGCTACACGGCGCAGCCGAGTGGGGTCGCCGATCGGAGAGTGTGGGGCTTGTTGCCGGCCGGGTGGGGTAACCGATGAGATTCTTCCCCGGCTGCAGCCGGCCAGCCAACACGGCGCGGGTTTGACGATCCGCCAGAATGGGTGTTTCGGCAAGCTTTTTGCCGGATCGCTTGCTGTGAGATTGTTAGACAACGCAACTAATTCAGGTACAGCGCGGGACAGCAAAAGGGAACATACCCGAAGGCCATGGCAATGCTAGTTGTGAAGTGAAGCAAGAACGGTGTAATGCCTCCTTGGCTGCTTAGCATGCCTTGAAGAAGTGCTTCTTAACCCCCTATTCGCTCAACGCTTTGAGAACGCATGTAGACAACACTGAGAGATTCTGCCTCACTTCAGTCACTAAACCCTACAGACATTGCACTGAATCGCTTTTCCACGTGTACATACCCGCGATCGTCTTTTACATCGTACAGAACTGATCAAAAGAGTATACCTCACTTTTTCGACACTGATCTCGACAAGCGGTTCCCAGCGAGAATCTCTGCTACAGCCTCGGATCCACGAGTGTTTTTTGGCGATCACCGAGAAGGGTGGTGTTTGAGAGGCCCGTGACACTGGGAACGCTTTGACCTTATAGGGTTCATCCGGTTCCTTTTCAAATTCTTCAAGGCCACAAAGTAAATCCGCGAAATAGGTTCCGGATCTCCGACGGTGAACTTTTCTGTGGCCATCGGATGCCAAGTTGGTCTTCTTGGTAAGGTGGCCTGACTCAAAAGAGCGCATACTCAAGGTGATGCGGCAGGAGACCAAAGCAGGCTGGCGGAGTTCGATCTGTTGCATGTTGGAATCCGGAAGGTCTGATTCTGCAGTGTCCTACATTCACATGCAAACCTCTTTCGCGTCTTGGGACGTTATCTCAAACACGCAATCCAGCAGCAGGAGTCATAGGTACATATGCACTGGGCATTTCACGCTGTCCGGCGCCGCCTGATTTTATATGATGTCTGCCCGTTTTTGCACCACCAAAGCCCGAACCACCGGTTCAGATGAAATGGGCCGTTTTGGGCACCGGCCGGGCCGGACCGGTTTTCGTCGGTTCCATAGGGAAACTTGGCACTGATCGATCTACTACGTAGTTGTTCGTTTGGAGATCAACGAAAAATCACACGTAGTGAGTACCTGTCGACAATGGCAAGGGGGGCAGCCTGAGACCTGCATAGAACGAGCAAAGAGATATTCTCGAAATCCAACGCTCATGCACTTGATTCAATGGCTTCAAAACAGCTCTCAGTCTTGCTATTCCAAGATACCGTTTAAGTCCACTTGAGGCTGAGGAAGAAAGGTGTTGTGACACTGCTATTGCATATGACAGCAGATCTTGGAATGTTAGAGTCAAAGCGGGAAAAGGTTGCTGTGGGGAAGGAGCTATGTTAGTGCGATTGTAGCTTCCGCAGCCAAAATGCCCCGCATTACTAACAAATGGCGAGCATCGATGAGGAGCAGACGAGGAGCATATGCATAACACACTAACATGACCCCATTCTCGGGAACACTCGTTTGAAATCCTTTGGTGAACGCGCAGATCTGACGTTATGTTGAATGCATTCCTGAACAGGGCCATTGACCGCAAAACCCCATAAGCACGACAAATCGCCAGATTGAAAGAATGATGAGGCGAAGATGGAGAACCATGACTTGATCGCAGAGCAAGATGGTGTGTCTGTTTTTGTTTTGTTTTGTCTCGTTCCCCATCTCCTCCTGGCCAGCTGGCCTACTCCCGAGCGGTTTCGCGGTTTCTTTGCAACCTTGGCAATCTGACAAGTTGCCGCTCGGGCATTTCTCCTCACCCGAACTTTTCTCTTCCTGGCGCCAGCTGCCAGCCGAGGAACTCCACGCCGGGCCTGACCTGTAAAGTGAAGAAGCAACACACTCCGTTGGTTTCGTTCTTTGTATCCGTAGCCTCTCGTCTTCTCGATACATACCTTCCAAGTTTACGCCGGTTTACAGCCCTGAGAACCGTTACTCACTAAAAGATGAGTCTGAGAACTGGCACTAACCTCGATAATGAATGCATATACTTGGACTTACCTCGTAGTTCCATGATACCTCTACGCCTCCGGCATTAAACATGATGTACCCTTTACGTCTCTGCCTTCCCAAGTCAAGGTCCAAGCAACAGCGGGAACCCGTCGCGTCTTCGTCGCAACTCCCACCCGAGCTAATGTCGTTTCTAGGCACCTGCTGGCCCATGGCTCAGAACCTACCTGACCTGGACACTTGCTGTCTGTTGGCAGTCCTGTTTACGACGGCAATAACTGGGAGGCTCAAGAAGCCATTGACTTGCTCACTGTTTGCTGCCCGGTGTTCGAATAGTCAGTTCCTAGAAACGAGAAACCATGACCAAAGCCGTCCGAAACGAAATCGAAGTGTCACAGACAGAAGAGTGGACGTCGACTGCTCCTGTACACAGTGAGATCTTTCTATACACACACATGAAAGTACAACCACCCTCAGAGCATTCAGCTTGCTACAGTTGGAATACAATAAAGATACTGTATACTTGAGCTTCCAGTGGACGACTTGATTCCCTATTATCGTTGGTCGTAGTATCAAACAAGAGAAAAAGTAAGGTAGCCAGCTAACCAAAAGTGGCTTCCAGTTTGCAACTGGCTTTCCAACTGTAACTCTTGCTTTTGCCTTCCCTTCGCAGCCGTTGAGACAGGACAGGACCGGTTGCAAGGCGCATTTGAGAAGAAGCTTCTACATGCCTCCCGGCTCGCCTCCCTTTCAGACTTCAGTAACTTCTATCTTATCATTGAACATTGCGTCTTCCATGGGTTGTACCTGCTTGTTTCCTTCCCGCAGAGCAAGGAATTGCACCACCTCTACCTATGCGACCAAGAAGGCTTTGGTTTTCTAACGACGCTGGGACTAGCAGCATGGGGCTCCAAACCTCGCGCTAATGCTGAACAGGCAGTGAATTTCGGCGTGGTAACCCGCTCAGTTCTGTTTGGGTCAATGTAACGAGAAGAGAGTATTGAAAATCCAGATCGCGACCTGGGTGGTTGGTCGTCGCCCACTTCCCTTTCCAGCCCGGGGAGGGGGTTTGTGACAACAGGGATAATCAAGATTTGGACCCCCTTGGCTACGTGTTTACTTGGGCGTTTTTTTTTTTTTTGCTCAGGAAGGCCATTGGGGCCAACGCCTGCCAATCAGAGCGGCGGGCGAATTCGAGAACCGAGACGAAAGCTCGCTTTCCTCCCGTATGAGAGATACCTGGTACCTAGAATAGCGGAGCAATTGTGGGCAGGGCACCCACCACAAGTTTCCCACCAGGCACTGTACCTGGGCTGCCCCAGCACGGCCGCTCCCACACTCGGCAGGCCCCAACACTCGTGGGCCTATGGCGCCAGTGAAGTTGGGTAGGCCTGGCTTTGGCTACAAGGTAAGGTACTGTGTGTGATGATGCGGAAACCGAAACGGTCGACCGGCCGGGCCTGCTGTCTGTTTTCGCAGTCCAGTCTTCGCCTAGTACCCGTCTATCTATCCATCCGACCCCGGGCTCTCCATCTCGACTTCCCGTCCTCGCTCCTCACCACCACCGTGACCTAAATCCAGCCGGGCCCCGTCCTCCCTCTCCCCAGCTCTTCCCACTTCAGTTCCTTCGCTTTCCTTTCCCCGACTCCCTCTATCCACCCGCCTCCCCATTTTCTCCCACCTGCACGCTCTTGGCAGAGAGGTGCATTGCAAGGAAAGCAGGTTCCTGTGAGGTTAGTTGAGAAAGAGAAGGTAAGTGTACACTGCGCTGTACTCGCAACTCGAGCAGCCGTCTGAACGGGGAACACTCAAAAATTTTACGGGTGAGCTAATTCCTCAACTTCAATCTTTTAGGACCGACCAGCACGCAGCCATTCACCCATTACGCGACGGGACCATTCCACTTCACCTCTTATCCGATCACCATTTACCTGCATTGGTTGCCCAGTTTTCCTCTTCACCATTATCCGCGGGGAAATCGACAAAACAAGAGTCACGACTTGGAGCTCGAGCATCTTTTTTTTCTTGTCTCGGCAGGTTTTTTATCACAAGGAGACGATCGAATCTCTCGGTTTTCCGGCTCTTGTTGCATGTGCTTCGCCATCAATCAGACCACGCATGAGCTGCATTGCGTCTTTGGTTCTGCATAAATAAGGCTTGGAAAACATCGATACCAGCTGTGGCTGTTCTTGGAGGCATTGCATCAACAGGGCACGCATCGGAGACCGGTACGGCGTGATCGCACACTGCGAAAAGCACACGAATCAGCAGCTTTTTTTTCCCCGGGCATTGTTAAGGTCGCGTCTGCTTGAACGTCTCATGCTAGTTGGACACTTCCCACCTTTTATTTTCACCACATACAAGTAGTCGGACGGCCCTCAACCTCTTCAACCTGTTTCCGTTTGCTCAACAAGCACTGAGCTACAAAACCCGAACGACCCCCCGACAACCCATCTTTCGTTAACTCCCACCACAGCCAGTCCCCGTTTCAGTACCAGCAGCCGCTTATCGTCTGGCAGTACTCGACACGAGCATCACGCCCAGATACATCAACGCACATACGGTCCCACACTCTCGGGACCTCGTTGCCCGCCATTCCCCCCAGCCATCAACTCTCTGGTCCACCGGGCCAGCAAGGCTCAGGACCCGAGTCCTATCCGACCATGAACCCCAACGGACCAGCTGACGTCTACTACGGACAAATGTCCCAGGGCAGTTCGATGCCCGTAACGACGGTGCCTTCCCACTCCCATTACTCTTCTCAGCAGCCTCCGCCACTGTTGCAACCTGGTTCAACCTATGCTCACCAGTATGGTAACCCCCAATATGGATATGCCAATGCTCTTAGCTCGCCGGCCCCGATTCCGCCGTCTCTTCCCCCGTCCATGAACCCGATGGCCGGCCAATCGGTCTTGCCGCTTCCTGGCAGCGGCAGCATGAATCCTGCTGCTTACGCACCCGGCGGTTTCGACACAACTGGCCAAGTAGCACCCCCCGGTATGAAGCCTCGTGTCACTGCCACACTGTGGGAGGATGAAGGCAGTCTGTGCTTCCAGGTTGAAGCGAGAGGCATCTGTGTTGCTCGCAGGGAAGACAATGCCATGATCAACGGCACCAAGCTCCTCAACGTCGCTGGCATGACCCGCGGACGCCGTGACGGTATTCTCAAGAGCGAGAAGGTCCGCCACGTTGTGAAGATTGGCCCGATGCACCTCAAGGGTGTCTGGATCCCCTTCGAGAGAGCCTTGGATTTCGCCAACAAGGAAAAGATCACTGAGCTCCTTTATCCTCTGTTCGTACACAACATTGGTGCCCTCCTGTACCACCCCACCAACCAGAGCCGGACCAGCCAGGTCATGGCCGCTGCTGAACAACGTAGGAAAGACAGCCATGGCCAACTTCGCGGCCCCCCCGGGTTGCCATCCCTCCAACAACATCACCACCACTCCATGCTTCCAGGCCCCCCGTCCTTGCCCTCGCATCCTGGCATGGGACGGCCGGCGCTTGACCGTGCACACACCTTCCCTACGCCGCCAACTAGTGCCTCGAGCGTGATGGGCTCAATGGGCAATTCGGACGGCTATCAGTGGAGTCAACAAAGCATGAATGGCCCGCAGGGCAACAGCTCGATTTCTCTCGACACAAGCCTTGGTAGCAACGCTCGATCGATGCCTAACACGCCGGCAACGACGCCCCCAGGTTCGACAATCCAGAGCATGCAGAACTATCCGCCCGTCAGCCAGTCGTATGGAGACAGCTCTCGGCAGATGTACCACGGACAGTCTGCTCAACAAGCTCAGTACCAGAGCCAACAGCACTACTCTAACCAACCGCAGCATCAAGAGCGGTCCGTCTACAGCCAAAGCAGCTATATCAAGAACGATATGGGCCCGCCGTCCGGTAGACCTACCGGTCAGTCCAACGACGCATCCGACTCCAAGCCGCCTACTGGCATGATTCACCAAGGCCAAGGGCAGAGCGACTCCGGTACTCATGCAGGTTCCGAAGAGGATGATGATGCGAACAACGAGGCCGAGTACACCCACGACAGCGGCGGCTATGATGCGAACCGCGGGTCTTACAACTACAACACACAAGCCGTTAACTCGCTGCCGCACGATCACGGTCTTGCCCCTGAGATTGGTGGCTCCCCCCATCAGGCTGGATCAGGCCGCGCTACCCCAAGAACCGCAGCGGCGCCTACGAGCTATTATTCTGGGCAGGGCTACCATACTCCCCCGCGCGGCCAAACCTCGAGCAGCTTGTACAATGTTATGAGCAACGAGCGAACCGGTAGCAACGGCACTCAGGGAAATGAGATGTACGCGGGCCAGGCTGACATGCCCAGTTCCCTGCAGAACAGCTACTCGGCCCAGACATCCGTTATGAACGGGAGCTCCGGCGGGCTGAAGCGAGGACGGGACGATGACGATGATGGCGGTAGGCCTACGACCAGCGCCCCAAACTTGGGTCCAGGAATGGATATGAAGCGTCGCAAAACGATGATGGACGGCGGCAGCCTCCCATCACCTACATACACGACCACCATCTCGCAAGCCGCACCATCAGCTATCGCGGCCCAGAGGCGGAGGTAAACATTGAGTGAGGGGTATACCGCCAAACTCTCACATACACAGCGCACCTTACACAGCGCATTGTTTTGTATTTTTCACGGCGACATAGAGCGACTTGACGGGATTTTCAGTCGGCTGACTGTCTCAGCCAAGTCCCAACGAGCTACGATTTCTCAGTTTCAGTGTCATGATGATGGCTTGTACATGGCTCATGAATCATGTGGATCCGCATAAAGATTATGATAGCCACGGGCACCTTTTCTATCCGATCCTCTTGTCTTTTAGACCGGACGATAGAGGTTGGGGCCGGTGGCTTACGAGAAAACGTCGCATCGAAACCGCCTATAACGAACCTAGGCGGAAGAGGAGGAGAACAATCAGGAGGGGTCGGAAAACGGTAGTTGGTGGTAAATATCCAGGCGCTGGTCTCGGTGCCGGTACTGGTTTTCACCTACCGTTCAACCTTGGGTTGAGCTGCTAAGCCAGGTTGCTTCTGCGCTTGACATTGCCCGACCTACGGCCACTGCCATGCAAAGAAGCCAAGTGCGCGACCCCTCTGGAAGCGTCTCGCGCCGTTTTCTTTTTCTTTTGTTGTTTTATGACGTTTTCATTCATGTTCGGCTTGACGACGCTTATGACCTTTATGTTATGATTTTTGTTCGACTAAAAAAAGGCGGGACGGGAGTAGGTGTTGATGAGAAGCGTGGGAGGTGGTATGCTTCTTTTTCTCTCGTCTGATTTGGGCTTGGAAACACATGGCTCGGTGGGTTGCCTTTCTCTGGGTCACGACTTTATGAAGGAGCTTGTAAATACGACTTTAGAGGAATATCATCAATGCATGCCTGAGTTGAGTGGTGCCTGAGGAGCCTTGGGTTAGCCTTCATCACTCAACTCTTTTTAACGTACCTTACTTGTACACTACATGGGAGATCCATCCATCATGTGCTGCCGTGGCGTTTTATGTGCCGGGACGTGACACTACGCTAACAACAGCGGAAAAGTGAAATCAAGCGGCAAGTCAAGATACGGATACGCAACAGCAACACGGCAACGCACGTCCCTCGTTTGACTCGAACAGGCTCACATAAGGAAGGACCAGGCACGTCAGGGGCAAGATGGGCACATCAATGTGGATGGAAGTCAGGGTTCCGGTAGGTACTAAGCTCAAGCTGAGCTCTTCTGCGTAGTGTACGGGTATCCAGCATGAACCTCAAGGTACCTGCTAGGCTGTTAGCACAGGGCAATCACCAGGTTTCCATGCCAGCCGGGCAGGCTCGCCAGGCCCCCCATTGCCCCCCATTTAGAGGGGGACACAGCGTGACCCAGGTTGCATGGGAAAACAAAGAAACAAAACACAAATGCAGGGGCAACGCTCAACGCAACTCAATCGCAGCCCACACTTTGCTCATTTCCTGATCAACGTTTCCCACTAAATCCACAACCACCATCGACCGCGACCTACACCATTCAGATTCATCCCCCACTATTTCCGAGTTTGACCAGGGGAATATCTCGGGGGCTGTTGTAAGGCACGCCACGCTTGGTCTACGCCCTCGTCTGTAGAGGTCCATTATGCTTGGGCCGCTTTCGCCGATGCCGAGTTCTGTTCTCAATCTTTCAACCCCTATCAGCAACCATCGACAAGAAATCCCCGACATCATGGACATGGATCTAGACGACGCTCCTTCGAGGAGAAATAACACACAGCAAACTACCGCGGGCGACAACGTCGATAACAGCGAGAGCAGCGAAGCTGGCAACACGACATCGCCGCCCATCGGCCGTGATCCCTCGCCGCCGAAATCTGCCCGCCCCATGTCGCGCATCATCTCCGGCAACGAGCTCTCCCCTCTGAAGATTCTCCAGCACCAGCCGCAACAGCAGCCATTGCAGGTGCCTGAAAGCGCCGAGTCCCCTCTATCGCCTGCGGCAAAGAGCATGGCCCCGCCCCCGCTTCCCCAAAGCGCCCGCAAAACACCCATCAAGCGTTTTCCCGTCAAGATCAACCCTTCGTTGCCTGGCAGCGAGGAGACGACACGCTCCTCGTCACGAGACTCGCAAGATCGTCACCGGATAAGCCTGCAGGACGTGATACGCGAAAACGGAGGCATCAAACAAGCAATCGACATATTCGAGGACGACGATGTTGACATGACCGGCATCGAGGGAGACAGTGGTCCTAAGGACACTCTTCTACAAAATACGTCGGGCAATAACACGGGCGGCGAACATGAACACGCGACACACGAAGACTCCGTCTGCGAAGGGAACGATACCATGGTTAGCACGTTCAGCACGTTTTCGGCTGTCCCAGACCTCACCAAGTTTTCACACATGCGATCCGAGAGCGCAAGCAGGTTCTCGGTGCTCGGTGGAGGGGTGTCGCCTACGAAACAGACACCGCGCGCAAACGGCCTGGTGCCGGATAATAGAACAACGACCGGGAAGAAGAGAGACTTCGACTCGGGCAACACCTCAAACCTGCTAGACTTTACGGATTCACTACGATATGGAGGCTATGGAGCACCACAGACATCGCCCACACGCCGCACCCAGTTCGCATCGCCGAGGCCTGGTAGTACTGACCCTCCCACCACGACACCCCAACGCCCGGGCAGCAATCTTTCCAACATCCTCGACTTTGACATCCCACCCATGCCGACACCGCGCAGCGTCCCGACCATCACGCCACGCGAACTTGAAACCCTGAAATCGGGCTTCCTTTCCGAGATCAGCAGCCTCAAGGCTTCGCTGAGCGGCAAGGAAGCAGAAGTCACGTCGCTGAAAACAGCTGTGAGCGACGCCGAGAAGCGGGTTGGCGAGTGCATGGAGCGGCTTCACGAGGTGGAGAGCATGCACGAGTCACTAGAGACCGAGAAAAATACCTGGGAGCGGCGGGGGCGGGAAATGGAGACTGTGTTGCGCCAGGTCAAGGAGGAGATCGTGCTCGGTCAGCGCGAGAGGGAGGAGCTTGAATTCAAGCTGGACGAGGCCGAGAAGCGTAGGGAGGCGGCCGAGATGATGGCCCAGGATGCCGAGAGCAAGATGGCCGGTATGCGTGCTGGTAAGGCCAGCGCGGAGGCTGCTGCTCACGAGTCGCCTGACAAGGCGAGGGGAGGACAACCATCGTCCAACAAGGAGGTGGAGATGGCAGTGGAGCGCGTAGCTCGCGAGCTTCATGCGCTGTACAAGAGCAAGCACGAAACCAAGGTGGCGGCACTCAAGAAGAGCTACGAGAGTCGCTGGGAGAAGAAGGTGCGCGACCTGCAGGCGCAGGTGGATGAGCTGAGCCGGGAGAACGAGGAGCTGCGAAAACAGAGGGACCAAGATAAGGCGGCGTTGGCGACCCTTAACCCGGCGCGGCTTACAGAGCTGGAGGAGGAGCGCAAGGCTGACCGGGCGCGGAATGCGGTGCAGATCACGGAGTTCGAGGCCGAGGTGGAGAAGCTTGTGGCGATTCTCCAGACAGTCAAGGACGATAATGATGAACTCAGGACACTCTTGGAACAGGAGAGAATCGAAAAAGGAGAGCTGGTTCGCCTGGCCGAGGAGATGATGAGCATGCAACAAGAGCCGCCGACGCCTGCGCCCGCGCCTGCACCTACCCACCTGTCGACTGCCAATGGCCGGGGCCTTTCCGACCGTAGGGTAAGCGATATGAGCGCCACTAGTAACGGCGATGGTGGACATCATGCGCCGCAGCCAGCGAGCATGACCTCCAAGATTGGAGCGAAGCCAAGACTGGGTCTCGGCGGTGGGCCGGGCGCCGTACGCGCGCCGACAAAGACACAGTCAGCATCCGGAATCGCTCCTCCGTCGGGTATGGAGGGGGCCTTCCGGGCCGGTGGTGTCGGACGCCCGACTAGCATGAGGGCGCCGGGCGGAAGTGGCCTCGGGCTGAAGGCCTCGGCGGCGAGCAGAATCGGGCTTGGTGGCGGCTCGGGTCACGGAAGGGCTCAGAGCGCTACGGCATCGGGGCCGAATGGCGTGAGTGGGTTGCCGCGGCCGGGGTCGGGAATGGGATTGAGAGGTAGCGGGACCTTGGGCGGTGGTACCACTGGTTTTGGCGGTACGGGGGGCTATCGGGGACACTGAGGAGGTGTGACCAAGCCTACAAGTACAACCCAACCTCTTGTCATGAAGGTTTTGAAGCAACAAGATAAAGGAGGCGGAGAGGGCGGCAACGGGGAGGGTGCGATTACAACCACCACTCCAACCAGAACGACAACGAAACGAACTGATGCGAAATGAATGTGTTCAGATTACCTTTTGACTTTTCTACATTATATCCACATACGCCTTATTCTGTCTTTTGTCTGGTGGAAAGATCGGCAAGACAACAGAGATTGGAGTAATACAATCATGCTTTTCCCCTACCGTTCTTGCCTCTCTTCTACATATATAGATAGGATCGGTGCCATAGATACGTACCCCTTGCTTCAGCGATTTGATCCTATTTATCTTGTAAAGACCAATGACCTTTGATGCTCCACTGTCATGTACCTGTGAAAAGCCCTGGCGAGCTATACTAGAGGTATACTTCCGTTAGCTGCCATGCCCGCGATTAAGGTCGTCTCTTTGGTCTCAGGCTTGGGTGGTTTCCAGGTCGATCATGACAAATTCACATATATACAAGTCGGTGAACCTTGGCGTGTTCGTTCCAACCTGACACAAGATGGGATGAAAGTCATTGTACTCATATAATCTAGCTACCCGCCTTTTCCCGCCCTTCTTAACCCCTTTTACCAAGTAAACAAACAAACAAACAAACTAACCCTTTCAACCCATTACCGTAACCCCCATTCCCACCTTTGTACCCCCCAAACCCACTCAAATAGCCAACCTCTCATGCTTAAACCGCCTCTTCCCCTCTCCCTCTCCATAAACCGCACTCACATGTCCCTGCCCCCTAATCTTATACTTGTAAATCATCAACCCCTCCAAACCCACCGGACCGCGCGAGTGGATCTTGTTAGTGCTGATACCGACCTCGGTACCAAAGCCGTAGCGCATGCCGTCCGCGAACCGGGTCGACGCGTTCCAGTACGCGCCCGAGGCGTCCACGGCCGACATGAAGCGCTCGGCTTCGTCCTTGTCCGAAGTCAGGATCGCCTCGGTGTGGTGCGAGCCGTGGGTGTTGATGTGGGCGATGGCGGCGGACAGGTCGGGGACGGTCTTGACTGCGAGGACGAGCGAGAGGAATTCGGTGTTGTAGTCCTCGGGGGTGGCGTCGACAACAGTGATGTTGCTGGAAGAAAGGGCAGACTTGGAGGCGGCGTCGCAACGTAGCTCAACGCCCTTGGCGGCTAAGGCGGCGGCGACGGCGGGGAAGACGGTGTTCAGAGCGGATTCCTGGACGAGAAGGGTCTCGACGCTGTTGCAGGCGGCCGGGTAGCTGGTCTTGGCGTCGACGACGACGTCGGCGGCCAGCTTGGGGTCGGCAGAGGCGGTCAGGTAGATGGAGCAGAGGCCGTCGGCGTGGCCGAGGACGGGGATCTTGGTGTTGTCCTTGATGTAGCGCACCAGCTCGTTGGAGCCGCGGGGGATGACGAGGTCGATGTCGCGGTCGAGGGCGAGCAGCTGCGGGATGGACTCGCGCGTGGTGACGAGCTGGATGGCGCCGTTGGGCACGCTGGTCTGGGAGAGGGCTTGGGAGATGACGGTGCTGATGGCCACGAACGACTCGGTCGACTCCTTGCCGCCCTTGAGGATGGCCGCGTTGCCGGACTTGACGGCCAGCGCCGCGATGTTGGCGATCACTTCAGGGCGAGCCTCGAAGATGATGAGCAGCACGCCGATGGGGCAGGTGACGCGCTCCAGCTCCAGGCCGTCGTCCAGCTTGGTCCGCAGCGTGACGCGCCCGACGGGATCCTCCAGGTCGCGCACGTCCAGGATGCCCTTGAGCATGTCCTCCCACTTGCCCGTCTTGCCCAGGTCGAGGCGTGACACCAGGCTGGCGCTCAGCTTGCCGTCGGCGGCGGCTTGGCGGGCCAGCTCAAGGTCGCGGGCGTTGGCGGCCAGAATGTCGTCGCGCGCGGCAGTGAGGCCGGCGTGGATGGCCGTCAAGGCGTCGTTGCGGGCCTCGGCCGAGAGCGTGGCCAGCACGTGGGAGGCCGACTTGGCCGCCCGAGCCGCATCGGCGGGACTTGCGTTGGTGAGAGACATTTTTGTGCTTCCTTGTGTGTGAATTGATTAGCCACCTCTATATGAGACCTTGAAGGTTGGTGATGCTGGATGTAACTCACTTTGAGTAACTCACTTGAGGCCAAAAGTGGAGTTTGACTTATAGAGACGGGGGAGTAATGACAATGTACTGTACCGTTGCGGCGGGTGATGTTCCGGGTACCTCTACGGGGTATGTAACAGAGTTGTTACGGGGATCCAGATGTTCGGGGTGAGTCAAAGTTCTGGAACTTCTTGGCCTCTTTGCCCTGTAGCCCGTGTCCTCGGTATCCGTGCCGGTCGACGTACCGTGAGAGGTCTCGCTACGGAGCCGTGCAACGGGGGAATTCCGTCAACGCCAAGGGTGCCTGTACTCGTGCTGCAGTGGCCCCGTAACCGTTCCGTCCAGGCGCCGTTCAGTGGGTTATGCCATCGGATAGTGCATTGAGTGCCGAAGACCCGAGCGGGAGCGGGCTGGCTCCGGAAGTCGGAAGCGGGAACCAGTGGGAACCAATAAGAAACGTTTCCCACCGCCCATCGGGCCGTTCTGCCGCCTGCTCGTTTTTAGCGGCTCAGAGCGGCTCGTGCGAGCAAGAGCACATGAGCACATGAACACCGCCCAAAACGAGCAAGGGGAAATCCCACGATGCATCATTCCCAAAACCCAACGTCGTGTCGCCCTTGTTGGTACGATATGCCATCATGCGCAACGGAAAACCACTTGCATATGCCCGAAGTCGTCCCCGTTAACTACCGGCGTCTGCTGTGGACGGCCTTCGGAAGCTTGTTCGAACTTCGAAGCAGTTCATCCTTTTTAAGCTTCATGATGGATCCATGTCGACGGTGGATGTTCGTGGGCGCTAGAACTGACCTTTACCCTCTGTGTTTCGTTCTGGAAGACGCACCCTGGCATCGAGATGCCATCGGCACCTTATCCGAAGGAGGGCACTGAAAAGTTGGTGAGCAAGTGCAAGTGCAAGTGCGGTGGAATGAAACGGCTCACCCGCCCCTGCCCTTTTCGCTATTCCCGTTCCATGCCGACCAAGGTTGGTATGTTGCGGTGACCTGACTCCTTCCTCGTTCTCCTTCTCATCGCGGTTTTGCTGCTCTCTCTATCTTCTATTCATCTTCCTGTTTTGCTACTCGAGGCGTGTCTCGGTATCTCCCATCTCACTCTCCCGAGTATCTTGCCGTTTAGCTTCAATTTTTCTTACGTGGGCATATCTTAGCTATATATTTCCGCCATCTGCCGTGGATATACTCATTGTTCCTTTTCAGGTTTTCATAGGACATAAATCTATTCTACAACTGCCATTTGAGACCATCTATAACCCTGTCATAGTCTCCGGGTTTTACTTATACTCGGATTTGCTTGGCGGCTTCGAGTGTCCCCACCAAATACCGCCATGGACGAACGACATCCAGAAAAAGAATCACCAAGGCCAATGGCTCCCACTGATACACGGGAAACCCTCTCAGGGGGTGTGGAAGAGAAGAAGAACATGAAGGAGCAAGTTACCTCTTCGGGTTCTGATACCGACGGACCTGAGGTTGTCGACGACTTCGGTCATGAATCAGGCCCAGAGCAAGACGGACCTCTTCCTGGTGGTGACTCCACCCTGTCTCAGCCCTACCGTACTCTCTCTTCGTCCTGGGCCCATACGGCTTGCGTTGTCCCAAGGTCGAATCGCAGGGGGCTCTTGGCTCGCTTCGCTTTCATTCCCGAGGTTGAGCGTCCTGTTGAGTACAAGAACAAGACAAAATGGATGATCACGGCTATTGTTGCCCTCGCAGCTGCCGGTGCCCCGTTTGGCAGTGGCATCTTTCTTCGTGAGTAATGTCGCCATGTTCAGTGATCTTGGCTTTTTGATTTCTAGAAACTAACCAGTGATACCACAGCTGCTCTTGAACAGATGGCTGCTGACTTACATACATCGCCAACTATCACCAACTTGGCCGTCGCATTGTACATGCTGGCTATGTCAATATTTCCCCTCTGGTGGTCGTCGTTCTCGGAAACGTTAGGCCGACGGACCATCTACATCGCCTCTTTCACACTGTTTGTTGTCTTTTCTGTCATGAGCGCTGTCAGCGTAAATACTGCTATGCTTGTGATAATGCGCCTTCTTGCTGGAGGAGCATCAGCATCCGTACGTACCATTTGCTTTGAAGCACGCAAAAGTAAAGACTGACCCATAAACACCATTAGGTACAAGCCGTCGGTGCCGGCACTATCGCCGACATTTGGAAGCCAGCAGAGCGCGGACGAGCCATGGGAATATTCTATCTCGGCCCCCTAATCGGCCCTCTGTTCTCCCCCATCATCGGCGGAGCACTTTCCCAGGGGTTTGGGTGGCGATCAACCATGTGGTTCCTCGCCATCTACGGCGGCTGCATTTTGATCCTGATCACCTTCGCCCTGCCCGAGACACTCACCAAGCGCAAGCCCCTTCCACCGCCGCCCGCTGAGAACAACGAGCTCAAGCGTGTCTCGTCTGTTGCCAAACACTCGAAGCGCGCTGGCACCATTACTAAGCGCTTTATCATGGACCCCCTCGAGGTCCTCCTCTACTTGCGGTATCCTCCGGTTCTAGTGTCTGTTTACTCTGCCGCCATCGCGTTCGGTGCTCTCTTCATCCTCAATATCTCTATCCAGACAACCTTCCACTCAGCACCCTACGGTTACTCTACCATCATCGTAGGCCTGCTCTATCTACCTTCTTCTCTCGGCTACATCGTTGCCTCGCTTTTCGGTGGACGCTGGACCGACAAAATTATGATGCGTGAGGCCCGCAAGGCCGGCCGCTACGATGCCGATGGCAACCCCATCTTTCTGCCCGAGGACCGCATGCGCGAGAACATCTGGCTAGCTGCCAGTATGTATCCTGCCGCCATGATTTGGTTCGGTTGGACGGCACACAATGGTGTCCATTGGATCGTGCCCTGTATTGCCAACTTCTTCTTTGGCTGCGGGTCTATGCTCGTCTTTGGTGCTGTCACGACCATGTTGACTGAGTTCATGCCACATCGGAGCAGCAGTGGTGTGGCCGTAAACAACTTTGTGAGAAACATCTTCTCGTGCGTGGGCACAATCGTCGCTCAGCCGCTCATTAACGCCATGGGGATTGGGTGGTTGTGCACCATGATCGGATTGTTTGCGTGGGTTACTGGAAACCTGGCCATTTGGATGTTGAAGAGGAACGCGGCCAAGTGGAGGGAGAGTATGGATAAGGCGTTGAACAAGAAGGCTTGAGCTTATAAGCTGGTGTTTTGCCTGTTACTGTGTGGATGGTCTCACACACAAGTTGATTATTAAGAGTAGGATACAAAAAAAATTGAAGGGTCGAGCGTTTGCTTCTGATGGAGGAAGTGTTATTAAGGCATGATTTTAATGGTTTGGTTGGGTACATGTAGACGGAGATGGCATACGCAGTGAGCATTCAGCGTTGAATAGGTATATAATGAGTCTAGTTTTTAATCAGCGATATATACCCGCAGAGGGATGACCTTTACAGCTCGATCCAACCTAGTTCATCCTTGCGCATTCCGAAGTCGACAAAGACATATACCGGTGCTGCTTTGGGTTTGGTTGAACCGAGCGTGGATATCGCCTAGGCGCCCAACAGGCAACGGTATTTTTCTTCGGAAACACTTTCCTTTCTCCTCGCCAACCAGCATCACAAGACGTCTTTCTTGCAGTTGATCCCCCATGTGGATCTGACCACAATACCCGTACAACATACCGTCACGACGGAGAGAGGCTAACTTCAAGAGCAAGAGCATTCGGTCTCCTCGAACATGGAAGGTTCGCTAGGAGTCAACTGGACAAATCCGCTCCTTCGTTGCTCTCCAACTTACGGCAGCTGCAGGAGTAATTTGAACAGCCTAGTACCATCTAGCAGATGAAGCCATCACCAGCCACCCACCAACCCATACCATGCATGTCCTTCATTCACGATCGTGACCCATTTGCACTGCACTGAAATTGTTGACAGCAGCTGTGCATATAACACCAAGATCCGCCGCCTGTAAACCATCAATCAGATAAGATTCCCTCGTGGCGCAATTGGCTAGCGCGTCAGACTGTTAATCTGGAGGCTGTAAGTTCGATCCTTACCGAGGGAGTTGTCCAATTCTCTTTTTCATTTTGCTTTTTCTTTTTATTGTTGTTCTTAGGCCATGATAGTTTTTAGAAGTGTTCGTGATCTTTCGGCACTTTTCTTTTTGTAGTGAAAGGAGTTTGGTGTCGTGGTTGATGGAAGGAAGGTGGTGACAGTATGGATTGTGGTTCAGGTACGTGCGTGCGTGGTGGTTAGGTTGGTTGTTGTCATTTCCGACATTGCGTGCAGTGATATCGGCAGAAGCATCATGTTAGCAATCTGGCAACTTATGAACTCAAGTTCTTCAAGTCATGGAAATAATTGGGGTTTTCATGAACTTTGACAAACTTGTCTTGGACCTGAGTTCCATGCGCTGACTCTGAGTGAAAGGGGACGCAATGCCTCCATAGCATGTGCGGCGATCCAAGTTATTTGGTTCTCCCGAGTCTGGCGTTGTGTCATTAAATGACCAACATCCTGTTGGGAATCTCGGATACTTTAAAAGAGGAATGTGAAACTGAGGGGTCCGAGGTTCCGAAACCAATTTCGCATCAATTGAACCATCTAAAGTTGAGCCCGTGATGTTACGTATGGCACCCGTGCTGATCATTTGACCTTTGCAAAGAAGCTGGTGAGCAACGAGACGTTGGACCAGGTGCTTCAGCCAAACCTTGGGAGCCTGTGTGGTGACGGGGATGATGATGAGATCAGGCCCATCGGTTAGGTCGATCAGGTTTCCATTTTGTTGGAACAATGATCACTCCTGTGCGCAATCGGTGGCATCACGCATTCACGGTTTTCTTTGGCGCCAGGATGGTCATCTCCAGCTGGCCAGTCCGTGCCGCCGCTGCCTCCGCTCTCCGAGTTTGTTTCGCCATTCGTTCGTCCTGGCTGCTCTTGAGCACGGAAGAGCAAAACAGAGGTTGGCTACGCATCCTATCCACGTCTCCGCCGTCGCATTTGGGCGTAACCGAACAACTGGAATGTCTCAATCAACCAACGGAACCAATTGCCTCGACACCATCAAACTTGTCGCGGGGAGAAAAAGAAAGGGATGGGGCTATCTTCACGCCGCCCAGAACCCGATTTTTTGGACTGTCCACTTCGTGGTTGTTTGGTATCTTGGATAAGTTGTGGTAAACGCGAGGAGGTGTGGACGACGACGAAGATGGTGATGATGATGACCAAGTGAAGACACCCGAAAACGACGGGACCGAGGCCTGGAAAAAGGAACTTGGAAGCTTCATTACATTTGGGACTGGATCGGGGATCCCTCTTGACTCGAGGTGATCCTGAATCCGACGCAGGGCAGGGCTTCCGGTTCATTCCCTCCATCGGATCACAAAATGGAGCCAAGAACGGAGAAACAGAACTGCAATTCACACGCAACCTGAATGGAACCAAACCTGACTGTTGCAGCCAAAATCGTCAGCAACGACTCGCCATGCAGTGCACAGTTCATGGCAAACGCTGCAACACCGCTCCTTCATTATGATACTTATTAGCACCCCAAGTGACCTTAATAACCACATGTAACTATAGTAGCAAAATGCGCTTGTAAATCCCTTGTTGTAGTCCATGTTTCCTGTCATTACAAATAGGGGGCACGTCGCGATTGGCGATGGCGGCGGGCCTGGACGGTGGTGACGGGACGGGCTGTGTGCGGGTCGTCGGATTCAGGGATTGCGCCAAGACTCGGGGTACAAGGCTACTTAGGGTTGGGGTTGTAGGAGTGCACGTGGATGTGGATGGGTAACCGACCTCTGTTTTTGCCCTTGCCGTACTTTGGAGTAGCGCTCGTTGGATCTCATGGACTCCCCGACACCTATGTTCTTTGCCAGCATGAAGGCAAAACAGGTGGACGCCCGCCGCCTCAAGGCTGCTGGGTGACCAAACTTTTCCAGACCATGTTCATTCTTGGTCTCCTCTTTCATTACACCACCCACACAGATGCTCACCACCACCGCATCCTCCCCGACGTTTCCATCGCATCTAGTCATCAACACCATCTCGCGCAACGCCGCCGCGAAATAAAAGTGCGACGCCAAAACTCCAGCGCCTAGGCCGGGAGACAAGACCGACGCTGCTTGCTCCCTCCGCGTCAGCGCCCAAGAGCCAGCTGCCACCCCATCAACCACTCCATTCCAGGTTGTGTGTGTGCCCCGTCACCGTCCAACCAGTGGATCGCCCAATTCCCGAACCGCGAACCTGGGCCAAGGCACCAACAATAAATCTATTTCCTCCACCTCGCCGACGAGCCGGCTTTTCTTTCCTACATCATTGTCGCTTGCCGCAACAACCAACCCTCGACCGTCTGTCTACGTCTACCCATCAATCAGCCGTCAGATTATTTTCACGACCTCACCCTTACGCCAAACAACTCTTGAGCAATGGCTCCTCCTGTCAAGAACAACGCCACTCCCAAAGACCGACGAAAGTCGAACGGGGTTGGCGTCTCCGTGAGCTCTAATGGCGCGTCGTCCAAAGTTGTCACCCTCGCCGTGACACCAAAGAACCTACGCGCTATTGTCGACCCTGGTTACATCAAAGAGGATACGCCACTTGTCAAAGAGACCAACGGTTCACCTGCCGACTCGACCGTCATCCCTGCCGTCACGAATTCGGCCGCTGAGAATGCGTCCGACTCAAACGCAAACACTCCCGCAGCCGGTACCCCGGCGCCGCAGTCTGGCCCCATGGGCCCACCGATTGATGGACTGAAGAAGAAGGGTGTTAAGCGGGCGGCAGGTGCTGGCGTGAATGGCAATGGTGAGGCCAAGGTTCGGAGCAAGCCGGGTCCCAAGAAGAAGCAAAGGCTGTAAGTGCTCTTCCCTTCTGCATGTTTTCCCATACAGGTGAAAACTAACAAGCATACAGAGAAGACGGTACCATCGAGGGCGGCCGAGGCGGCTTGGCTGCGCACAAACTTGGACCCAAGGCTAACATGGGCGCTATCAACGCCGGTCTCCGAGCTCTTGATCGGTCTGGCAAGCCTTGCCGGAAGTGGACCAGAGGTGGATTTACCCTCAAGAGCTTCACCGGTGTTGTTTGGGAGATTCCACGCTGGACCGCACCGCCTAAGCCACGGCCGGAACCAACGGCAGAGGAACCCACTCCTGTTTCAGCATCCGCCGAAGGTAGCAGCAAGGAGAACATCCCAATGGGACAGAACGCCCAAGTCAAGAGCGAGCCAAGCAACAATGGGGTGGATGTCGAGATGCAGAATGCCCCCAGCTTTGCCGCCGCCAACTCAGCCGCGCCGTCACCGGGACCGACACCGGCACCAGCACCTGCATCAGCACCGACAGCCATTGCCGTATAATCACGGCATTGAGTCTTCATCACCGCTTGCAGTTTAAAGTTTTCAGTTATATAAAAGAACGTTGCTGTTGAAGTTTGGGCATGGTCGGCTGGGCAATAAGGGTTTGGGTGTTAGAAGCATTCGAGCACGCGCACTGGAAGGAAAAGAAACAGGTTATGGGGAGCTATCACCCTACAAAAGCTCGTGTGCCCGCCGAGGCAGGAAGCAACAGTTTGGCGTTTATGGCGTGTAAGCAGGGATGCGGGAGCTGGTTTTTTTTTCCGTGTGAATTAGAGGTGTACATGGCCACAGCGAGGCCCGGAGTTGGCGTTTTGGTATCAGGGGATTCTCACGTCTGGACGACGAGTGTTGCTTACGGGCTCCACTGGCGAGTGTCTTACAGCTTTAATATGAGGACATCAAGGCCTTTGAAAGCACCTATACCCGAGCATGTATATGCTGTTATTATTCTGGTAGTAATTGCGCGGTGTCGCGCTAGATTTTACCACACCATTGCCTTCCCCGAATGCTTGATTACCGGTGTTCGTCAACTTGGGCGCAACCGAAGCATTGAATACATATACATGTGACTTGAAAGGTATCCGGTGGCGTCCTTACATTCTTTGAAGGGATCTCGACACGGCACAAAGACACGCTCCGAAGAAAGTTGACATTATCTTCAGTCAGTTTCTGTTGTTGCAACGTCCCTCGAATTGACACCCTATGCATCCTACTGCCCACAGGTTGATCATTAATGGTTTAGGGTGGCAACCTGAGGTACCGCTTTTTCTCGTTCGATTTGGATACCCCCAAACTGCGCTAAGGTCAAAACTAGCAAAGCCTAACACAATCCCACCAATGCTGTTACTGGATCGTTCCCAAGAAACCAACTGATCCACGTTGGCAAACCTGCGATCGGTTGTGACCCGTATTAACTCACTAACAGATTGGTTGAAGCCCCTGTTGGGTTCAGATATACCCGGTGCTATACCTGTTTTGAGGGTATCCAAATCGAACGAGAAAAAGCGGTAGACGAGGCTTCTTGGTATTGATCCGACCAAGTGAAACAAGGTTCGCGTACGGACTCTGCAGTTAGTTCCATAAAACCACAGAGGTGTGGTGTTGTTGCTTGTTGGCCTTCACGTCTGCCAGGAAGCTTGACCAATCAGATGTCGTTCGCTTGTGCCTGAAGCATGGGCATGTGCGGCATCACTGCCAGCTTGGAGTACAAAGGTACATGTTGCAGGCATGATGAGCCACTGCTCGCGTTGGATCCGGATGGCAAGAAGCGGTGCGAAACCGATTGGGACGGCAGGCAATGACTGCCGGCCGCCGGCACCTTCAGACCAGGGTGCTGGTAGGTACCTCTTGGACTTGTTACAAGCCCGTCCATGAGGTGTCTAAACCACCCTGAGCACTTGACTATCTTGAGGTTTGAGATGGACTTTCTAAAAATTCAGATATGGTTTCTCTGTCCACTCGACTAGATGTCCAAGGTTCAAGTAGCAGGATAGCTCAGGTCCAGCTTGATGCGCAGTGACGGCAATGATATCTCTAACCAACGGTGGATCACTCACCCCGCTTCATTCCTGGGGAAATGTCATGGTAACCGCTGGGACTTTGCTCCCCTTGCTGCCACTCTACCACGCCATCCACGATGCTCAATGTTAACGTTGAAAACTCCCAACCGGTCATTTCATAACTGACTGTTGTTCCAAAGCTGAGGTGAGGTGAATTAGAGATGGAAGTAGGTAGGCATGTGTCGCCGGCCTCGCTGTCCCGGTAGATGACCCCAGCAGGTGCCAGGTAGGTAACCCACACAGTCTAGACGTGGGAGCACCTGCTGACCTCACCCTGGTTCTCCATTGCGATAGAGCGGGAAAGCGGGACTGCGCACCTCGAGGGCCCCGTTGATAAGCCAACAACGTGAACCCGCTCGCTCGCCCAACCTTCCATCCCTTCGATTGCTCAACATCTCGATAGACTCTTCTTTAATCACAACAGGTTGACTTTTGAATATCTTACAACGTGCCCAACCACTGGTACTCATATCCACTTTGGCAAATCGGAGAGCAACTTCCAAGTCAGGCCGTCTGGAGAAGTGCGTGCATGCGTGGAATGCGGTAGTGTGCCGGTAGGTTCCAGCTCCAAGCACGACCATTATGACATAGCGGCCTTGGATTGCTCGTGCTCTCCAATTTCAATAACGAATCGCCTTCCACCTCCGTCATTCGCACACACCACACCCACTCTACCTGTCTGTGTCCAAACCGCTCCCGAAGCCAGCATCCTCTACTGCCAACCCGCATAAGCCCATCTAGAGGTACTAGACAGACAGTTTCCACACAACAACGAACTTTCTTGGACAGCATCCGATCGGCGACATACCACGTTCCTGCCCGATCCTCCTCGGATATCAACCATTTCCGGGAGGCCAGGTTCCTCGGGCAACAGCAAGCCAAACCAGTCGCCTGGAGCAATCGACGGCGTTAACTCCGACCATCATACACCACTCCTCCCTTCCCACTCAGTCGCTCAAACACCTCTCACACCATGACCAACCCAAACCCATTTCCACGCCGGATGTCTTCCTTTGCCTCGGCCAACAATGGCTCTCGTCCCGTTCGATCCGCCGGTTTCTCCCACTTGCTGAACCCATCCCCCGACAGTGGCGGCCATGGGAATGGCGCCGGTTCGCACGCCGGCGCGCCCTTCTCCTCACTCGATGCTGGCGCCCCACACTCGGGGAATACTCCTCATGGGCTGGACGAGGGGGGCGGCTCGCACCGGACGTCTGGTGGTAGCTTGCCGTCATTCTCTCGCGCCTTCGACATGTTCACGAGCAAGGAGCCGTTACTGGCGGGGCCGAATGTGACATATAGCGGAGTCGGACCCTCGGCCAGTGTCAGCAAGACGGGGTTCCTTTCGCCTTCGTACCTGCGAGGATCCGGTTATATAGAAAAGCTCGCGGAACAACACAAGGCCAAGCTCTTGGCTGACAGAGAAATTACCATGTCCAAGGGGCCATCTGGAACGGTATTTACCGGGAATACGGGGAACACGGAAAATAGGTCTGCGACGCTTCACACCAAGCTCCCATCCGGCACACACAGAGGTGTGGCGTTGAATTTGATAGAGCGCCCCCCCGCATCAGCTGAATTCGAAGATGTCGTCAGCCCGCTCCCCACTCGATGGAACAGTGACGACAAGGACCATACTGTGGAGGTGTTTGGCGATGGTTACGAAGTAAAATACACAGGCTCAAAGGGGTCAGAACACGAAGCCGGCGCGATACGAGCGGATAACCCTATGCCCACGCAGTGTGGTGTATACTACTTTGAGATCATGGTACTCAACAAGAAGCGAGAAGAGTAGGTTTCACTTGGGCGTTGACGTCTCTTTGGCCTCCAGTTTGCTAAGCCGGGTGAACCGACGCTAACTTGACCGTGTCCGCATAGAAATATCATCGCTATCGGGTTCGAAACTCGAAAGGCATCCTTGTCGAGGTTCCCGGGCTGGGAGGGGGAGTCTTGGGCCTATCATGGCAACGACGGAAAAATCTTCGCCTCGGGGAGCAATTCGGGCAGATCATACGGCCCAATGTACGGCGCCGGCGACACAGTGGGCTGCCTAGTGAACTTTCGGACAAATCAGGTCTTGTTCACGAAAAATGGCGACGAACTAGGTATGCTTGACCGCAAGATTGGGCTGTGTGGTGATGACTAACATGTGGTGTGTGTAGGGATCGCGTTTAAGGACCCAATCTTTAAAGATACTACCAAGAATTTCTATCCTGCCGTGGGGCTGAAAAGGCCTGGGGATCACATCTGGGTTAATTTTGGTCAAGTTCCCTTCCAGTTCGACATCGACGGTTACATGAAGGTGAGGCTACCCTAATGCATTGTCCACGCGATCCTGATGTGACATTAACGAGATTTTATGCAGAAACAACAAAAGATGGTCGCAGACAAGATAAGAAGCACGGATACTGCTAACCTCGCGCCTCCTCTAAACGATACTGAGCTCATTCAGCAACTTGTAAGTTTGATTGGGCCTCAGTCACATGGTACTTCAAGACTAACTACTTCAAAAGGTTTTGCAATTCCTTCAACACGATGGTTATGTGGGAACTGCCCGCGCGTTTGCCGAAGAGATACACATGGAAAAGCAGGCTCTCAACATGGACGCCGACGTTCCGGTTGAGGGCGTCAATATCAAGGATGATGAAGATGCAAATAACAGGCAACAAATTCGCCGTGCCATCCTCGAAGGCGACATCGACCAGGCTCTCAGCTACACCAATCAATTCTACCCCAAGGTGTTGGAAGAGAATGGACAGGTCTACTTCCGGCTACGCTGTCGCAAGTTCATCGAGATGATCCGAAGGGAGGCGGAAATGAACCGTTCACTACAAGAGGCCGGAGTGAAGGCTAAGAGCACCTCTCAGGCTCGACCCCATCCTGGGAATGACACGCAACGGACATACAATCAGCATCCAGGCGGCGGGGAGGACGAAATGATGACGGAGGGCGAAGAAGAGATGATGGACACCGGAGAGGATGGTACCGAGGAGTACTCGCAGAGGACAGGCAACCCCGAGGACGAAACCATGGCGATGAGCGCTGCCGGCGTGAGCGAGCTATGTCAGGATGCGCTGGAATACGGCCAAGAGCTGCTGGACGAGTTCAAGAATGACCCAAGCCACGAAGTCACCAAGCATCTCAGGGAAATATTTGCGCTGATGGCGTACCCGAATCCTCTTGAAGTGAAGGAGGTCGCGCATCTCCTGGATCGAAAGGGGCGCGTTGCTGTGGCCGAGGAGTTGAACTCCGCCATATTGAGTATGTTTCAATTCCCTTGCTTTCCTTCCCCGCCCTTCCGGCTGTTCATCCTAACAATCTGTGACTCACAGCATCTCTCGGCAAGTCTTCTCGCGCAGCGTTAGAGAACCTCTACGCCCAAACAACGGTCCTCCTCGAAGATCTTAGGAAGGACGGAGGTGACGGTGCGTTTGTCACCATTCAGAGCGTCTTTGACGAAATACCCAAGGCACAGATAATATAGGATTGGGAAAGTGTCTTAAAGGCAGTTCGTTAGTACACGGATCAGAAACAGAAACAGAAGCAGGAGCAGGGCGAAGATCAAGGCGAAGATCAGGGCGAAGATCAGGGCGAAGAGCAGGGTGAACATCAGGGTCACGGTCAGGAGCTGGACGTAATCATGGAAGAGGCCGAGGATCAGGATCCTGAAGAGGACCAGGATCGGGTTCAGGGTCCGGATCCGGAAGAACGGAATGGAATTCTGGCAGCGGGTTTTGAGGGGAACTTCATGGAAGTGGACGAGGATCTGAATGAAGTGGACGAGGATCGGAATCTGCGTCTGAATCGAGTTCTGGGTGCAGTGATAAACTTAGTGGACGGGGATCTGGATCGGGATCTGGCAGACCTGGAACGGATTCTGTTCTGAATGGTTAAGGGGAACCCCTGACGAAGTGATATACACCAGAGGAGAAGCATGGGAAGACAGAAGAAGAAGAGACAAACATCAGGAAAGAAGGAAGAAGGAAGTGGGCAAAGAGCTCGAATGGCAACAGCGAAGATGATTATGATTAGGTATGGGTTGGGTCGCCATGGATTTTCACGACAAGCGCAACTACAAACGCACGCTGTGGTGGTGTCGTTTCCATCGTCGGGTATTTGGTGTGGCCAGGAATAGGTATATGGCATGGATGGATGCAGCGTTGAGCGTTGAAGAACATGCATGTGTGGATTGGGATTGAGATTGGGATTGGGTTGGTTCTTATAAATCGAGTAGAGAGCTAGGGTAGGTATCATCATCAGCATTTTCACTGATTATATCTGCGTGGGAGAAGGTATGGAAGTGACTCAGCTGCTTTTTGTCAGCATTTGCCGCTCTGCACAGCAATGAAATACATCATGGATACATAACACATAACGCCTTGGTCCCACTACCGTTGTCAATGGTTGGGAATCATGTACTATTCTCTACAGTAGTGAACCTCGTCTAATACCTGTAGCAGGTTCAACTCCGAAGCATCATTCAGCCCTATGCCACAGTCGGGTACCATAGCAACGATGCCTCTGACGATAATTATCTTGCTCGCCAACAGCCAGTCCCATGGATATCATAATATTTCCTCAACTAGAAGAGAACATCAACAGGTCTCTTGTGGCGGTAATTATGATCATCAACGCGCCATCACTCCCATCAGTCTTCAATAACTTGTTCACGGCTGAGAGCAAGTAATGTTGCGAGATAACATCTTTTCCCGGTACGTAAATGATGCTCTGTTTCTTCTCCCCCCCTAAACGTCTAGAGGAAAGTCCATAAACGAGTAACCCGTCTACTGTATCTCTTGGCCGCGCCCATTCCCTACGCTAACAACCAACCAACCAGCCAACCTCGGTCCATTCTTCCCCAGAGAAATAGATGAGATGGCGATGAGCCTCTTCCACTTCTAGATGATCCTCACTGTGACGGATGAGGCCAACCTGACGACCACAGGGCCATTGAATCACTCAAGGATCGACCACAGGACGATCGAATCACTCAAGTCCTAATGAGTATGAGTTGGGAGACCGCTCATCAAATCCTCCTCCTCCTCGATGTGGAACGACGACTCTTCAAACCCACCACCTGCGCTCTGCAGACCGAGCTTGTGTTCGCGAGCCGCATCAACCTGTCGCTTAACCGTGTGACTAATGTACTCGCGGTTGCTGGCCAGGCGCTTGTTGGTGGCCTCGATGATGGGCTCTAGAGCCTTGATGCCCTGCGCCACCTTGTTCACCTTGGATGAGAACTCCACCTCCGACATGCCCTGCGAGGGCGCCGACAGGAAGGTCAGGTAGGCCGGGCTGCCGTCCGCTGGTCGCTCGATGGCGCCCTGGAGGCTTCCGTCGGAAATCATGCTCTGCACAAGCTGGTCTACCGCTTCCACGGTCGGTAGCGGCGCGCCCGTTTCGGCACTCTGTGTTCGCTCGCGGATCTTATCGAGGGAGATATTAGTGTACACATTGCGCAGGTTGATAATTTGCCACCGCTGGTAATGGGCCAGCACCAGCTTTGCGAGCTCGACGTTCCCCTCGTTGGGCAAGAGCTCGGAGTTGATGACTTCGAATTCGCGGACCAGATCCCCGGCGGTGTCTGACTTGAAAGCTTGGGCAAACAACTTGTAGGGCTTTCCCTGGGTTGCGAAAATCTTCTTTGCTGCTTGCGAGGTCGTTTCCGGTAGTGTTGGCGGTTTTCCAGTCAAGAGCAGGCCGACAAGAATCCATTTGTTATATGCCTCCGTCATGACCTTGCTGCAACCGCCGTCCCGCGTCGGATATGTGACGCAACGCTCAAAGGCATCAAAAGCTTGCTGCCACATCCGGCGCTCGATGAAGCACAGGCCGCATAGGAAATCGTACTGAAGCACAGCGGAGCTGGTCAGAGCATCGGTGAGTTGGCTATCGGGATTGATGTATGCTGGTGGCGGTAGAGACATGTCGCAAAGGGGCTGGGCTGTTGACATGCCCTTGGCCGGCATGTAGATGATGGGTTTCTGGATAAGAGGAAGTATTGCTCCGACATTGCCGGTGCTGTATGCCAGTTCGACGAGGTTGCAGTGGTGGGATGTGAGGATAGAACCTGAAGGGTCGAGTCTTAGGAGGGCAGCAGTGACCACCTCAACGGCAACGGAAGCCTGATATTGAAGTCAGCAACGGTAACCCTACGGAGGGGAGTATGGAAGCCCTACAGGAAACAGACCGCGTTCGTTATACGCTTCCTTCAGGACATCTGACCAAGTGCTTCCCTTGCATCGTATTTGGCGAGCATCGAACTGGAGGAAGAACTCGGCCATATATGATGCCAAGCTCTCATGTGCCTGCTGAGAGGTCCACCCGGCTGACTCTAACAGATATTCGAGGATCATAAGATATGAGAGGGAATAGACGGCGGGGTTGACATGCTGGGCAGATGCTATCGGGTCAGCGGTTTGAACGGCTTTGTACAACGGACACTCCAGGTTTGGGGAAGCACTATGTACCTTTAGAATATCGTCGGCGGACTCCCTTATCCACTGCGCATTGTCCCTTATGAGTTCTCGCACCCTCTTGGCATGTTGCTGGCTCTCTTTGTAGTAGTCCTCGTTACCAATCCCAGCGGCCGGTGGGAAGGCCGTCAGGACCGTAAGGCGTGCGTCCATGGCTCGCCGTCTAGATACGGGAGATAATGCTGGCAGGCAAAAAGCTTGACGGCAGAAGGAAGACGATTGATTGCGGTAGTACTGATGGATTTCAATGGCTCGGTGCAACTCGAGGAAGCGTCGTCAAAGCTTGCGCGGCGCGGTAGCTGTTGCCTGGTGCTTTTGGGACCTCGAAGCAAGAATGCCAGTGGCGCTGATGGCTGGCTAATATGGTGATGACGCCGTGTACCGATCGATAAGGTCACAAGATCTTGGTGCCAAAAAGGATGAATGGACAAAACAAACAATCGGCGTCGAGAATATCTGTGATATGGAAAATGGTGATTATGGTTTGGGTGTTGTAGGAAGGTAGGTAGAAGAGCACCTTTGCGGCCTGTCCTGTAGTGGTGCTTGTGATGTGCAGTGCGCTGGGGCTCAACTCAGCTGTCAGTTCCAAACGGAAAGCTCCCCCGCGATTTGGACAACTGGGTGGAGACTGTCAATGCTAGGATGAGCCTGGCGTTGACTGAAGGGTGGATATTATCGTGTTTGATTGGCTGACTTGGTTGAAATATATGGGGCCCAGCCACAACACGCACCTTGAGCCTCTGTGGCTTGCACTACTGTCCACCAAGGTGCTCAACGACACTCGTCGAACTTGTCTTGAGGCCGAGTATGACAACAAGTCATCAAAGCTCTCGTCAGTCAAGCACATAGACCACCGGCGGCAGCCACGACAGCAACTTTACAAGATGATAAACACTTCGACATGAGCTGGTTCCCTTCGGGGAATATCTCAGGCGGTCCATGCCAATAAGCACAAAGGGGCTTTTCCAGTCATCACATCACGATTCCCTTCATTGGTCATGTTAGAAGGCAACTCGTTATCACTCGATTTCCTACACGCTTCATGTCATTGTTCACCGCAGCGAATGAATATCACTAACTCCCGAACGTGGATCACTCTTCAAGAAAGTGACAAACCCAACAATTCTATAAAACGATCTTTAGAACACCCCAATCGAGCGTCCAGGGAGTTTCACCCCAAGCGAGTATTTAGGGACTATCTACAAGTAGGGCCCAGGGATCTCACCCATGCCTATATTTCTTGCACCCCACCGCATCCAGCCGCAAACTCAATCTCGACTTTTCCTCCATCCATGTCCTCTTTCTCAACTTGAACTCGTATAAAACACATTTCCTGAATTTCCAAACACATTCTCTATCTTTAGCGGTCATATCCTGAAAAAAGCTTCGCGTATATGACGTCCCAAAACATCCCCTCCCGTTTTGCCGAGTGGCTGGCTGCTGGTTGACGGCCCTGACCACGAGCTTGACCTCCGGGCTTGCTGGTCTCATGGCTTCGGTCTCGAAAAAAAGCGAATAATACCCGGTCCGCGGGTAGGTAGTTGCATAACCATTCCACGGTACTTGTACAACCTTTCTGAACACGAGGGTTAACGGTTACCCAGGCGACTGACACCAGACAACCAGCCAGCCAGCATGTCGTTCTTGTTGTCCAGTCGTGTACCAGTGGAAGCAAACTCACCAAAGCAACTACTCCTGGTTAGTGTCCCGAGACCACTTCCAGTGAGTCTCCCCATTCTCGTAAGCGGATCCCCTCCAAGGAACTGCGGTACCACCGCCGCCGCCTTCGGCCTGGTGTTGCTGCTGTTGCTGCTGGTGTACCTGGGCCTGAACCTGGACCTGAGCTCCTCCTCCTCCCGGCGGGCCGCTTTCCTCCTTGCCCTCGTTATCAGAGCTGTCGGGGGTCGTGGTGGTTGGAAGGAGGCGGTAGGGGTGGGGGTGAGGGGGAAAACCGGGAGGAGCCTCGATGCGGCGGTAGTTGATCATGTTGCCGAGATCACCGCTGCGAGGATCGCGAGGTTGAGGCTGGGCGGGTTGTCCGATGGGACCGAAGCGGCAGGGACCTTGGCTTAGAATTTGGGGGCCTGTGGGAGGAGGGTCATTGTTAGTCGGAAAGTAAGTGACAGGATTCACGAATGTCATTTGGCTTACCGGTAGGGATTCGAGAGGGCCCAGAAGAACCACTTCCCACATTCGGGCGCCAGTTGTTCAACTCCCGAGGGCTCGAGCTTTTCTCACGTTGATAACCACCGCCTCCGAATGTCTTGACTCCCATGCTGTTGGTGGCGGCGCTGTTGTTATCTCTTCCAATAACACCCTGACCTCCCGCTCCCATCATCTCGCCACTACTACCAGAAGCCGATCCCTGATCAGCCGACCCTCTGCGCGAAATCGGGCTACCAGAAGCCGTAGTCAAAGACCGACCACGAGGAGCTCCACGGAGCGCGGACAGATCCATCGGCCCCTTGCTGGTACTCGACTCATCGTTGTTGGTCAGCACCTGCCTCTGCCTCATCAGCTCGGCCTGCTGCCGCTTATACCAAGCAGGCAGGCCATGGAATAGGCCGAGCATGTGCTGAGTGGCCCTGTCGTACGGCATCTCGTGCTTGTACTTGCAGCCCTGCTGGGTGAAGGCACAGGTGCCCTCGTGCACCCACTTGTCGCAGAAGATCTTGGCTCGCTTGGGGCCTTGGCCGTGGAGAGGAGGGGGAGTCAGGTAAGCGACTGCGGCGGACTGGTGAGTGAGGCTCGTGTTGGTTGCTGGACTGTTGCTGGCCAGGACAATTTGGTCGATCTGCGACTGCGGTAAAACAGCTTGTCAGTCATGAATAAGTTCTTTTTGAGGGCGTGATATGGGGGATTGTCTCGTATGGATCTAGTACAATGTTCTTTTGCGGATCGGGGCTAACTGTTGGAGCGTTGTAGGGCCTGTGCAAAATCTTACATACCTGAACGGCATCTTTTTGCGCCACTTGAGTCTGAACGGTCTCCAAGTTGGTATTGCGCTCGTTGGCATCCAAAGCCTGGGGAAGCTCAAGAACGAACAGACGAGAGATGTCCGACTCGTAGGCAGGCACGCCCACGAGGGGAGGAAGCATATCCGCCGGGATCAGTCTCGTGTAGCGACCATTTCCGCGGTTGTAGGCGTAGGCATAGAACTGATGAGGATATTGCGGCTGCGCGTTCCGGCGTGCCTGTTGGGCTCTTTCATCCTCTTCCTGCTGCTGGAGCCTTTGCCTCTCAAGGAAGTAGCGCGCGTTCTGTGTAAAGGGGGCGTGAGTGACGGCGGTCTCTACTCTGGGAGAGGGCCTGGTGGTGACGACGGCAGTATGGCGAGATTGTTCCCATTCCGGGCTGGACTCCTCAGAGTTGTTGGTAATTTCCGTCTCCGACTGATTTCTGGGAGGAGTCGGGGCAAAGTCCATGCTCATCGGAGAGGCGGGCGACCCTCTTTGGAGTCTCCAGTGGGTGTTGAGATCCCTTCTCTTGATGGCGATAGGCGAATGGGGCTTTGGGATCTCGCTGACTGGGGAGTTCTGGTTTGGCTCCATGATGACTGAATGGCCCGGCAGAAGGGATCGTGAAAAGGAATCAGCCGGTTCTATAGTATCGCGTGGGTGGATGTGTCCTTTTATCTGCGACCCGAGAGAACACTCTGAAAGACCACGAGTACTAGTAGGGAAAAACTGAAAGTTCGGTGTTCTAGGTGTTGAGAAGCTTGAGCTTGAAGCCAGTTCGGACACTGCTGATGAGGAGCCAGAGACTGGGTCGGGCTCTGCTTGATGGGTGTTGAGAGGGGTATTAGTAGCAGCGGAGTAGTAGTCTTGTTTGACTAACCCATCCATGCCGAGTCTAGGTATATGGTTTGATAGCGGACCGGATCAATGATGTGACGACACGGAAAACACTGATGGGACGATTAGCATCTTCCTGAATACGCAACTGTGAGAGTCAGATGTGCTAGACCGCCACTGAGGATGGAAAACAAGCAGAGAAACGCTTAGCAAAGAGCGTGGGTACAATGAAAACACACACCATCAACGATGCCAACAGCCCAGAAGCATCAAGCTGGCCACCCCTTGATTCCCAGCAAACGAGGGACCTGGTAGACGTTGGAAGATCCGGGGTATCTGTTTTAATATTTATACCGCCTATTCATCCCCCGAGCTGTGTCTTGAAGGTAGAAAAACAGAAACAGACTGGCGGAGAGAGAGCAGCAAGCCGTTGAAAGATATGTGGCAAGCAATGGCCGGGGAAGATGTACAACAGTCCGAGCCGGGGACCTGAGAAGGTATATCAAAGCAACCAAAGAGCAAAGCGCAAAGGCTGGGAGCCGCAATCAAAGCATCTAGACGCTCTTAGAGTGGATCTCCAGGAAACAGATGGTAAAGCCGAGTGGTGGAAAGGATATTGAGTGACGGACTACCTTTTTTTCTGCCCTGTCCGCCCTTCCGCCTTCCGTCCACAGGGCTTGCCCAGTCGCCCTCTTGAAGTGTCGTTGATGTTGCGTTCGAGTTATGTGGTTGGGTACGGTAGTTAGGCACAGGTCCGCTTCCCTGGGATTGGTTAGAGGTTAGGTAGATGGGCGGATAGATGCTTGATGATTGCCGTGATGTTGGCTTGCATGTTGCGGATGCGGCGAAGCTAAGGGGGCCACGGGGGGTGTGACACTGGTACATACATGCTTTCCTGAGTAGCACAAAGTGGCCGCGGAACTGGACGTACAACAGACCGATGTGGCTTGTGAATCGTCGGTAAGCAAGTCTATGGAGAGCACCGCGGTAACGAACAAGTTGAGCTGAAGAATAGAAGAACCCGTCTATGATGGTGACAAGATTTGGGCTGACCTTGACCGAGTACAGGTAGTAGCGGAGCAGATAACTTCCCAGTAAACCCTTCAACGCACCTCGAACTCAAGCCTCCGGTACGAATCAGATATAAAGTATAGCGTCAAGGTGACGAGTTTTTAGCAACGAGGAGTATAATTATGAATATCCCAGCACCGTCCGCAGCAGGGGGGGTTCGTTCTCTTGGGGAGTCGACAGCCCTTGTTCCGTGCCTTCCTCCCGCCCAACGCAACTACAGTGTCGCGGAAGGTACCTAGGGATTATCAGGATGTGTGGTCGTCATGTCGGCACTCGTTTACGTTAGCCTGTGTCGCATTCTCCCCCTCTTCCCGTTGTTGCTGGTGTGCCCGTACACCCGAGTAATCTTTAATATCTGCCATACCATACCACACAAACGAGCCGCAGCAATGTGGACAAAATTGGCCATTTGGGGTCTACTCCACATTCCCGCTTTATGTGGTGTTCTTTATTATATTTCCTCCATCAAGGTGAACGACGCGAAGACAGAAGACGGCGACCAGAGGCAAAGCGACATGGACTGTTAGGTCTGCAATAGCGACAAGAACAAAAGAAAGATGCGAGCAAACGCAGGACCCTAGAGAAACAACATCAACGGGAATGACGGAGGCTACTTTTTGCGGGAACTTGCATCTTTCCATGTTCTGGCTCCACGTGACAAACAGGGACAGCCACAACGCCATGGCGATGATGAGCGGCGAACCGATTTGCTTCAGAAGGTGAGACACAACCTTTGGGACTCTCCCATGAGGCCCGGCTGCCTGTTGTTTGTACATGGTCATGGTCATGGAGAGTCACTGATCCCATGGTGCATGGAGCTGTACAAACCCCCAGTGCTGTTGTCCTGTTGAGAGTTCGGAATTGCTGATGTCAACAATTAGACACACAATAGCCGCCGTATTTTGGTAGCGAGTCATCCGGAGTGGTCTTTAGCTTGTGCATCCCAGCTATCAGAACGGGTTACCATTTATCTGTTGCGACGGTCAATATGCAGAGATCTCGTCTCCCACGACGTACCTTCCAAATATTCGTAAGGAGAATAGCACTGCTCAACGTTCCCTGCTTTCCTAGTCCTGCATAACTGACATTGCCTCCCGTTTTTCAGGTACACGATCATCTCTTCCCATATCGACTACTATCACTATCTGTTATATACGTGCAACAAAATCCTTATCGAAGCGAAACAGAGGACGCCATCACACGAATTTCTCGAGGCGCCACATTTTCTTACCCAAGCAACAAGTACCCACCACAACGCGGCACTAGGATCCAAATTTCAGAAAGATGGACCTGTAATACATCCAGTGACCCAGCGTTGATCTGAAATCAAGTCAAGATGCGAGGCCAAGAGACGTTGTATAGGATCTGCCGTTGTGGGACAGGCGGTACAATCAAATGTCTCAAGACATTGTGACAGCCAGGGGTACGCTCGACAGTTGAGAGGCAGGGGTGGCCGACAATGGTTTAGTACATGAAGGCAGTCATAAACCTGGACAAAGGACGGCCCCATCCCATCTGCCCTGCTGTTAGGCCAACGCTCTAGTACGGAAAGGATATGAACCAATCTTGTTCAAAATACGGATCACTACTTGTAGAAGGCCATGGACGGGGTTTGAAGAAGCAAGAGAAGCCACACACGAAGAAAAGCGAAAGGCAAAGTTTAGAAGCGGAAAAGATATGGATTATCGCGTGGATGTAGATATGTGAACTCTACCTACCTACATCTCATGACTCTGATCCGTTTCTCTGTGACCCAAAACCCAACAACAAAAGCCAAAAATGCAATAACGTTAACTAGACACCAATCCAGCCCTATTGTATCCTGTCCTGTCCTATCCTATCCTGACCTGTCTTGTCTTACTCCTATCTTATCCCCCCCACCCGGTTCTTCCCTCGATATAGCATAGGGGTAGATGCTTCTCCACCCTTCTTGGGTAACTGTCGAGTCTGGAGGCTCTGGAGGTAGAAGTTTGCCAGTTAGGAACGCAAAAGTTGAAGCGGTTAGGTAACGACGAGGTTGTCGTGCCAGTATTTATGCTTGTCTACCATCTCTTTCCGAAGCTCCTGCTCTGTCACGAGCTTCAGCTTGTCCTCAAATTCCAAGTACTTTCTGAGGCGGTTTTCATCAGCTGTATTTTTGGTTCCCAAACCAGTCGATTAGCAAAGTTTCTTCATGCATCGTGATTGCCGTTCGGGGTTCCAAATTACTCCAAGTCAAGCTTTGCTTACATGGTGTTAATTCCACTCCTTTATTGACTTCCGTCACTACCTTTGAGACCGCCCCGCCGGCGAGGTGACCTAGCTTTTGTAGCTCGCCAGGATGCCCCTTCCATTTGGGTCCAAGTCTTTCCAAGTCATCCCCTTTCAGATCGAAGATCTGCTCCCCCGGAGTGACCTGGACACGGACCTCCGCCCTGAACTGACCGGCCCTGGGGTATCTGATATCCTTGACCAAGAAGTACAGCAAGCTATAACCCTCGTCAATATCCCTTTTGTAGGCGTCTTTGACTTCCAGAGGCTTGAACTCTTTGAATGGTCGTTCATCTTCCCCTTCGCCGTCGGGGACTTCGCGTAGAGCAAAAACGATGTGGACCGACTCCCAATGCAAAGTGGATGGGCTCGCAACTCTGAGCACCGTCGCAACTTTGATATCGGTATCTGGGTCGACTTGCTCGGGGGTATCGACAATGAATTCAGCGTAGAGATAATCCTTGCCCTTGAACCCCCCGACTGCCTCCTTGGGATTGTTCCTGAATGCATCCTCCCCAAGATTAGGTGTAAGCACCCGATCTGGTTCAACAAATGGATGGAGCAGTATTCCGTTCTCTCTCTCATCGTATGCGGGCGTGTAACCCCCTGAAGGATACAACACCTTTGGTTCGATAGCCGACATGATGCGAGAATGGTGATGATTGTAGAGGCTCAGGTGAGGATGAGACGAAAGAAAATGTTTAATAAAAGCAGGATCTCCTCGGGACCAGCGTCGGGTAGCTCAACTGGTCCCGAGGAGATCCTGCCAACTTGGCCTGGACTGGCTGCTTATAAAGTGGAAGGGCAAGTGCGGGCGGCGGCGCAGGTGGTCCAGATTGAAGGTTCGTCCGATGGTGGTGTTTGCACCTCCGTGAAGGAAGGTAGCCATAGGAGAGAGAGGTTCCTGCCGATTTGAGATGGCAAAGATAAGATAGCTTTTTGATTGCTCGTACATTGAACAGGAGCAACTGGCCCCACCGCCCTTGCATCAACGAAAGGCATCTGTACCTAGAGGCAAGATCCAACTGTCTTTTTTTTTTCTCAGTGGATGAGCTGAGATTGATGGTTGCAAAGAATGACCCCCATTACTCGCTGGTTATTTCACAGACTGACTGTCCATGTCCCTAGAGAAGTTTAGGGAAGGCGGCATGCTTGTTGGAGACAACTGAAGACATAGCAACGGAGGAACACGCGCAGAGGTCCATCATATTTGTCACCCTCACTCATCGCCCGAGTTTGACGAGGCAAGCACACTCACTTCTCATCTCTGTGAATTTCATGGTTATACTGCTTTGTTGCTTGCTATGGCGCTTGATGTATAGTAAGTAAACATCTGAGATGTGTATGCCTCCCCTCTTCACGCCATCAAGCAAAGCTCAAGCATCTTTGAACTTTTCCAGACCCTTCTCGCCCTTTCATCTATTGAAGTTGAGAAAGCAGCTGGCATCACAAAGTACCAGGCTTCTCCTCCGCAAAGCAGGCAGCAACCGAGCAAGCAAAAGAAGGCAAAACCGAATGTAGGAGTTGTTAGGTGACTACATGACTCAAACAATACAACCAACCAACCCATCCCATTCTCGATCTAGTGGTATCACCATTAACCAACTAACCATCTCCAGTCCTACTGTGATGGAAGACTCTGAACCTCCGGTGATCCTTGACCTCCTTGTCCTCCTTCCCCTCCTTGTCCTCCTTGCCTCTCCTGGCCTTGTTGGGCCTGTTGACTCTGCTGCCGCTGTTTCGCCCTCATGGCCTCATCCTTCTTCTGCTGTACCATCCTCAACATCTCGAGCAAGAATTTACGCCTATATTCCATTCTCTCCGGAGTCTGGTGTGGTATAAACCTAAGATTATCCAGCGCCAGCCGTAGAGGAACCTCCTGACTCATCTCGGGACACATCCACCTAGGAGGGTGTACGAAGCCGCAGACGAAGCAGGAAGTATGAGGAACGCCTGGTGGGACTGGTGGGCCTTGGTTGAGCGGAGAAGCAACGGCTCTGGGTTTGAGAGTGGCGCCTGGGGGGAGGTTAGGGTTCAGATTGGGAAGACCGTTAAGAGATGGTGCGCGGACTCTGGCTCCGGCTCCAACTCCGGCTCCTGGTACGGGGACGGGAATAGGGGTGTTGGAGGTTAGTTTGGATGCCCCGCTGGGGTTGCCGTTTGGTCGGTGAGTGGGGGGGACGGGCCTGGGGTGAGCGGCAAGGTCGCCGCCGATGGCATTGCGGAGCATGGCAAGGCCGCCGGGACCGGGGGTTTGACCTCGGGGTGTGTTATAGTCGGCAATTCGGTAGACTTCTTGGTTGTGGCTGCCAGGTCGGGGGGGCTTGGGTGGGCGGCCTTTTGGGTTTGGGGCTGCTGGTACGGGGACGGGCGTAATTTGGACGACGAGCTGGTTTTGGGAGCCTTGCCTCGAGCGGGTTTGCTGGGGGTTCCGGGGGTCCGAACTGTCTTGGGCGTCTGCTGTTTGCGTGAGCGGGGTGTCTTGGTTGTTGAAGACGAAGAAGATGATTGAAGAGGTAGCTTCTTCTGCTGACTAGCTCTAGACTTGGGCGTAGAAGCTTTGGCTACAGTGGCCGGTGTATTCCTCCTTGAGGCTGCGACCACTGGAGCCTTCGTCTTGTTATTGGTTGGGGTTTTGTTTGGGGTTTTAGTTTTCGTACCTTGCTGTGCATTCTTTGCCTGTGACTTGCGTGAGCTGCCTCCGTTGGGTAAGAACTCACCATGGGGACTGTCCCCATCTTCATTACCGGTTGTTTCCCCATCGCTGTCATCACCGCCCATGAAATCACCGTCTTGGTCGCCATGATCACTCTCACCTCCTTCCTGGCCTTCTTCAAACTCGAACTTGGGTCCGCGGTAATTCGCCGCCTACTCAAGGGTTAGCACGGTCAGAACGCACATTGCTAAACTGATATCACTTACTCCGCGTCGTCGGCCACCACGTCCCAAGGCCTGCAGTTCCTTCTCCCTTTCGAGGCGTGCCTCTTCTTCTCGTTGCTTAAGAATCTGGTCCCAAACACTCATGGTTAATGCTTTCTCTTCCGTCTCCACGTCATCCTTCAGCCCTCCCTCATCTTGTGCCCAGACGCGGGCAAAAGCAAAGGCAGACTCGGCAGACTTGTCGCCATCTTGCTTCGTTTCTTCCTTGGCCGAACGATCAAGGAGCTTCTCAATGGCTGCTTCATCATATGCGATCCGGTCTTTCTTGCGCCCCTCACCGAACAAGGCAGCCGCTCCGTGCTTAAGCACCGTCTCCACATCATTAACAGCCTCGCCTTCCTTGTCGTCCATGGTCTCAATCAGCAGATGGTCAAGAGCCATCTTCTTACGACCAATCTGCAGAATCTTCTCCTCGGCAGAGTCGACGGTCATGAGCTGGAAGCAGAGCACTTTCTTTTGTTGACCGATACGATGAGCTCTCGAAAGCGCCTGGATATCCTGGTGCGGGTTCCAATCGGGATCAAGAATAATGACGGTGTCGGCAGTCGCAAGGTTGATACCAACACCACCAGCACGGGTTGACAGCAACATGCAGAACACTTGGGAATCCGGTGCGTTGAAGGCATCGATTCTTTTCTGCTTTTCCATACTGGATTGGCTTCCATCAAGCCGCTGATACGGAAGGTCCATACCCGCGAGGAAGTCTTCCAAAATTGTCAGCTGGTCAAGGAACTGACTGAATATCAGAACTCTGTGTCCACGCTCCCTTAGTTTAGGCAGCATGACTTCGAGCAGCAGAAGCTTGGAGGAGGCCTCGATAAGGTTCCGCTTTGTGACTTCTGCTGACAGGTTCCTGTCTTCGATCGACTGACTGTAGACGAATGGATGGCAAAGACACTTGCGGAGCTGCATGAGGATGTTGCTCAATGAGCCGCGGTCCTGTGATTTCAGCTTTCCGTTGGTGGAGAAAATCGCGCGGATTAGCTGGGGATTACGCTCCATGATCGACTTGCAGAGCTTTTCCTGCAAGACCGTCATGCTCACTGGCAAGATGATCTGGGCCATTGGCGGCAGGAAGGTGAGTACCATGGCCTTGGTACGCCGAAGGAAGTATGGCCTGATCAACTCATGAAGCTTCGGAAGATTTTCCTTGGTGATATCCTTGAACTCCTCGTCAAGTTCCTCAGCTCTAAGCTTCGGGTCAATAAACTGCAAGAGGTTGAAAAGCTCTCGCTTGTTGTTCTGCAACGGTGTGCCCGTGAGCAAAAGCTTGAAGGGGATATTCATAACTGAGAGTGCTTTGTAGAGACTGTTCTCGTCGTTCTTTAGCGCCTGTGCCTCGTCAACAATGAGGCCAGCCCATTTGACCGAGTTGAACCGACTACGAGTGTCAGTGTCTTTGATGGAATCATAAGACATGATAACAACGTGCGCCTTCATGTCCTTGGTGCCACCCGGAAACAGCTCATATTGGAGAGCCAAAGTTTGGGAAACCCGCCCGCCGTAGTAGGCCACTACCCGGAGGTCAGGGGCCCATTTCTTGATTTCACGACGCCAGTTGGCGCACGTCGCGTTGGGAACAACAATCAAGAAGGGCCAGATTTTGGGGTTATCCTGGATCATGCTAGAGAGCAAAGCAACCACCTGAACAGTCTTTCCTAGACCCATTTCGTCGGCAAGAATAACGCTGCGGTCATGGCGAAAATTGTAGAGCATCCAGTTGAGACCCTCAAGCTGGTAGGTCATCAGCTTGCCACGAGTAAGTCCGGGGGGTTGTTGCTTGACCTCAATGGCACCATTGAACTCCATCTGCCTGAAGGCTTCAATGCGTTCCTTCTGATTACGCCATGGCTCTGACTTGAAGTGCTTGCCGTTCAGATATTCGCGGTAGGCCTCAAGATAGGCGTCATACATGGAAGAGTCCGCAGGAGGTGGAGTGTCCCAGACAGCGTCATCGTAGCCCAAACCTTCAAATTTGACGAAGATCTTAACGACGTGGAAGATCCGGCTCAAATCGTACTCCATCCGGTCGGCAAGCGACATTGCCTTGTACTTCTTCGTGTCTTCAATCGACTTGGCAGCATACTGCACATCGAGGATGATATCGGGGGTCAACCATGAGTCGTGAATGGCATCTTTCTCAGTCCATTTGAGGAGCGCGTCAGCAGGCTCATCCCTACTTGCCTGGTCTTCCATGCCCTCTCCGAGGGCCCTCTTGATGAAAGAAAGACGCATATTTCCCTTGTTGACACCGTAAATCCATGGACCTGGCATCCAGACGCAATGCGCATAGGACTTGTCCTCCCACTTGACCAAATACTCGATTTCATCCTCCTTGAAGTTGAGGATGGTCTGACCTCTGACGTATTGGCTGGGCTTAATATGAGTTGGTCTCCACGCCACCATCTTATCGATTTTGAGGTCCTCGGTATCAATGCACTCTTTGCATCGCCACGTCGTTTGATACTCTTGGAGACGGTGATTGCGCAGATTGGGAGGATCGCTGATGGCTGGATCGCGGGTGTCGTTAGGGTGAGGCAAGTGCTCATAATGCCAGCCTCTTTGGCATTTGCTGCAACGAAACAAGACATTTTGAGGATTGTTGACCAGTTTCGGGTCTACCGGCGTGATCGGATCTACTCCATCGTTTTCCTCGCGCAGCTTTTCTTCTTGTTTGGGTGTTTTCTTCTCAGAGAAGGGAGCACAGGATGGGTTAGCTTGATGACAGCACTGGCAAGTGTCATGCTTTGGAGCACGATCGTCCTTCTTGTTGTAGGAACCGATGCAAAACCGACATTGCATGACAAAGGAGTCCGTGTCGACTTTGGTGACCCGCTGCTCGCGGGTATTGCGAGTGCCGAGACATATCTTATGGTAAGAGTTGGAACAACCTTGACAGTAAACCAAGGCTCCCTTATTGGGATTACCCTCAGGGTACCCACAGCTGTCACACACCGGACGGTGGGCATCCTTAAAGTCCACCGGGGCCGGCTTGAAGACCTCTCGAACACTGGCAATCCTGGGTGCCGTGGGTTTTGTGTCCTGAACATCGAAGATGTCGTCGTCATCATCGTCGTCGAAAATCTCTTTCATGCTTTTCCTGGATTTGTTGGCCCGAGAGGAACGCCGCTTTGACTCGAACTCGATATCTGAATCGCCGTCTCCCATTGACGTCTTGAGCTTCGTAGTGGATTTCCGCTTTTTCCTGCCTCTGGTTTTGATGATGTCGGACGTGACAACGAGAAAACCATCATCGTCGTCCGAATTTTGGAGTTCATCTCTGTCATAATCTCGATATTTCTTGTCTGAGCGGGGCCTCAACGCTCGTGATTCTGTGCCGCTTTCATAGGCTATGCTTCTTTCACTAGAAGCGCGGGCGCTGGTGCGCGTGCTGCGCTTGGCACCGTTGACAAAGCCATAGTCATGAAGCGAATGGCGACCACCGTATTCATCGCCGGAGTTTTCTTCGTAGAGTTCTTCGTCGTCTTCATACCGTCTCTTTCGTTTGCGCAGGCCGAGCCCCTCGAGTTCGTCATCGAACCGGTAATCATCGTAGGCGGGCTGTGTAAATTAAGTGTCAGCGAAGATCAGCAATGATGGATAAATACCACTTGAGAGGAGAGTGAAATCCTGCCACCAGGGAAGGCAAAAGTGAAGCGGGCCCAGAAACGCCGTGAGACTCCATAAAAAGAAGCGGATGTCATGGTGAGAACGTCAAAGCGATGTGATCTTTGAGTGAGATCTTACCATACTGCTTCCTGGGCTGCAAAGCAGTATCTTGAACGAAGCTCGTGACGTGGTGAGGAAGATGAAGGGGTTGTAGAGTATTCAACGATCAAGACTTGGTCGCGATAATGAAAACCCGAGTTGTGATCCAGATACAGGAAAGGGTAAAGAAGAAGAATAGTGCAAATCGGGAGTGGGGGAGGGGGGTAGGAGACGGTAGGTAGGAGTGTTTGCTGCCCCAGTGTAGATAAACGACACGAAGTTCGATCCGAAACGCAAATCTCAGTGACTCCTACAAGGCTCCAAAGCCCAAGTCCAAAATCTCCAAATATAGATGAGTGAAGGTGCCACTTGGACACACAATATAGTGAGGAAGAGAAACTCTGCGCGGACAAACGAACAGACCCGTTTCCCCGGGAGCAGGTCGCTACACCTCCCGTCTTCCATCGCAAAGTCCATGAATGTATTTTTCACCAAGCATGACACTAGCCATTGCTTCCATTGCCTTGTTGCGAAATCGAGAAATGTGTAGAATCGTGCCAGTCAGGTATCGCTTACCTTGTTCCTCCGCCTGCGGGTATCATAGTGTTTTGCTCCCTCATCCCAATCCTCAACCTCAACGTGGGTAAATGCTGCTCGCTCCGATGGGGAGAGCCAGGGCAAGGCAACCTCAATGTCAACACGCCTAGTGTTGGCCTTGACACTGTCGTCTGTGACCCCGTTCGCCAAAGCATTGACACTTCCACACCAACTAGCTAGCGAGTCTGACTCTCGCTTCTTGGGTTTGGTCGAGGTGTCTGCTTTCGTTACTGCGGCGAGAGCTGCCGCAGCTTGCTCGAGGAAAGAACCGGGGTCGTCATCGTCAGCCGGCGCGGGAGGAAGGATGAAAGGTTCCGGTTCCGGTGTGGCAGCGTCGGGGCCAAGAGACACCCTGGACCGATCGGCGATGGGTGCGGTTGGTGATATCGGTTTGGGCGCTGGCTGTGCGGTAGCGACTTGGATTTCGTCTTCAGATAGATCAGATTGAAAGGTATATGCCATGGGCTCCGTTGCCGTCGACACGAACAGCTCGTCTTCGGAGCTTAGGTGGGCGTTATCGTCGTTCGCCATCTCGTCGTAAAGACATGGGGTCGTCGTTGATAGCGAGAACTGCTTTGGACAGCACCAGAGGGGTGACGGGGGTGGTCTGTATCCGACTGAGTTAGAGGGATTAGCAACATGTTGGGGACAGGGTCTGAGTCGCCAACCTTTAATACATGTGTTGCGGAGATATGTGCCAGTATGAGGACTGGAACGGCATACAATGTGGCGGCCTTAAAGATGTCGCGCGGAGGGTTTGGGACACTTTTGCCGGAGGAGGGGGACGCGACAGCCGAGAATAGTTCGGAGAAGAGACGCGACGTAGAATGGAATCGTTTAGGTGACAATCAATTGACAACCGATAAGGAATGGAAGCTTTCCCCCCACAACAGCAGCCCTATCACTGACTGACTTTGATCCACCCAAGGAGGCTCTTCAGTGGAACACGGGGAGCTGCCGCTGGGAACGTCAGCACCAAAAGACGTGCCAAACAGGGGTTCTTAACAAATACGCACCTTCTGCACAGACCCCATGCTCTCTTTTGAGATTTTTAGCATCTCCAGATGAGGATCCGCCGGGCCTAGACTAATCAGATCTTGCATCTACACGTCCTGTGCTTTTCACTTTCTTTTAATAGAAGAAATTTCCAGTGCTTCACTCGCTCATCCGTGGTTCTCATAACTCATACAAAGGCCACATTCACTTGTACCGTCGATTCTTGTTACTTCGGACGTTGAATTCGATCTTACCATTCTGTTCACGAACTTACGAAAATTCTTCACATATCACAGTCTTGGGCAAAGAAAGTCCCCAATATCAACAACGGCTGCAGGCTCAAAGCAGACCATGACACTCTCCATGCTTTGCCGGGCTGCAAGGCCTACGGTACTCAGCCAAACACCGGCGACTGCAGCAGTCTTCACTCTATGCATGAGGCAGGCCCATTCTCTTTCAGCAATACACGCGGGCATCCGGAGGTCGAGCAAAAATGAATCCAGCATGACATACGCCGAGAGGAAGGCAGCAAGAGAGGCACTACCCAAACCGACTTACAAGATCCGGAAGGGCAAGAAGGACATCACCGAATACCCCGCCAAGGCCGACCCCCAATCACGACGGGCTCGTTTCTACGATCCCGAATCCAAGTTTGGCAAGAGAAGCTTGGTGTACAAGCTCAAGACCGGTCAGCTGGATGAGGATGTGAAGGATGCGCTGGTGCGTGAAACGGGAAAGGCTCCCTGGAAGGAGAAGGAGGCCAAGACGGGCGCAAAGAAGTCTGATTCAAAGTCTGCGTCCAATTTCAACAAGGATCTCTTGGACCCAGCAGCCTTTCACGCGGCCTTCGCGGGAGGTTCATCATCAGAGCCCGCCAAGTCTGAGAAGCCCGAGAGGCGGACATCAGCACCATCCAGGGACATTCGCAGGGCACCCCGTCAGGACTCTTTTAGGGAACCCCGCCGGGATTCTTTCAGGGAGCCACGAAGTGAGCCACGGAGAGAGAGCTTCAGCAGAGAACCCCGGGAGTTCCGCCGGGAACCACGGAGGGAGGGCTTCAGCAGAGAGCCCCGCGAATTCCGCCGGGAACCACGGAGGGAGGGCTTCAGCAGAGAGCCCCGCGAATTCCGTGATGATGACAATGGTTTCAGGAAACCTCGGGAGGAGCGCACTGTGGAAATCAACGAGGAGCTCCGCGACGCTATCGATGAACCATACCCAGAGCCCAGGGAACCTACGAGGGACAGCTTCAGGGTATCCCGCAGCGAACGTAGGGAACAAAGGCCTGAAAGGAGGGACTCCTTCAGAGACACTCGCAGCAGCACACGGGAACGGAGAGAGACCGACAGAACCCCTCGCAGGGAATTGCACAGAGATATCGACGGGGAAACACCAAAATCGCTATCCATCCCTTATACCACCGCGGCCTCTCAATTCTTGTACGGCACTTCAGTGGTAGAGGCAGCTCTTCAGTCGGCAAGACGAAAGCTTTACAAGCTCTACATCTATGCTGGAGCGAACCGTGAGAAGCTGGCCAAGGACGCCGCCATTCAAAAGCTCGCACAACGGAACAAGGTTGAGACCGTCTTCGTCAACGAAGGAGGCCTCAAGATGATGGACAAGATGAGCGGATCTCGCCCGCACAACGGTTACATTCTGGAGGCGTCCCCGCTCCCACAACCACCCGTGATCTCTTTGGGAGAGGTGGTTGACGCCGAGAGCGGCCAAGGAACAACCGGTTACAAGGTTGTCCTGGGCCACCAGTCGCACGAGGAGGCCTTGATCAACGGCAAATCCGATTTTGTCTCTGCGTCCAGCACCACCCATAAGCCTTTGGTCGTGGTGGTAGATCAGATCTTGGATCCCGGCAATCTCGGTGCCATTCTCCGCAGCGTCAGCTTCCTGGGCGCCACCGCCGTTGCCATTACCAAGAGGGAATCGGCGTCTCTGACCCCGGTTGCGCTCAAGGCTTCTGCGGGCGCATCCGAGTCGCTCAGCCTCTTCTCGGTCGATCATCTTCCCAAGTTCCTTCAGGACTCGAGGGAGAATGGCTGGTTGGTCTATGCGGCCGTCCCGCGCACCAGCGGCTCTGGTAACCTGCAGAAGCACCTGGATCTTCATGAGATCGAGGAAATCGATCCTCTGCGCAAGAACCCTTGCATTCTCCTGCTCGGTAGCGAGGGCGAGGGTCTCCCTGGACAAATCAAGAGCAAGGCGGATTATGAGGTCAATATTCCCAACATGTCAGGTGGGACGGTGATCGACAGTTTGAACGTTAGCGTTGCGGCGGGCTTGCTTACCTCGGCCTTTATGAAGGGACAGGTGAAGTCGGAGTTTGAGCAGTTCAAGGTTCAGGAGGAGAAGTCGCACCTTTGGTAAAGGTGAAGAGAGCGAGGAGACGTGAGGGGGGTCGTCGGTGATGACTTCCATATCCATTGTTGGTGTACGATAAAGCCGTGTACGAGTGTCGCATCTACGAGCACAGCAGGTATAGATTTTGATGATACCACAAAACTTAGAATAGATACCCATCATTGATAGAGATGTATGTACGTTTGCATAACTCATCACAGATCCCCTAAACGGTCCGGCAGATGATGACAATGTCTGAGAAAACCAAGCAAGGACCCGGCCCGACTTCGGGATTCGGAGCCGAGCGTGTTGAGGGTTCCACCACACAGCGCGGGAGATCTCCGTGACCGTCGCTGTCGTCCACTCATTGCCCCCTGATTTACCGTCCCACTTCCCGGTGTTTTGGGCCCAATGGCTGTCTTCAAAGCACCTAAAAGCGCCACTCATTCGGTCCACTTGGCGCGCGCTGATTCTCTCGTTCAGGCAGTTTGTTTTTCGGACATGGAGGTGTCCACGGCAACCAACCTTGGATCTTCAACATATATCACGTTCGGGTTAGCCTACCTCTCTCGGAAACACCACGACATCGGTCTTCTTTTCTTTTTTATCTGGTGACAGGGGACGACTTTGAAACCGAAGACTTCTCAAACCTTCTTCAGCCTACTTTGCTGTTCACTCATCACGCGAACGCGGGTCCGGCGTCTTTGACTTGGTTGTGTGATCGTACCTCTCACCGCTCGCAGGGTATCCTGGGTATATCCATCGAGGTACTCCCAGCCACCCAAAAGTTCAAGTTGCGAGCTGAATCGCAACACTTTTTTCGTTCTCTCGAAATATCTTCAACCTACACAAAACAATCACATCGGAAACGTGGGAAGAGAGCGGGAAAAAAAGGAAAGGAAGGAAAACGAAACCCAACAGACTCAAGTCACCATGCGTCTCCTCCCACACTCGCTATGGCTCCTCATAGCCGCCCACCTCGAAGCCGCGCAAGCTCAACAACAACAACTACCCACGGCCATCAAGAAGATGCCACCCGACCAAAGCGAGAAATTCCACCCTCACTACGTCGCCTTTGCCGATTCCAACAGCTCCCCCACCAATGACCCAAACCGCCCGCTTCCCCTCATGGGCTTCATATCAGTCGAGCAGCAACAAGTGGGCGACATCAACCCCGTCCTCGCCGCCCGCCGTCTAGCCGACGAACAAGACTTCCACCGTCTGCAAACCAACTCCTCCTCCGCGCAAATCTCCTACCGGCCACCGTTCGCCAACCACAACGACCACTTGCAAAAGCCAGAGGAAGAGGAAGAGCAAAAGCGAGCATGGTCCCTCTTCCGGCGCTCACGCGAAGCGCTCGCCCGCCTGCAGCGGCGACAGTGGAACTGCCCCGAGGGCACAGCCAGCTGCGCGCGCATCGGGTATCCGAACAGTTGTTGTAGGACGTCGGAGACGTGTGTGGAGATTGAGGATGTCGGATTGGGGAAAGTAGGGTGTTGTCCGGCCGGGGCGACGTGCGGCGGGTCGGTGTCGACGTGTGCGGATGGGAACACGGGGTGCGCGTCGGAGATTGGGGGCGGGTGTTGTTTGCCGGGGTTTGTGTGTGCGGGTGTTGGGTGTGAGTTAACAACCTTTTCTTCTCTTTCCATCCCCTCCTTACCTCTTTGCCTTGTCTAGAGGTACAACACCAACCATAGGTAGCATAAGTACTGACTCCGTGATATGTAATAGGCATCAAAGCAGGCACCTCGCCCACCACCACCCAATCACCCCCCCAAACCACCAGCGACACAACAGCCATCGAGCCACCCGTCCGCCCAACATCCTCATCCTCCACCACCACCACCGCTCCACCTCTCCCACCAGTCACCGCCACCACCACCTCCTCCCCTTCTCTAAGCACTTCCCTCGACTACTGCCCAACAGGCTTCTACCCCTGCCTCGCCTCCGCCGGCGGCGGCTGCTGCCAAACCGGCCGCGACTGCAGCGTCACCAACTGCCCTCCGATCGAGCTGAGCACCATCATCAACACCAACGGCCACACCATCGTGGTGCCCATCACCGCCGTCCCGACCACCACTGCGACGGGCAGGTGCGCTAGCGGGTGGTATATGTGCGGGAAGGAGGCCGGTCCGCTTCCGGGGTGTTGTCCGAGCGGGTACGCTTGTGGGAGTGTCAGTTGCTCGGTGGTGATTACGCCCACCGATGGGGAGTTGGCGACGGCGACGGAGGCGAAGGAGCTGCCTACGTATACCAAGGCGCCGGCTGCGCCGCTGGTTGGTGGGGCGGCTCGTGTGGTTGTGGGCGTGGAAGTGATTGTTGGGGTGGCGGTTGTTGTTGGGGGGATGATGGTTTGATCTTGTCATGCGGGAGTTCTTGAAGAGGAAGCGTGGCAAGTAACGACGAATCTGGGTTCATGATGATTAATGTTAATACGTGTATATGTGGGTAGACGGTTTTTCATGTCGGTTGCATTACTTGGGAGTTTTAGCGCATTTCGTGATATTTTGAACTGGGTTAATGGGGCATATTTCTTGCTAATAAGGAGAACAGAAATCAAATTAACAAGACCAAATTCATTGCTGAACAGATAATTCAATGCTCCAACCAAGTCATAAGTCATTACCCACCTTCTCGAACCGATACCTGGATCTAAGCGCGCGAAACCCCCCTCTCCTCGCAAAACTTCCTCACCTCCTTCTTCAACGTCTCGTCCTGCCTCCTCACCAATTCCATAATATCCTTACACTCCTCACCCAACCCTCCCGCCTCATCTCCACCCATCCTCTCATACAAACCCACCATATCTCCCAACACAGCCTGCAACTGATTCGGCAGCCACGTCACAATCGGACTGCCTCCCGTAGCCGTCGGATGGCTCGTCTGCTTAAGGATATACTCCCTAGCAAAGCACCAATGGCGCCAACGGAAGTCACGGACCTGATTCAGGACTTGAATCCAAAGGCTGCGCGAGCGCCTCACCTCGTCCCTCTCTTCCTCGGCCATATCATCCGTACCATCAAGAGCAAGCGCCCACCTCCTCAACCCCATCTCCTCGCTCCCCCTCTTCACCCACTCCAAAAACGCCCGATGGTTGCTGGGCCTGTACGACCTGAAATCCTCCAAGATCTTGGTCAGAGGCGTGTCAGGCATGGGGATCTGCAAGAGGTTGTCCATGAGGGGGATAATCGAGTCGTTGGCTCCGGACTCGCCACGGAAGGAGAGCGGCCTCCCGTCCGAGTCCGGAAGACCCTCGTACACGACGCCGTTGGGGAACATGCTCTGACTCTTAATGCCGAAGATGAAGGTGCGGAACGAGGTGTAATCGTTGGGCTTGGAGCGCTTCCACATCGTCTCCATTGTGGCATTGACTTGCTTCAGGGCGGCTAGCATTTGCGACAGGGAGACGTTGAGGGATTGGCGGGCGGATAGTCTGGTCCTCTCGGGGTTGTCGGTAGACGAAGAGGAGGAGAGGGCAGATCTGCGGCAGGCATCGAGAGAGGCCACGGCGCCGGCTACGAGCGGACCCGAGTGACGGACCATGTCAATGTGGACGAGAACGAAACCGGCTTCTGAAGAGGTAGGGTCCAGACCATGCTCGAAGGCGCGGATGAGGCGGACGTTGGAAGGGTCGGAGAATGAGAAGCCGAGGGAGGGGTCGACAAGATAGTAGTTGAAGAGGGCATAGGAGCCGGCGTATTCCATGAAGGGCTTGAATTCGCATCTTTATTGGGGCAGAGGTTATCAGCCATTTGAGGATCGATAGTGAACCAGGGAAAGAGAAGAAAGAGTGAATACTGGGTTGGAAATGGCACGGAGCGGAGATGAGACTCTGGAAACAACACTTGACGGGCGGAGATCTGTCATCCACGACAAAGGAACATAGTAAACACTTACATCTCAGCACATTTAGCAATCGGCCTCGCCACATTCGCCGGCAACACCTGTCTCCCCAGCCCATATTCCTCCCCCTTCACAAACCTCTCATGGCACGGTTCCAACAGGTATGCCGACGCCAGGAACGAGTAGTCCCGATACAAGGCGTTCATCAGGGGTAGGTCATGCCTATATTTGTCCACAAACTCGGTCAAGTCCGGGAGCTCACTGTGGACGACTTCTCCGAGCTTCCCATTGCCCTGAGCAAACAGGCCTGGTTCTCCAGATGCGGTCTTGACTGGCATGCGTTGGAGGATGGATTCAAGGGGGTCAAACTCGGGAGGCAAGGTCACGATGGGTTCCATTCGAGGGAGAAAGCCACGGGTGGTAGAGACCATGAAGGCGGGGAGAGAGGCATCATCTGGACGAGGGTCATGGAGAATAGGGAAGTCTTCGTGGTAGGTTGTGGTATCCGTTCCAAGGGAGCCCATTGTGCCGATGTCGGTAATGATGGAGGATGATGGTGATGGTTGTTCCAAAGTCGAAAAAGCGAGAAGAAACAAGTTATCTAAGAGGCCTTCGTCTGCGTGGAGAATGATGCAGATGCAGAAGTTGAGAGGTGGAAAGACCCGAGTGTCTCTGCGCCTATATAGACCGTGGCCGGAATCCATTCCGGCCTCTCGTCTCAAGCTCAACCCAACCAATTCCCATGGTTTGTCCATCACAGAAGGCGCGTTCCGAAGCCGGTTTCTCTTTGTCATGAGTTGACGGGTCGCAGCAGACAATAGCTAGGGGTTGTTAGTTTGTCCTTGGTCCCGCCTTCCATCCATCCTTCCCTGCAAGGGAGTATAAGTGAGAAATGGTGTGAAATTTGGGTAACCGCGAGCAACAACGCAACAATATCCGGCAGGCGTCATCTCATCCGGTTAATGCGGTTAATAAGACGTTTTGACTTCGAAAATATGAGTGGTGCGACATAGTGTTGGCACAATATTGTTGAGTGTCTTTGTTTGAAGAGGTCTAACGGGTCGTCTCGTTGACTCTTATCATCGGTTAGCCAGACAAGTTCCATATCAATGCAAACAAAACCGTGAAACTCAGCTACCAACACTTCGGCCCGGCCTGCATCTCACCGGTGCACAAACCAAGCAATGATGCTGCACGTGTCGCCAGGCGTGCGTATCGGTGTGCACATGGTGAGCCATGAACCCGGAATTGAGTAATGGGAATTGGCAGATCCCCACTTTGCTCCGGCCCTAGCCGGCCCCAGCCGGCCCCAGCTTCCCGATATCCGACTCCACTTGGCCGGAATGGTTCCGGCCACTGACTCCGGTCACCGGTGATAAACAATGCTCCCCCGTAACGGTTCCATCCCAATCCCGCCCTTATCGTCGTCAAACCAACCTGACATCAAGGTTAATCGGGGTATCTATCTTTGGAGGTTGCCCTCTGTTTCTCCAGTGTATTTTTTTTACAAACGTTGTACAGTCCATATTGGTCATAGCCTTCGTCATGCATTTACATGTCCAGCTTGCACCTGCTCAATTGCAGCAGCTTGTTCCCTCAAGCCTTGTCGTTGGAGTACTCGGCACTTAAGTCTCCGAGCCAAAGCAGCTCAAATAGCCGGTGATGGTGCTGCTCCAACTCTCCCGATCCAGCACTCCTAACCATATTCCCTAACCTCCTGGACGCGACAACTGATCCCTGCTCTTCCCCTGCTTCGCCCTTGGCGTCGCTCATATACTTGAGCATCAGATGCGTGTAAGCGAAAACACTTGCATCAAAAATTGTCGGCGTCTCCGCTCCAAAGAACCATCCAGTTTCGCTTTCTGAGAGTAATGTCGCCAAAGCTTCCAATGCGTTCAAAGCCGCTCTGTACACGGAGTCTTCATCAACTAGTAGAGATAACGCCGTAGAAGCAGCACCACCGGGCCCGGTCTTTAGGATCTCGGCCTCTGCTGCTCGGCGCAGTTGGTGTCTGAGTGCGCCGCGCACCCAGTAAGAAGAGGAGGCTGGCGTGATGTAGAATCTGTCTAGCAGATCTGTGTATTCGGGATCGCGGTAGAGGGCCTGTAGCCAGGCGTTTCGGATAGGACCGTCGAGGAGGGCTTGGTAGGCGTCGAGCCTCAGGGCTGAAACCTCTGGAGGATTGGAGGTACCGTATTTGAGGGCGTAATCGTGGAGTTTGGAAGACGGAATTGGTGATGGGGCATCGGTAGGGGACGATCTTTTCGGAAGGATGAACGGGAGAGCGCCGGTAGGTGAGGCATGGTTTGTCGAGGGCAGGATTTGGAATTCGACACCGGCAAGCTTGAGAAAGGTCTATTTGATGTGAGAGAGCAGAGTTAGACTATCATAGCTTGACCATTCGTGAGAAATCTTATATAGAGTACGTACCTGCCACTTCAAACAGCTAGGGTTGAAGCTTGGTGCCCCCAGTAGCGCTTCCTCCTCGGTAGAAAAGACGTAAAGTGTAGGAAGGTCACCAGAAGTGGCTGACTGTGCTCGAGCGGGGAGGGCGTTGACGTCGTAGGCGAGAAGGGGAAATGTATCGAAGAGCTGCTGGAGCGGACGAGGGACCTGCATCCATTTCCGAGGTGGTGCGGCGGCGGAGGTGGTCGCCATGGTCGTTTTCGAATCGACCTGGTACGATGTGGTAGAATGCGATGCGACGACTGAAGCGATGACGCTTCTTGGCTTTCGACAGTGATGGCGAGCGGGGTATGAGGTGTCGCGTTGGGGACTTCAAGCGGATGGAGGGGTAAGTTGTTTGATTGGTAGTATCCGACACAGTAAGTTCCGGACCTGAAGCGGATAGTAATAAAGTCGATGTTCCTAGATCTCGATGTTACAGCTCCGTAAAGTTACGCGGTACACCTTTTCGGTCCCTTCCTTTCCGTGTCTCCATAACGCGGCTCGGCTACAGAAGTGGAGGCCCGGGCGCGCGGGCAGTGGGCGAGAAGGTGGGTCATTGGGCCGGCCTCGCCTCGGCGTGTTCACCGAACCGACGCCGCACAAATGTCGGGAAGTTACGACTTGTCCGCAATAAAAAGCCAACATGGCCCAAGCTTTTGTGCTTCTTCCCGTCTACACTACCGCCGCGTACCTGCAGCGACCGGGACTTGTGCTTCTCTTTCATTGCAACCCTCCTCATCTTTCAACCGCCTTGCCGCCATTTCCATATCCGACTCGTTGCAGCAGAAGATCAACAGCCCAGAGGTCGATTCGAAGATGAAATTACCAAAACAAATGAAATGCAATCACCTCAAAACGTCCGTCATTCGAGCTTTTGGTCCGGCTGGGCTTTCGACCGAGCTCGCCACTCTTTCGTCGCCATGTCCTTCTCGCTGCTGATTAGCGCCCTCGAAGCGACGGCTCTTGAAGCCAAACTTTCCGCAAGTTGTCCCGCGCCAAACGTGGCAGGCCGCCGACTACCCTAGGGATACCGGCATCTTCTGCCGCGTTATCAGTATCAACGCATATGCAGCTTGCCCGGGTGGGAATGGCAGCATTGTGGTTCCACTGTCGTTCGACCCTTTGGAGCTGTCACTCTCTCGGTGATACTACACAAGTGCTACCATCGGTACCTCAACGTACAACAACACACAAACTACCGAAACAGTGTGGGATATCAACTTTTGGGGGTTTATCCATTACCCAAGCAAGAAATTAAACCCCGTGTTTGGGATCCTGGAGCCGCGGATGCGTATGTCGTCGCGGGCGGGCGGACAAAGAGGCCGAGATTGAAAAAGCCAAAATGCAGCCCTGCAGAGCCAAAGATTCAGGGTGCCCCCACACACTCCCACCCTTGCTCCGCTCCGGGCCGGGGTTGCAACTCTTACTGGGGCCGTGCCCGGAAGATAGCGATGTGATGCTGCCGGAAGAGAGCTTCAGGTGTGCCAACTCCCGAAGCAATGCCGACTGAGTATAGCAGGTACCGAAGAATGCAGTTTACGCGATATGAGAAAGCTCACACGTGTTACAGGACAAAAGAACAACCAGCTTAACTGCCAGTGAACACAGTATCTGGCTCTTTAAGATTCAGGCCACTGCTTCAAGGGAACTGGCTCTGACCGAGTGACTGGATATCAATGAAACATGGGGAAATACCAAACGAACGGCGCGAATCGTGTATCATCAACAACCCATCTCGGGGTTTGTCGATCTATTGAGATCTATTACACCTGAAGATATTTCTGGACGAACTATGTTCGCCCTGGTGCATCATGCCCATCACCATTCGCTGTGATTGCGTGTTTCACTTCATTTCATATGTCAGGGATCACGCGTGGTGAGTGTCCCTTCAGATTACCGAACCTATTAATAAATAAAAGTGTGAAATAAGGAACGAGGATTGCCAGGTTGCAACTGAACCCTTACTTGAAGAATTGGTCCACTCGGTCATAACAAGAAGACGGTATTCTGCAAAGACTCCAGCGTAGTAAGATAGGTATGGACAATCAAGTTGGAACAACCGACAAAGGTAAACACTTGTTGCCAGAAGTTAACCCACGTGTAAAGCGTTTGTTTGTACCCGTTAAAAGGATTTCCTACTGGTGCCAGAGGGATGAGAGAGGCAGATGAGAATCATAAGAGTGTGGGGGACGGGAGCACACCCGGGCCTCGACGGACGGGTGGACATCATGATATGGGGCATCTGGAGGTGGATCAAACGTCCCCCGCCCTTTGTCTGCAATCCCCAGACAAGCACTTCCACCAGGCTGCAGAGTACTTGTGTGGTACAGACTTCGGCTTTGCGGAAAGCATTGCATGACGAGGGAAATGAGGGCAAATGACAACTCAAATGCGACATTCCGGCTGTTCTGCAGAGGTACCTTGCCCGTACCTCTTAGAGGACAATCTGCTGGCTTGGCACGGTTGGTTGAAAGAAGCCCCATTGTTGATCCTCCTCACCTATGACGCCCTCAGTGTCCGAAACAATGAGTGTCACCACGGTCACCACGGTCATCCGCTACTCTCGAGTCTCGGGCAATGTACCTACGCATACTTCCATTTTGAGGTACCTGGAAGGTGTCAGTCAGCGTTGCGGAAGAATGAAGGTGAAGATGTTGATTAGTGAAGCAACTGTTTGAGATTAGAAGGCTGGAGAGGGATTGTTCACGTCCACCTGATGCTACAAAGGATGGGACTTTGTTCGAATGTGACATATTCCACCGTCATCCACTTCTTACCCATCTATCCACCATCGATCCTACGTACACACCCAAAGACACCGCCGGCACTGCAGTTCACCACATCAACGGGCATCAAACAACAAGAAGACGCACCAGAGGTCGCTTTGCATCTTGCAGCCTGCACCGTCCCCGTTCCAGTACACCACTACAAAAGGGAGACAGATTACCATATATTGGTTGCCGTATTAGCCTGTTCACTGTCCTCTTCTCGCTCTTCTCATAGCGGGGAACCTTCCATTCCTGGAAAATTGGAGAAGTAGGAGCAAAAACCGGAGCAATGGATTGAGGAATTCCAGAACCAAGAAACAGTCGTATACATCATCCTTGGCGTTGATTCAGTCGTGAAGACAAGCACCCGCCCCCGGCCTTTTTTTTCTGCTGTCTCGGTCGATCCACTCAAGAGGATCCCCATCAAAATCCCACACCCTACCCTGGACGGAATTCGGAGAGCGAGAAATTCTCTTATCAGCGAGCTTCCTCCGCGAAAGAACGAACACACACCATTCTTTTTATATACCTATCTCTCCAACCTTCCCTCCCAAATCTCAAACCACTTCTTCCCTTTCTACTGCAGCCGCGACCAAAAATTTCGACCACACACACCTCACTCAGCTGCTATCCAACTCCAACCCGTCGACCACACCAAAGCACTTACCAACTACCACATCAACAACACTCGCACCTTCTTTGAGAGTCGCCTGTCTATCACAAAAACACAAGTCGCTCCCAAGACAGCACATTCTCAGCAATCACAATGGACGCCTCCAACTCCACCCCCACAACTCAGCAGACCTCCTCCATGGCTTCCATTCAACGGTCGCCCGTAGCGGCCAAGATCGTACCGCCTCAACCTGCTCCCGCCAAGACCGGAAACTCGACGGATGCCTTCCTCAAGGACTTCACACTGGTCGCCGAGGCCGCAAAGCGCGCCCAAATGGCCGTGATGATGCGTGACTTTGAGGATATTGGCCTTTCATAAATTGGTCATGCCACACTCACGCTGCAACAAAATGCGTGGTTTGAGAAGGACGAGGCAGCGAATGGAAGATATTCGGGTTTTCTCCACTTTGGGCAACAACGACCATCTCTGGGCTGAGTTTGGAGAATTGCGACATCGCTGGCTGCTGCTACTAGCACCTTCCCCCAAATGGGGAAGAGGTCCGGAAAAAAGACTCTTTGATCGAAGTGAACGAACGATCCATTGTTCATTGACGGAGGCATTTTTCACGCCCGAGGTTTCACCGCAAAACGACGTGAAATGGGCAGCATTACAAGCCGGCCACGAGAAAAACTCTGGGTATCCAGAAGAGACTTGTCTGCGACATTTGGTTCACTCTGGAAGCACACATGGCACGCCACAAAGAACACCAACGAGGTTTTGTTTCTCAGCAACCAGCTTCATTACTTCTACGGGCAAAGCGAACCATGGAGCACGAGAAACCGAACAATGACCTTTCGAGGTAGCAGCTCGCGCTGGGAAACTTTGATTTGCCACCACTCCTCTCTCATCCACGCAACAAGAAGCACAAGAAGAAGGGGCAACCCTCGCAGGCGGTCCTTCACACACATTTCCTTTCCTCATCATTAATATCGTCTGGGCGTTAATGGGGCGTTTCACTTTGGCTTTTTGATATTTCGAACATAAGGGCATCACGGAGTACAGCGGACACGGGTACGGGGGGAAACATGGGGAAGCATACAAGCACACAAATATACCTACACACAAGAGACGGACGGCGCAGATCCGGGCGGGCGGATGTTGATTTTCACCACGGAGTGGCCATCTCGCAGGGAAGTGAGAGGAGTTTTGTCTGTTACTATAAGCATCGTCGGCTGGATATATCCCATTTGCACTTTCCACTCTTTCTCTGCTCTCTTTCTACCAAACACAACCAGATAAAATGTATACATGGATAGAGATCAGTCAAGATAATCCGTCTACTGGGATATGTGTGGTTAGGTAATAATACCAAGCGAGAATCACTGGATCAAAATCACCGCAATACCCAAAACTGTGAAAACCCACGCACACGTAATAATAATCGTTATTATTAGCATCATCCATCCCAATACCCAAAACTGAAAACCCACGCACAATGTAATAATAATCGTTGTTATTAGCATCATCCCCGAACCCCAGTCCAGTCACCACCACCTTAACATCAAATCTTGGACATCAGCGCCACCCCTCCATCCAGCGTCACCGTAGCCCCATTCACAAACGCCCCCGCCCTACTCGCCAAAAACAGACACGCGCCCGCCGCGTCCTCCGGGGTACCAATCCTCCCCAGGGGATTCGCAGCCTTGATATCCTCCCCGAAATCCCTCAGCGTCGCCGCCATCATCTTACTCGGGAACGGCCCACACGCCAGCGTATTGCTCGTAATCCCCCTCGGTCCCAGCTCCACCGCCATGTGTCTGCTCAAATGATGCAGTCCGGCCTTGCTGGCGCTGTAGGCGTACGTCGGCAAAAGGGGCACCCGGATCCCGTCGATGCTGCCGATGTGGATGACACGGGCAGGGTCGATCACCACTCCTTCACTTTCTGAAGTCTTCTTGGCCGCTTTCTCCAACAGGGGGGTAAGGGCTTGTGTGAGGGTGAACACCCGGTGCAGGTTAAGCGTGAGTAGCTTCGTCCACGCGTTATCCGGGTACTCGTCGTAGGCGGCGCCCCAGGTGGCACCCGAGTTGTTGATCAGCACGTGCAGCTTTTGCTCGCGCTTCGAGAGCTCTTGGGCGAGACGGGTGCATTCCTCGGCGGAGGAGAGGTCGGCGGGAAGCGCGACGGCGGAACCGCCTGATGAGGTTTTGGATGCGAGGGCGTTGAGCTCCGAGGCGGCGAGATCGCAGGCGGAGGCGTCGCGCGAGGAGATGTACACTTTGGCGCCGTTGCGGACGAAGCCTTCGGAGATCATGCGGCCGATGCCTTTGGCGCCGCCGGTGATGAGGACTACTTTGCCCTAGGTATGGGTTTTTGGTCAGCGGTTTGGGGTTCGTTGTTGGGGAGGGGATGCGCATTGTTGACGGTATGATTTGCGATGCATGGCATGGCATGACGTAGACTTAGACGTACCTTGATGCCGAAGAGAGTGTTGACATCCATGATGATTGCTCCTTTGCCGACTTGTGATTTCGCTGTCAGAATTGGTGGGTTCAGTGCAAACAATTCAAAGCTCATATCTCATCCGGGATGATCGGAGGATAATAACAGATTCCCTAAAACCATCTTCTCGTACCAGCCAAACGATATCCGGTGCTGTTCACTAAGACGGGAAACCGTCGACCGAAGACAACAACAAGCCGAGGCTCGTTGGCGTTGCCATGGTTGGCCAATCAAGGGCTCTTCCTTATCGATAGCTGTCACTGATAAAGTTTCGCGGGGGAAGATCCCAGCTACGTTGTCCAGGGGCTTGCGGTGAACGGTGAGCACGGTGAGTGTCCGGTGAGCCCGAAGGAGGTCAAGGTGAGTAACCCTGACCGAGCAACCAACTTCACGCAACCCTACCTCATCATGACAGCTTAGGGTGAAGACAAAGCGATGATGCACATGCATTATGTGACTGCTAGGATGATGATACTTGATTGATTACGCAATGTGTGGAGGCATGAAAGTAGGTACGGTCAGCTGTTCTGCGTTCACCGATAAACAACTCTGCCCACCTCTGTCATTTACCGTGAACACAGTGAATCACGAGAGGAGACATCGCAGGTATCCTGGGGTAACCCATCTTCCCACAAGCTGCGAATTTTGATCTATACTCCTGGAATTCTTAGGCTCGCCAGTTAGCACACCATGGCAAGTGACCCCGAACCCCCCATCAACGCCTCCAGCGCCAACGACCACGCCATCCAAGGCCAATCCCAGCGCCTCCGCTCGCTCTTCAAGGACTCAAACTACTCTACCCACCCGAAAAACTGGGACACACTATGGAAAGAATCCTTCACCCCCTGGGATCGCGGCGGGTCCAGTCAAGCCCTCGACGAAGTCCTCTCCCTCCACCGCGAGGTCTTCCCCAATGCCCCAAGCAGTGCTGATGATTGGGACAAGCCAAGACCCAAAGCCTTAGTCCCCGGCTGTGGGAGAGGTCACGACGTGCTGCTTTTGTCTGCACACGGGTATGACGTCTTCGGACTTGACTCGTCCCCGACGAGCTTGGAGGAGGCCAAGAAGAATGAGAAGAGGGTCGCGGAAGAGGATGCAGAGGGCAAGTGGAAGGAGTTGTATGCGCCGAGAAGGGAGCTGGGTGTCACGACGAAGGGTAGGGTGATGTGGGTGACGGGAGACTTTTTCGAGGACGACTGGGTGAATGACTCGGGATATGGACAGGTGAAGAATGGGTTTGATCTTATTTTCGACTATACGGTAAGTGTTCCGTCTTCCTGAAAGGTGTCCTCGCCTGATTTTGAGGTGATTTGGTCGAGAAACACTAACTCAGACTCATTGCCAGTTCTTTTGCGCCCTTCCGCCTGAAGCACGCCCACAATATGCCAAGAGAATGTCCGATCTTCTCAACCCCGACGGCGGAAGACTTGTCTGCCTCGAGTGGCCACTTGACAAGGACCCCTCAACCAGCGGCCCACCTTGGGGTGTTTCGGGCGACCTGTATCTTGCCCATCTTGGGCATCCGGGCCAGGAATTGCCATACAACGACAAGGGACAGGTTATGGACGGAAGCGCGGATACAACACCGGGCGCTCTCAAACGGCTGGCACGTATACAGCCCGCATACACACACAAGGCTGGGTGCGACGACCAAGGAAACGTGATTGACCGTGTCTCGGTCTGGAGCCACCAGTAAGGATGGTCAGGGGAAACCTTTTCGGTACCAGTTACTTTGTGTGGGAGAGAGCAACTTAGCAACAGGGAGGGGAGGGTGACACTCTGATCGTTTGCTTGATAACTCGCCTTTTGGCAAATCACCGTCTCACGCGCTTGCTTTGCGCAGCGAGTTGTAATGTTCACCGAGCCCATATCCATGGCGATAGTACGCCAACCACAGGACCTTCAGCTCCTCCTTGTCCCCATTGCTCTCCCCATTTGCGACAGCGTTGGGCTGTATCACCTCGGTCCTACCGTCCTGCACCACCCTGATCTCGACGTTATACACGTTTGCCAGCGCCGTCAGCTCCAGTTGTCCACCCCACTCTGCTGTATCCCGTATCTTGGCCACGTAGGTCTCGAAGGGCTCCTCGAGAAAAGGCGCAAAATCGTCCGCGTGTTTCTCCATGTAGTCAACCGCCGTATGACGCACCATCCTATATGGCGGCAGCTTCTCTTGTGTTTGCGTCCCCTTGCTCTTGGACAACGGGCCATCTACTGGGAGCCCGTGGACGACCAGTTGGTCTGCCACTGCGGAAAACAGACAGTGCCCATCGGGCTCGATATCCTTCTCTTCCAAAAAATGCGCCTTGAATTCGCGCGACATGTATGCCTTCTCGATACCGCGATGGTCCACCATACTCGAGGCCTCTTTCTCGGCTGCCGCTGCAGCAGCTTCTATTTCGGCTTGCCGCCGGGCGAGACGCTCCTTCTGGCGGTTTCGTTTCTTTCCTCCGCCGCTGGAGGACTGTTCCACCGGAGGAGGGGAACTTGTTTTACTCGACTGATCAGAGACTGTGGTCTTCTGTAGCTGCTCGGTCACATCGTTGACTGTCGTTGGTTCTTCGGCGTTTTGCTCTTCCTCGGGCTCTTGGGCCTGCTCGTCGTTGTTGTGGCCGTCGTCGCCTCCTTGCAACTTCCTGAGCTCCTCCTCCTGTCTCGCTTTCAGTTCGCTTTCCAGTTGGGCACATTCATCGTTGACGCCCTTGCGTGTCTTCTTGGTCGCGTTCTTCTTCTTGTTTGTGATGCGTGACACAAGGTCTCTCTGCTCCTTGCGATGCCGAGCTTGCAGTTGCTCGAGGGTTTCGGACTCCATGTTTGCTCGCTCTTGTAGAACCTGTTAAACCTCGAAAGAGAATGGTAAATTCAAGCGAGTTCTAATATGACGAAGGGTGAGGCGCGAATGTCCCGTGCAGGTAGCCGTAGGTCTGAATGCGTCGTTGTGGTTGAAAAGAGTGAAGGGAGGACGGGCAAGCGAACTCGAGAAACTCCCAACATGGAATTCGTACGCGAGTGGGCCAGTGGCGGGGTATGGCAGCTCAAGGTACCGCTGTAACCCTAACCCTGTGTACCGTACCAAAAGGGGTAGCGCGGGGGTGGGGTAACTCGGGCACCGACCGATCTGTACAGATTGCGAGAATGTTCGATGCAAGTACGACCAGCCTCATAAACCAATATTAGCTGCATCGTTTTCAACAAAAACCACTGCGCCGTTGGTATAGTGGTTAGCATACTCGCTTCCCAAGAAATCTTCTAATTAGCGAGTGACCCGAGTTCGAATCTCGGACGGCGCACATCCTTTTGCCTTTTTCTCGGTCCACATTCAGCCTTGGTGGAAGCTCCGGAGATGTATAAGGAGGATTTCCTTTTTTTTCTTTAACTTCTTTCTTTGCGCATATCACAAGATGACCAAATGGGCTTCATCCAGCCAGAGCTACATAATGGCCAGTTTCATTACTATGGCGCACTCTCAATCAACGAGTAACTGGCAGGAAAGACATTTGTCGTCACTTGTCAAGTTGAGGTGCTTACACATTTCATCGCCTATACTCTGGGTCGTCATCAAAGCTTCCATCCAATTGCAAGGTCCCTCCATGTTGTTTAATTCAACTCCCAGACAGATAAGATTGGCACACGTGCAATGACTCCTACGTGTAAGTAGAACAGTCCTCAGGTTCCGATTTGTCAACGGCCTTCATTGGAGTCATGCACGCAAGACGCCTTTCCCGTCTTGCCCGTTTCCTCTCACCCAAGACGTTGAGATGTCTGTCGTCTGCCATGTTGTCTCTCCTTTACCGCCTTGTTGCTGCTGTACCCGTATCATGTACTGTATGTAACCGTTTCTTTGCTGTCCTGTGGTACGACGGGCGGACATGTAAGGTACAGCGCATACACTATACACGTTACCGCTCATGTGGGTTTTCGATAATTGCCTTGGCCGAATTACGGGTTGGTGGATACAACGAGGTTGATCATCTTGATATTGTTGTAGGTATATACCTATGGGCTTCGCTGTCTTTGTGAGGGAAATAAGGAGGTGATCATGTGTCTTTGAAATTGCGAAGTGCGAACATCGCTGGCTCTTGGCGGAGTAGCAAACGTATCAGGACTATAAATCCCTCGGTGCCTGCGGGCAAACTGCCCATATAAGTATGGCAGCTGGGCCAGTGTGGGAGATGAAGGCTGAACTCATTTGCTAGAGTTATCCAAGAGTGCGTTTCAGGCAACGAACAAAAAGAATTACATCTCCTTCCAACAACAAGTACTTGCCCAAAATCTTGCCCACATGCATGCGGTGGTGCACCTGGGCCAACTTGGAGGATGAAACGAGGCCGACGTATTCGTACTCACATGCTGCATCTATAGGAAAGTTACAACGAAGAGGCGCGCACTGCATTCCCACTGCATTGCATGATGATGCTGCAGTGGAAAAGAAATTGATGGGCTGAAGAAGGACGGGGGAACTCTCGGAAAACGTGGGGCAGGAACAGACGAGGGGTGCGGAATGGGTTGTCGAACAAAAGCAGGGATTGGCCAGTGAGACATGCTCAGGAGGGCTCCACCCGCTGGCAAGCAGCTCACGTCATTCGTCCATTTCAAGCGTGTTTCAGCGTTTGGAGCCTACTCTAGGCGGGTGATGGGCTTCTGCAAATCAGATCAATTGGAGTTGCGAACGACAACATTCTTCGCTCTCTTTTTCAATCAACCTCGAACCGACCCCTTTCTATAGTGTACCTGGAGCGCTTGCTGGTGCGACTGGAACTATCACGCTCCGGGCAGTACCCCGCTCTGTCCTTATTTTTCCTTCCTTCTTTTCTTTCATCCCAACTGTTGATCAATTCCTGTGACCGCCTTCTCGCTCACCGGGCAACGGTCGGTCAATTGCACATCAAAGTTTCCCCTTATCGATCGCAATCACGGCACTCCATCCGGCATCAAGCGTGCCGTACATCCATGCGCGGTTGTAAGAATGGGATATGCGCCTCAGAAGTGGGAAAATCCCTGGGTGAATTTTTGGTGTCGGGAGGGGTGCATTGGCGGCCCGGGTGGCAGGTTGGGCGGGAATGGGACAGTTACAGGTTAAACAAAGCGCAGTGCAGCGGCGTACCTACATCATGTAAGGTCAGATGCGCAATGTGCTACACGACATCAAGAGCTGGTCAGCACGGCACTATGTAAAGATATTTGGTGTTACCTCGGCGCGGTGCTCTCGCTCTCGTAACTGAAGTGGACAAGACGAAGCGGCTGTCGCGACTGTGATTGATTCAGGGGCACACCAGCACGGCCACGCAAGCGCATTTCGGTCTATCGTTAGCGGATGCCCATCAAGGTTGCACATCGACAGACCGTGGAGAAACGATTATTATGCTGCGGAGTTGGCGGTGGAGGCTTTGGGAAATCGCAGGACCCCATCCGAGGCGATCGCACAACGGCCCCAAGACGGCTTCAGCTTGTTCGAGGAACCCCAAGAGGAAACACTGGTCAGTCAAGGGACCTGCAGCAGCAATCCCTCGGCGGTCTGAAATCTCCCACGATTCCCTCGTGAATGGACACCTCGGATCCGGCGTCTTGATTGCTAGCGCAGCCGACCTGGAGTCATCTCAAGTAGAGTTTCTTGGCCTGCCCCTGGGCTCCCGTCGCTGCCCCTGGCACGTGTCTGAGCACCATGACCGCTTTTCCCGCTTTTCTGCCCAAGACGATAGCGAGAGTGATTTGCTTTCGAAATTGGGAGCAAATTCTCACACTCCACCATGGGCTCCAAACAGGAGGTCCCTATAGTCCTGGGCCGCGTGTGTCGGCTCCTCATATGGCCCTTTTATTTTCCCAGGGCCGCCATTATATCAGGGATGTAGTGGCGACTCCCCAGGACTTGGGAGACATGGGTTTGGGAATGCGCGGGCCAATGGGCGCTCTTGAAGAGGTGGCTGATCGCCTTGTTCGGGAAAGAGTGCAATGCAGCCAGAGCAATGGCAGGCTCGAAGGGGGCCACCCACCTGCAAATACCACTCAGACGAGCCGATACACCCAGGTTTACGACCCTGGAACGGTGCAATTACGATACGTACCTGCAGCAACCCAGTGGGCATGGCAGACCCATGCTCTGAGGAGGGTCTGGTTAGGGTTCTGAGCGCGACCTTCCACTGTTCCTTTCCTTCCAGTCGGGTACGCCGCAGGTACCGTAGGTGTAATCTGCGGATCCTCAGGCAGGCCCCCCGAGCCCCGGGCGCCTCCCCACCCGCAAATGGAGAATCTGAGGGTTCCTGCCCGGGCCGCTGCAGAGTGGAAAATGAATATCTTTCGCTGGGTGTCTCGCCTTCCTCATTAGTGCTCCCTCCTCCCCTCCCTTCCCCGTGGTCCATCGTCACTCCCTTTTCCCGTCCTCATTCCATCGATCTCTGGTGGTCTGAACTAATTCTTGTCCGACTCGTCGACATTTCACTCACTACCACCACTCGCTCGCTCTCTGTACTACAGTCACGCTCTTTTCATCACTCGCCAACATCCCCATCTATCCTTTTTCGACAAAAGGCAAACAATCTCGATAACCGACTCTGACTCGTCGTGCTGGTCATATCTGGTGGATTTCAAGAAGCAACTTTTACCGCAACTCACCGACTCGCCCATATCGATACCTCGACCCCGCTCAACCAGCAAATCCGACAAGCGATTATTGTTTTTGGATACAAAACCTAATCTCAAAATGAAGGTTTCTGTAGCTATCCTCGCCGCTGCAGGCGGTGCGGAGGCTTTCTGGCGCATGGAGTGCCGCGGCAGATTGGGTGTCGCTCGCCTCGACCCTCTGGTCAACTACGGTGAAGTTGGGTCCCATGCCCACTCGGTTCACGGTTCTTCTGGTATGTCCATGTGTCCGCAGGCGCGCTGGGAAATGATAAATTTGCTAAAACAACATCAACAGGTTTTAGCGACAAGGCCGAGTTCGACGACCTGATGAACGGTGACTGCACTTCTTGCGCTGTTACCCAGGATAAGTCTGCGTACTGGACTCCTTCTCTCTACTTCCAGCATGCCAACGGCTCCTATGAGCTCGTTCAGCAGGTTGGTGGTATGCTGGCTTACTACCTCCTTTACACGGATGATGCCAACCCCTCCAGTGGCATCAAGGCGTTCCCTCCCGGATTCCGCATGATTGCCGGAGACACTAATCGCCGTAACTATACGGTCGGCAACGTCCAGGATGCCGACCCCCAGAAGTCCGACTGGGCCAGCCTTGGACAGACTTCGCAGACCGATCTGACTCAGCGTGCCATCGGATTCAACTGCCTCAACTACGGAAAACAACCCGAGGGCACATTGTACCGTCACTACATGCCTGACAAGGACTATCTCGATGCCAACTGCGCCGACGGTATTCGCGCCGAAATGATGTTCCCTTCTTGCTGGAACGGCAAGGATCTCGACTCTGATAACCACAGGTCCCACCTGGCATACCCCGATCTTGTCATGAGCGGCAACTGCCCCAAGGGTTTCGAGACCAAGGTCCCTAGTCTCATGTACGAGACCATCTGGGCTACCAACAACTTTATCGGACAACCTGGCCAGTTCGTCTGGGCCAACGGTGATATTCAGGGTTTCGGTTACCATGCCGACTTCATGAACGGCTGGGACGAGGACTTCCTCCAGCAAGCCGTTGAGACCTGCACCAACGACAGCGGCAGGATTCAGGACTGCCCCATCTTCAATATCCAGACCGAGGATCAGCAGGGACAGTGCACCTTCAACAACAACGCCGAGCTCGTCAAGATGTTCAAGACTTCTCTCAATGAGAAGACTACCGGACTGATTGGCGACTCCCTTCCCGGCGGCGTCAAGATTGCTTACGGACCCGAGCCCGCCAATGCGGCCAACGCTGGATCGCACAGCACTACTGTCGAAGTCCCAACTGCTACTTACTCCCAGGGTGCCACTGTCACCAACGGCAACTACATGCCCGGAGGTATCTTCAAGGCTGCTAAGGTCGCCGATGTCAACTCCCCGGTCGTCCCCAGCATCACCACCGAGGCTTCGTCTGTTATTACTGAGGCGCCTACCGTCATCGACCAGGATGGTGAATTTACCGCCATCAGGACCGAGTACATTACCAACGGCAATGTTGTCAGCATGGTTATCATCAAGGAGGCTCTCGAGTACGTGACCGTCACGACCACTACTGTTACGGCCGTCCAGACCGTTCAGGCCCGCCAGTACTCTCAGTACATGAACCGCCACAAGGTCCGCCATGCTGCGAACCACCGGGCTTAAGCCATATGCTATATGACTGTTTCCGGTATCCTCACTTCACTTCTACAGGCCTTGTTCCCTTCCTGGTGACATTGGCTCTGGGCCACATTAGTGAAGAGAAATCTTCGTGGCCATTTGTTCTTGTTTATGCTTTGTTATATCCCTGATGGATCTTTTTTGGTGGATTGGACTTTGCATCTCAACAGGTCATTATCCGATTTATCCAGGCGAGGAGGAAGTGGTATGGGAAGGCCAGCGAATTTAGGGAGATACTCAGAAAGTAGAAAGAGAGTTGATATTGCAAAGCCTTTTCCCTGTACTTTTGCATCTTTGTTGTGGTGAAGGGTAGGTATTGAATACCTCCTTGTTATCACGTATATGGTCCTTAACTTTTCCATCAGCATGGGCAGGCGTTCTACGGTGATACATCTATATACTTAATAGGCCGGTTTCTCTCCTGAGCGAACAATAGAATAACATGAGGAAATAAGCAAGGTGGTCAACCAAAGGATGTAAAACCATTTGATCCATTCATATGTGTGCCCAACTACTACATTTTCTGGGTCTGGTGAGCTTGAAATGATCCGGGAACTTCCACCCTGGCAGCCATGTGAACATCACCACCGCCGTCTTACCACACATCAAATCTATTATTTATGTTTTGTTTTTTTGCGATGGTCATCTCAATACAACATACCTCAGTGCTTGCGTTGTCATGGTGATGGCGAAGGCTGGAATGTTGCTGTGTGGTCTCAGGTCGTGGTGTTGTGGTGTTGCTCGGCGCAACGCATTCCATTCCATTCGCAACAACAACGCTGCACTGGACCAACAACACTCCGATTTATCTCAACCGGTAGAAGCATGTCGGCATTCGAACAACAGGAACCATTGTTCTCGTGTGTCCTTGTTCACATCGTCACTTCTTCTGAGATTTACATCGTCACTCTTTCTCACGAGGTTTCGTTGTTGAAACCACCACCACGCTCCTTTTCCCACGCTCTTTACTTGGGTGATAATTTGCGGTTAAGTTGCTGAAGAACACAAAAAGTTAACGTACACACCGCAATAAAGATAGAAGCGAGGCCAAACATCGCCTACGACGACGCGCTGCAAATAGCAACAACAAGGGCGGAAGAGACCACTGTCACTGACTGACTGTTTGCAATCTTATTGTCACGAAACCCGTTACGAAGCAAGAACACGAAGGCAGAAACACAAAACAGCAGCATAGCACGGAAAGCAATAATAGCAACACAACCCCAGCAAAAATCGAGATACAAGGGGGGTTGAAGAAATCGGAAACAAGCAAACTGCAGCCATCACCGTCAACTTCCGTCTCGAACACAGGTGCTAGGAACCAGGGACCACCGACCCCAGCTTCACTCCGATACTAAACATCAATCACAATGGCCGCCGCCGCAGGGGGTCCCCTCCCCTTCGGCGCCCTCATCTCCATCGTCCTCCTCGGCACCTTCACCGTCTCCGCCACCCTCGCCTTCTTGGGCATCTGGCTTTCGCGTCGTCGAAGACTAGCAGTAGCCGCGGCGGGCCAGGGCCAGGGCCAGACAAACAAGGAAAGAAGCGGTTGCCATGTGCATGACTTGACTGGTGAGACGGCTATTGCATCGACGGCGTTGACAGTCCATGTTGGGAATGGTCACAATGATGTCCTGGATGGTGAAGATTTCTCACCGACGAAAAGAAGTCCGAGAAAGTTACAAAAACTTCCGTCTGCGTCGTGGACGACGGCGTCGGCTTCGAGGTTTAATAGTACTACTTCTTTGTTGCCTAAGGTTAAGGAGAAGGGGAAGGGGAAGGGGTCGAGGGAGGATGGGTTGAGGGAAAATGGAGGAGGGGATGGAGAAGGAGAAGATGTGTTTTCGGTCTCCATGCTACCTGGCATGTCGTGGACGGGCATGGGCGGAGCGCAAGGGCAAGGGCAAGGGCAAGGGCAATGGTCACTACTGCCATTCAGCAGGTTGAGAAAAACCTCTTCCGGCAGTCTTCTTCGCCTGCACAAGACAAAGCTGCTGGGCGTGGGTAGGAAGAAGAGCAGTGCCAGTGAAAGGAGGATGGCGAACTCGGCGTGGATCGATGAAGAGGCGCTTCATGGGCCGGAAGTGAGCGGCTTGAGCAACATCACGGACGAAAGCGGAAATGGTAATGACAACGAAAACAACGGACACCGCAAGTCGTTGTTGTTTGGCTGGCGAAAGGGGAAAGGCAGAGATTGGATCCGGGAATCGTGGCCGTTGAAGACGAGAACGCCCACGGTTCCCAGGTTGGATGACTACCAGGAACTTGCTGGGAGTCAGATCCAAAGCCAAAACCAGGTCCAGGCGAGCGACCGGAGAGCAGAGCAGTTGGAGACCGAGACGATGACAGGTCGTCTTGGGATTCCTTCCACTGATAGTGGTCGACGTGCTGTCAGATCTGCCTATGGCGCAATGGAGGGAGGAGGAGGAGGAGGAGTGTTACCGGTCTCTCTACTACTACCTGAGCCTCCCCAGCCCGCAATAGTGAGAGGGCAAGCCGGAACGGGAGGAGGGTTCGTCGTGCAACACAGACATACCAAGAGTGAGCCCCAGAGGATCTTGAGGGTCACGAACCCAAGCCCGACAACTAGCTCTGCTAGGCCTACACCTATACCTAGAACGCAGTCAACCTCGACGAAGAACAGACAGGTATCAACGGAGTCGACACTCTCTGATATCCTCAGATCAACGGAAAGGAGGCTTCAGGAAGGCGGTACCAGCGGAGTGTCGCGGCGAAACCGAGCGACGATAGCAGCGGTATCTGGTCCCCATCGCGGTCTTTCTTTGCATGTGGCCAAGAGACTTGAGGAAAGCCGTGACCCTGGTCTTCGACGAAGCGAGTCCCTCAAGGAAACTCGAAGGACTCGAACGGAACACGAACTCCCCGTCATCAGCCCATCAAGCAGCGGCCTAGTGGCACCGCTGACACTCGTGCCCAAATCATCGGGACAGCGGCAGCGGCCAGACTCGCGGGAATCATCGTCTTCAGAGCCGGACAGTCTCCTGGCCGAGCCTGCCTACTCAGAGATGCCGTCAGGACTCACGAGTCCAAGTCGGGTCTCGAGCATAGCCGGGGCTTCGAGCGTTGCCGAGACAGAGATCGAGATGCTCCTCATGACTGTGGATGTGCCGTCGAACCGCAATTCCATGACCTCGGCAGCATCTCTTTCCACTATTCATAGCGAGGACGAATCATCTGAGGGGGGAGCAAGAGTGTCAGCAGGAACCAAGATGCCATCTCCTGACCGTGCTGCTATGGTGGCAGGAACCGGAAGACCCGCGGTAACCCTACAGACTTCCAAGGTCAACAATGAGCGATTCACCTTGCCCGCTCCGTTGTCTGCTGTTAATGCATCTGCCCCTTCTCTACCCTCTGGATCCTCTACCCGGCCCTTCACGAGCTACGGGTGTCCTGTACCGAGACCTCTTTCAACAAGGTCTCAGGGTGAGGCCGAGAGCAACAGGAGATCGTTTGTGCGCAAGTCCATCATAGCACAAGAACCAATTGGCCCCATGCCATCGATGCCTACCAGGCTACTGCCGTGTCCAGGAGTGCCTTCCGGCAAGAACTGCGTGATTGCCCAAACCAGCTGTGGCAAATGGCACACCGCAATGGCGGACCCTTTTCAGATACCAGTCAGCCCGACTTCTCTTCAGGCGTCGACAGACTCCGCAAGTCCGACATCATCTTCGGGTTCCATGATATCAAGGGAGACTCCCAGAGGGCTTCGCTCTCCACCCAACAAGAGCACCACCTACAACAACACGCTGTTGAATTCGATAGTACTCCCACCGCCCACACAACACAGATATGTCGATGCCAAGACGGTGGTGGGAGAGAGCAAACCACCAGCCAGGCCAGGTGTAACTCAAACACCCGAGCGTGAGCGTCGCTGGCCCTTTATAGCCGCACGCACCGGAGCAGAGGACGGTAACAACTACCAGCCCCCCTCACCAACACCACGCTCAGGTTCGCGCCTGTCCCGGCAGCTGTCCTTACAGCAACAACAACGCAAAGCCAGTGAATCATCGTCCGTATACTCGCAAGACATTGCCGCCAACGAAGCATTCAGCCCGGCATCGGTACCAGCGTTCACGATTCCCATTCCATCCAGTCCCACTCGGACATCCCTCCCTCCATCGCCAACATCGGTGGGACTGGCAGCAGCGCAAGCTCTCAACGCTGCCAATTTCCAGAGGAACTCGATCCTCTTTGCCGGAGCCCAGCAGCAGACACCCTCTCGCCGCACTTCACGTACTACGAACGCCAATAGAGTGTCGGGACTATCAGTGCGAGACGTCGAGGAGGTTGGGGAGGACGATAACAAAGAAAATACAGCGGCCACACCAAAAGCCAGCCCCATAGCCGCCACCATTGCCCAGCTCCGACGCATGAACAGCGTCCTCAGCACCGCCTCCAGCGCCTCCAGCGTAAGCAGCATCAACACCGACATGGCTGACGGCGGCGGCAATGGCAACCTGAGCAGACGGAACAGCAGAGTGGGATTATCAGCCAGCCCGACGCAATCGGCACTAAGAGGCGGTGGATTCAACCCGAATCCGAGGCGGGATAGTCACCATAGTTACGGCCATAGACGAAGCGGGAGCAGGAATTACCTGTTTGCGTTGAGCGGCGGTGTTGGCGGTGCTGGAGCCGTGCCGTCGACGACGCCGTCAACACCAAAAGTCTTGAAGAGAGCAGGGGGGAGCGGAAGCGGAAGCGGTAGTGGGGTGTTGCGCCCGATCTCATCAGGGCAAGTGAACGGGCACCACTCACGGACCGGATCGGGATCAGGATCAGGAATAGGGAGGGTGGTGTCTATATCCCGATCTGGGTCGCCGCAGAGGATAACCTTGACTCCATCCCAGGGACACCACCGAAGCCTGGGTGGTTACGGTGGTAATAGCGTCTTGGGGAGTCCCAGCCCGATTAACGTCAACATTCTGAAGAACCGGTTTCAGTTTGACGACGATGACGATAATGATAATAATAACGAAGGCGGAAGGGCCGGTAATGTTAATGGTATCACCACCCAAACGCAGGGCGGCAGTGGCTTTTTGGCAGGCAGGAAGAAGGATGAGGGCGAAGAAGAGGAGAGTAAGAAGAAGCTTCCGGTCAGATTCGCGTTGCCGAATTCTTCCCCTGCCAGTATTGGGTTGACGGTGAATTCACCCCCGTCATCGCCGTCGCCGAGGTCGAAGCAGGTTCAGACGGGCATGGTGTACGTGACGCCGAAGGGAGGGCGTTGGAGGCAGAGTAATGAGAGTCTGGGACTTTATGACCGGGACGGCTTCTTGATTAATTCGCCTAGTCGGCCTTCTGGAGCGAGTCCGAGTTCGGTGCGCGCTTAGGCGGTAACGGTCAAATGGGGATAAGGGTGTGAGGAGTGATGGACTATTCAGAGGAGTTGTGGTGTAATTGATGGCGGCGTTTCTGTCTTGTTCAGTTTGAGGTGGCATTTTGTTATTTGTTAACCATACCCGGCGTGCTTTTTTGCTGAACAAAGTTCGGCGTGTTTTCCTGTATATATTGGACTCAAATTTCACACAAGGTTTTGGCAATTTTCGGATTGATGACAACTTATTTGAACCGAAACATGAATCAAGTGAGAAGGATGTTGTTGTTTGCATGTTGATGGTCAAGATGAAGTTGGCAAGAAGTGGAAGCCGTCCTTTGCTCTGATTGGCTCCTTGCTTGGCCAGGCAGCTGCCAATTGCGTACCAGACAACCGCCACCAGCTGCAATTGGACAGTTCAGTGGGTTGGGCTTACACTGCCGATGTAGGTTCGAGACCTGATACAGCCTCAGTCAACACTTCCCGTTCACAACCTTGCCTCAAGGTTCAGCCCCAACATATTCTTTCCATCAGCTTGCTTAACTATAATATTCGATAATTATCATACATAACTTCTCATTTGCCCTTTCTTTGCTCACCCATCCGCTGGATTAACCACGTCTGAATCTAATCGACTTCATCACCATTCACCAACTCGAACCACCAACCCGAACCATCATCACCACCAAAACAACAACAACAACAAGCAACAATGCCCCCCCTCCCCCACCAACACGTCCCCCGCCTCATAACCTACTACCAAACCCACCACACCCCCTCCGGCGACCACATCTCCGTCCTCCCCTTGCTCCAAAAACCCGGCATCCATCTCACCCACCTGATCCTAGCCGCCATCCACATCAACTCCGACCCCGAAGGCATCACCCTGAACGACCATCCGCCCTCACACGAACGCTTCACAACACTATGGGCCGAGCTCCGCATCCTTCAAGCCTCAGGCATCAAAGTCCTCGGCATGCTCGGCGGCGCAGCCAAGGGCAGCTTCGCACGCCTCGATGTCCCTGCTGATCCAGACTCCCCCAACGACAAGACGGCTTTGGACCGTTTTGAGCTTTACTACCAACCCCTTTGCCGGCTGATCAAAGAGCGGGGGCTAGACGGCCTAGACCTGGACGTCGAAGAAGAGATGTCCCTTTCGGGAGTAATCCACCTGATCGACCGCCTCCGCAAGGACTTTGAGCCGGACTTCCTCATCACCCTCGCACCCGTAGCGGCCGCGATGTTGAACCCACGACACAACTTATCGGGATTCGACTACGAGGCGCTGGAGGTGATGCGCGGTCGCGAAATCGCGTGGTACAACACGCAGTTCTACTGCGGGTGGGGGGATTGTAGTAATCCGGTCATGTATGAGATGATGGTGATGAAAGGGTGGGCACCGGAGAAGATTGTTGTGGGTTTAATCACGAACCCGGAGAATGGCGGGGGGTGGGTGCCGTGGCGGGCGCTGGCGGGCGTCCTGCCGCTGCTGGTAGGGCGGCATCCAAGGTTTGGGGGTGTGATGGGGTGGGAGTACTTCAATAGCCTACCCGGGTCAAGGGAGAGGCCGTGGGAGTGGGCGCAGGTCATGACGGCGCTGTTGAGGGGGAGGCAAGCGTCGGACGCGGGCGCGCAGCTGCTGGTTGGGTTGGGGGCTCCTTTGCATCTTGATGTTGCACAGCAGCAGCACCAGCAACAAGAACAACAACAACAACAAGCAAAACAGCGTCAACAAACCGAACAACAAGAGAAGGAAGGAGGAGTGGCTGGGCTAGTGGACAAGGACGAAGTGGACGCGCCCATTGCAGTGCCCAATTCGTTTGACTACCACACTGATGCAGAAGATGAGGATGAGTAGGTAGAGACACGAGGCAGACCTTACACTACAAGACCAAAGCGTTCGATTCCCAACAACGCCAACGGGATCACATGTGAAGAAAACTCTGTTTGATGGCAGCACGGGGTCTACCGGTAAACGGCGTGTAAATCTTTACAGAACCCGTCTTTGAGGAGTCCAGTCCCATCCAAAACCGCACAGCACGTTTACGCAGACATGACTAATAGCTTAGGGTAACCGGCCGAACCGGTAAAATGAGGGTCCAGGGGTTCATCCCATCTCAGAGTCAGGAGGGCTTATCAATGCCCTCGGCGTCTCAACACAACAGGTTGATGTGATTGCACCGTGCAGGATTTCTGCGAGATCGGCCTTGTTTTTGCCCGGAATGGTGACCTGATGCCGTCGTGACTTGGACACTTTGGGCAAGTGGTTGACCCACAACACCCACGACGGGAATGCCCTCAAGATCCCCAACATGTGCCCAGGGCCCTGAGGATCGGACCCTGTGAGGGGCTGCTGTCGGAAGGAGGGCATTCCGGGATGATAAGCTCCATTCCGAGTGGCCTTGGCCCACCGACAAGCTCGAGCTGCCAGTTGCCAGTAGTGTAATCCGAGGCCAACTTTCCCGGCTCAGATTCCGGAGGCTGCGACTGGTAAACCAACCAAGAAAAGGAAAACTAGTGTAGCAGTCTGCAATGCTCGGAGACTTGATGGCGCCAAGATTCTGTCCCCTCCTCTTTGCAGTCCAACAGTCATCTGGGTGTATGCCAGCGGTCTGGTGCTGTGGAAAATCCATATTCGAATTCCTTTTCTTTTTGATATGTTGAATTTGCTCAATAAAATACCTGAGAGAATTTGACTGCAGTGAAGGGATATACATGTGTAATAAGCTGAGGTGGACCAAACCTTGATATATCTTCTTTGTGAGATGCAAACCATGGTAAAAGAGATCCATGGCCCTTGGCTGAATCTGTTTACGAAACTGACACAAGATAGGTCCCTTGAGCAAAATGACTCGGAGTTCAGCAAATGCCGAATCTCTGCCCCAGTTCCGTTTTCTTTCAGCTTTGGGAAAACGTGTTCTGGTCGATGCGGTCAAACGTCCTTTTGATATTCAACCGATGACGAAAAGCATGACATCGTGTTCAGCATCTCACCTTACCCAGATTCCCCATGCGCAGCGGTGCACGTTCCCTCGTTTTTTTTAAGGGGTGTGACGTTGGGAACTCCCATCGTTTCAGGGGTCCCAACCTGCCAACCCAAATTGCGGCTGCGTGACGCCACCCTATGATGTCCCACAGACGCGAGTGAACAGGAGCTAACGTCAGGGACGATAGGATCATACCTAGGTTACCTGGTAGCCGCATCTCTCACGAGTGACGTTGTCCGGTCGACAAGGGGAATACGACACAGGTACAAACACGTCGTACAATGATGCCAGAGCTGACGCCGACGGAGACGACAAAAGACAGCTTTGAGGTCATGTCATCTTTGGGGACGTTTGCGATGCTGTCATCGGCGGGACGGGGAGACGGGACCGAGGGGACGTGTTACGGACAGCGACGTCAGTCGGTAGGAGCCAGAGGGGGGAAGGGGGGGTGTGCAAACTGAAGAGCGAGTGTTGTTGCAGTGGCGAGCAAGCGAGGCCGAACTTATCGCCGTGAGCCGCCCGTCAGCGTCAGCGGGCTGCGTCAGAAGAGGGCTGAGAAGGGAGCCGGAGAAAAGGCCGTTTGACGTCAAGGCGGGTGCTGTCCCCGGAGGCTGAGATCATGCCAGTTTGGCGGCAGCGCCAGGTCCCCGAGTTTAGGGGTCCAATATTCCCAATACGGGGTGAGTGTGACGGGCTTTGTTCCCCTGTCGTTCGGTGCCGTTGGCGGCTCTCCCTTGATGATGACGGCACGGGATGAGGTTCTAGAATGCCTATGACAGCAGAGGGTCCATGGGAGACAATGGACTATTGGGAGATCATCATCATCAAAGCGGCTCCTTTGTTCGGTGTTAGTGAAAGGGACTAAGAAGCCATGTGTTTGTGGGAGGTTAGAGACGTCAAGCAATGACGACAATGGGCCGCGGAGGCGATTTGTTTACCGTTTGTTTGGTCGCACAAAGACACATCGCGAAGTGAGGTCGGCTCTGGCGTCACTTGTTGGGTTAAGCTTCAATCCATGTTCGGCAAACAGGCCAATGAGTGTTCAAGGTTCCTGCACCCGAGAGCCGGACTGGTGCTTCTCGCTTCTCCTCCAGACTCGGCAATCCAATGATCCACTCCTTTCCTCATCGCTGGGAATCTGGAGGGCAGGAAGAGCAAAGCCAAGAAGTACAAATGGAAGTAACCGTGGAGGTTGCAATCCTGCGCAAAGGAAACAACAACCGAGAAAGATGAAATGAGATCAGGCAGATCCGGAGAGAGAAGTGACAGGCAGGCAGGCAGAATTTGGCCAGAATTCAAAGTGAATTCGAACTGAATGCGAAAGGAGCAAAGAGTTGCAAAATTCGGCCAGCTGTCGACAGGGGCACGGCAAGTACCTTGTGGGGCAGGCACAGCAGATGGCCGCTAAAAGAGCCAAGACCAGAGCTAGCAGGGATCTACAAGTGACCGTGGCCTGAGACTGATGTCATCCTACCTCGCCGCATGGGTGGCGCCTTCTGACCTCACGGCAACAGCTTTTTGCGAAAGCTCGTCGTCCACATCATGCCTCGCCAACACTGTTCGCTGTCCGAGTCCACCTCTGGAGAAGGTGCTGAGTTTTCACCGTACTGCGTAGGTGGTTGTTAGGGCAGTTGCGACTTGCTACCATCAGGATATCGTCATTACCGGGAGCTTCCTTCGTTTCATTGCCTCCGGATTACTTTTGGCTGTGAATTCGGTGAAGTTTTCTAGTTCTGCTCTTTCATGTGCAATTGTCTCCATTTTGAGGCTTCAACTTCCACTTTGCTGTCGTTGTCTCCCCCTCTACACTACCGAAGGGATCAGGTGATGAAGCCTGTGCAAGTTCAGCGGCGCTGTGTGCTAAGCTATCCCACTGTGTGACACCACTTTCCGATAATAAGCAACGCAGGGACCTTGGCCGCCTGAATGGGAATTTGGAAAAATGCCCAATCCCCAGCAGACTCAAAATGGCTTCATTCCAATGGTAAACACGAAAATGCCATGTTTTCCCTGGTCGTTGTCCTCGCTTCCCGGCGTCAGCCATGCCGGCCTGCCAACTTTTGGTCCCCTCCTCGAGCCCTTCTCCTCGAAACCTCGGGGTTGAAACACCCGTCGCCGACCCATTGGCCGATGGCTCAACTTTTCAGCTGCCGTTCTGGCTTCCGAATTGCGGACAACTAGTAAAGCGAGCTGACAGCCGAAGAATGGCGGTACTGTGTCAAAATGGCTTCTCCTTAACAATGCGTCGCCCACTTGGCCCAACCGTCAACACCAGATACCGGTACTGTGTACTGATAGGCATCGATTATCGCGGCCAGAACCTTTCTCCCTGCATTAGAGAGGGGGGAAGGAGCATTCGAGGAGCAGAAGGGTCCGCTTCTTTTGTCGCTCAACCACTGACATCATGGCAAACCGCGAATCCCTTCTTGACTCGGACACGGGAAATACGCCGATCTCTGTTTTTGGCCTGCAGTCAGGTGTCGTCAAGTTATCAGATGGTAAGCCCTAGATACTGGTAGAGAGAGGTACTGTGCACACACTCCCACTCACACTCACACAATTCGCCTCTCGCGGTCTCCCGCGTCACGGCCTGTTCCCTTCTTCTTCTTCTTCCACTTTGCCCAGTCCTCACCGTACCGCATACGGAATCCCTTCATTTCTTTTTACTCACACGTATGCTCCACGGTTCCGAAAGAGCTCTGGTGAAACTACCGGCGTGCAAATACCCACAATGATCTTCCTCGCGCTCTCTTGCCCTGAGCTAGTGGCCAATAGAATGACCTCATCTACACACACCATCAATCTCCCCAAGACACTCCAATGACTTGGGATCAGCAGGGTCTTGCTCTTTTGGGCGTCGGTCACTTGCTCCAGAAGAACCATTGGAACCCGTCCCGTAGGCGGAATCTCCGCCATACGCTCTCATGGCTTTAGGAGATGCTACCATCTCAACTACTATGGACCGTCTCTTCACTTTACCGTCCAGGCCCTCGCGCCGAGGACAACGAGGCAGCCCAAGACTAACTGGCCAACAGACGGTGAGATGGTGAGACTCTTCGCTCGCTCAGCCTCCACAGTCTAGCCAACAGGTACCCGAACATTGGCAGAGACGGCTTTGCAGTACCACGGGGACTCACAAGGGCCCGAAGGAGCCATATCCATATGGTGTCGGCTACAAGCCAGTTAAGCCTGGAGATTGATTGGATCAGAGGCGGAGCTTTTACGCCATCTCGTGCTCCCGTAGGCCACGGTCCCCCATGTTAACGGCGTTCATCACTGTCGATCACCAAGCCCAATCGAAACAGCAGTTGTGGGTAGCATTGCCAAAAAGACGCATTGTGCTGGACATGAAGACGACACAGAGAAAAAGGTACGGGAATTCTTCTCCTTAGTCATCGTCCTGTTGGGGGAGGGGGGTGTGTGAGTTGACGGCACCGTGGTGGGTTTGCTGTGCACGCCCCTCCCTCCCATTGACCCCTTCTTGGCTCTTCTGCCACCCGAGATCTGACCTGACAGCCGCGGGCGAAAAAAAATAAACCCAAAGAGCAAAGAGAAAAAAAGAGGGGAACGCAGATCACCTCATGGTGACGGAGGAGTCCAAGGAAGAGAGGGACCGCGGGGGAAGAGAGAATCCTTTCACCCTCCCCTCCTTGCACTTTGGCACTTTGGCACTTTGGCACTCTGGCACTGCTTCCTGGCACTGCTTTCTTTCCAGACCCTCACCAAATTCAGTCTCCATCCCCATCTTCTGACCACCCCTTCCACTTCTTTTTGCGTGTTCGACCAACCGTTGCCCCGCTGCTGGCTCCTTGCCCCCTCTTGATAACACCCCTACCTTGAGTTTAGTGTGGGCCGCATCAGCGCATCAGTGCAAACCCATTCCCGCCCTAGCGTACTGTCGTCGCCTTATGAGATTAGCTTTTTTCGAGCCAAGCCATCTGTTATATAGTTCCCCTCCTCCTTCTTTCCCCAGACCCTCCGTTCATCCGTCTTCTCGACATCTTCATCCAGCTGAAACTTCCTCAACACAACCAACCAATACAAAACTTTTTCCTAGGTCATCTTTCCTAGCGTCATTCTCCTTACCGTTTAAGCCCTACAACTCCAAGACATCCGGCAACCAAAAGCTTAGCTGCCCAACGCCAACGCAAAAAGCACACCTCATCTACCACCAACAACCACAACGACAAACCTCCACAGAGAAATGTCGGCTGCTGCCCAGAACTCTGCCTACTCCATCACCATGTCTCCTCCTCCTCCCTTCGACCTGGGCTCCTACTCCCGCTCCATGCATCAGCATACCAAGCGCCAGATGGAGGCCGCTTCCCAGACAAACCTGCCCAGGTCCTCGAGGTCGCCTTCCAACAACCAGAACTCCAACGGCCAAAGCCAATCGAACGCCACACCAAGTCTGCCTAACGGTGTCTCGGGTACTGGCTCGAGGAACCCCAGCGAGTACAGCTATCAATCGTGAAAGCTGGTCCGAGCGTGTGAGGAGGAATGGAATGGTTGATTGAGCACACTCCACTCTTCACCACCAAACCCGCACCCAGGACCAGGCCTTGCTCATTGCTGTCATTTTTAAAAAAGGATGACATCAATGCTCCTGAAAAACAACGTCAGAGCGGCCCGCTGCAGTATACTACTGCACGCCGGAAAAAAGCAAGGTGTGCATGCGACAGGCAGGATATGACGAGCACACATACATGATGCAAGATCTTCTCGGAGATCTGGTCTCGGTCATGCCTCTCGCGTCCTGGTCCATTGAGCCACAAAGGTATATGTCGCATGCAAACCTTTTGGTGTCGGGTTTCGGCGGTGGTTGTTGTCTTCTGATGCTTTCGTCATGTAATTTGGGTTATCGATTGAAGGGAGCTTATATCTCCTTCGTATATTGGTGGCTTGGGAAACTTGGCGGGTCTTGTCTTTTGTTTTTCTTTTCTTTGTTATCTCTGGCACGGCGTTATCATGGGAGACGGAAAGGTTATATATCTAAAGGGGAAAGCCAAGTCGTTATCATACGTGTACGGGGCTTGTTTCTGAAGCCATGACATTTGGGATCTGGCAGGGGAAACTTTTTGGGGATTGTACATATTAGTCGCCAGATTTCCCGGAATGATTGATGATTAATACTCATTCATGATCTGCGGTTCATCGTGTCCTGAAAGATGATGTGAAAACACGAGTTGCGCTACCATGCTTGCTCTATCTAACTAATGTGAGTGTGTGGGTTTGTCAATTGGCGGTATTGACTGTAGAAGTAAACTCACTGGGTATCAACATGCATCTCCACGTCGATCATGTTCGCTGCGATGTACACTAGAAGGCTCAAAGAATGGCCGTAGCGGACCGCCCCTCGTAGCATTCGACAATCTGCAATCTCTGCAATTCATCCTGGGAGTCATGGAGCCTCTCCACACCCTGACGTACTGACGCCGAGAATTTCAAATCAAGGTATCCTGACTTCCGCCCGGTTTGTTTCCTCAGACCAGGGGTTGCTTCTTCTTGATACCAAGCAAGGCCGAGTGATCCTTCTTTTTCTTGACCTGTCGCTTGAAACTGGGAGGCGGCATATCGGTCGCAGCGGCTGATGTCGGGTTCGAAGCCGTAGCCGCGGCTGCCGCCGACGAGGTTGTTGACGGACCAGCAGCAGCACTGGAGGAAGAAGAACCAGACGAGCCCTCCCCATTTGTCACCGCCGACCCAGGTACACCCGGAAGACCCAGCACCTCGTCCTCCGCCGGCCCTTCCTCCAGCTTCTGCTGCAACCTCGCAAACTCAAACGCCTTCCTCGCCGCCTCGGCATCCTCCTCCTCCTCCCTCCTCCTCCTCTCCTCCTCCTCGCTCAATCCCCTCCCACCAAGTACACTCTCAAGATCCACCCCCCCTTCCCTCTGCGCTTTTTCGAGTCTCGCATTCCGACTCCGAATCTCATCCAACGCATCCGCAACCGCCATCTCCCTTTTGGCGTCAGCCGTCTTTTGCTCCAACTCCGCCATCGCATTTCTTTCTTCTGCAGCAGCCGCCCCCTCCCCATTCTCATCCGCCATCTCCCTCTCAATCCTGTCCAGTCTCTGCTCATCCGTCTCCTCCAATTCCCCTTCCAGCCCGCGGCGCCACGGCTCCGTATTCCGCTTGGCGCCCTTTTCGACAGCGTAGTCCTGGTTTTTGGGATCGGTCCGGAACACGATCTCGGCCGAACAGCGCGTGCACCGGATGTAGAAGCGGTAGATCTGGATGTTGAGGTAGCGCTCGTCGGCCGGGGTTTCCTTGCGCGCGTTGAACTTGCGCCCTTTGTACATGTATTCGCCGCAGGAGGAGCAGCGGAGGGAGAAGGGGGCCATGAGGCGGACGGTTTGGACTTTGGGGCCGGTTTGCTTGGGTTGCCGCGAGCGGCCGACGAGGGAGGGGTCGAAGTCCGGGGGGTAGTATTTGGTTAGGACTTTGCGTTCGGACATTTTGAGGGTGGTTGGTCAGGGGGTGGATTTGGTTGGGGTTGTTGTTGATGATTTAATTAAGGTCGAAAGATCGAGTGTTTCGTTGGTCACTTTGGTGAACAGCGAGTGCGAAGCATATGTAGGTGGTGCGAGATGCTAGGCGCTAGTAGCGTTCTAGGAGTGTTGAGGCGGGTGTAAATCGCGCGACAGACGTTTGGTGTCGTGAAACTCGTGAAACTCGACAAAGGGATGTCGTTGAAAGTCGGAAATTCGGCAAAGGGAAGCGGAAAGGTAAGGTCGTTAGGTTGTTGCTGGGTCGGATAAGCAGCAGATCGAGATCGCGATCCCCCAAGACCCCAAGACGGACCGGACTTATCCATCAAGGTGGGCGCGCCACGTGAGGCTGGAGATTGCGGGAAGCGCCAGGCAGGCAAACCCGAAATGGGTGCAGGAACGGGAGCTTGTGCCACGCCTGCGCCCCACTTTCCGCTGTCAGATTTAAAGTTTCATCGGTGTTAACGGGCAGACGGAATACAGATAGTCGAGCTCAGTTTGATCAGCCTCTTCTTCCTTGGATGTGAGATACGCTCGGTATGGATGGTTGCATTTTTCTCGCAGGGAAGTATAAACTCGATCAGCGCGGATTATGTTGCATATGGTCGATCAACTGTGGCTTTGTTGCTCTCTGTCGCTGATCTTTGTGCACATCTTTTGGCGGTCGCATAACAGCTGTGTGGTCTCTGAGGGTTAGGGTTAGTGAAGGTTACCTTCCTTTTTAACCCACTGCGCGCTTGTGAACTTGGTGGATTCCTCCCGTTAACACGAACCGCAACTTGAACGAGAACCGTTCATATCACTGGTGGTTCAAAGACTTGAACAAGGTCATATTTGAAGGAGTGAATCATCACTTTCATATCTACTTCCTCATTGCGTCTAGCATCTGGTAAAGTTAGTCGGTATTCCAGGTATCCAAAACGCGTCAATCACATACTATCACGTAGTTGCCTGGCATGAGATAATCCCATCACCACCCGCGGCATCAACGCCGAGATGAAGTCAACCAAACATAAACAATAACACAATGGTCCAGAGCTGAAACAGAAAAAACATCACGATGGATGAGTACGACAACAATACTTCTCATGGGAAAGACAACTTTCCCCGAAAGATCCTTTCCCAGCTTCTTGGCTCAAACGGTAGGTTTCTCACCTTCACCAGCCCTCTTATCTCAATGAACAACTGAAAAATCCCCAACTAACCACACCCCCTTCACCCACACAGGCCCCGTCCACGCAGTAACCTACTCGGCCTCCCCAGGGACTTACATCCTCACCGGATCCGCCGACCGATCCATCCGTCTCTACAACCCCATCCCTTCTTCTTCCACCACCACCACCACCTCCACCTTCATCACCAAACCCTCCTCCCTCTCCCCCCACCCATCAACCGCACCCCCACAAGGCCGTCTAATCCAAACCTACACCGCCCACGGCTACGAAGTCCTCTCCCTATCCGTCTCCTCCTCCAACGCCACCTTCGCCTCCTCAGGTGGCGACCGCGCCGTCTTCCTCTGGGACGTGTCCACAGCCACCACCATCCGCCGTTTTTCCAACCAGGGCCACACGACGGGGCGGATCAACAGCGTCATTTTCGCCGGCGTCGACGACTCGCTTTTGATAAGCGGAGGGCACGACACCACGGTGCGGATATGGGATGTGCGCTCGCAGAGTTCGAGTAGACCCGTGCAAGTGCTGGGGGAGGCGAAGGATGGGGTTACTTCTCTTGTTACTCCTGTTGCAGGAGCAGAAGTGATTGCGGGGAGTGTGGATGGACGGGTTCGGACGTATGATGTGCGGATGGGAAGACTTGTGACGGATGTTTTTCCGGGGGCGGTGACGAGTTTGTGTTTGGCGAGGGATGGGAAGACGGTTCTTGTGGGGACTTTGGATAGTAAGATCCGGTTGATGGATAGGAGCAATGGGCAGTGTTTGAGGACGTACGGCGGCGGGAACGGGGATGTTGGCGCTGGTGGTGGGGGGTGGACGAATAAGGAGATTAGGGTGCAGAGCGTGTTGGGAGGTGGGGAGAGGTGGGTTGTTGCTGGTGATGAGAACGGAGCGGAGAACTCGAATGGAGAGGGACGGGTGTGGGCTTGGGATCTCTTGAGTGGCAGGCTGGTGGCTAAGCTTGGGGTTCCGTGGGGACCGGGTGGTGGGAAGGTTGTGGTGAGAAGGGATGGAAAAGAAAAGGAGCGCAAGAATGTGGTCAGTTGTGTTGCGTGGAAGGATGGTGGGTTTGGGAATCAGTTTTGTGTCGGCGGCACGTCGGGGGTGGTGACGGTGTATGGAGAAGCGTGATCATCAATGTATCGATATCTGAGAGCTCGTACAGTCGTTCATGTTCTCACTTGATGACAGATCCCATACCAACCTGGTATATGGGAAGGGTCAGGACACATAGTGCGTCACGTAGCATACCATGCTGGTGCGAATTGTTTCATCTTTTCCGAGCAAAATATATTCAACAAGTGTAAGCCATCCCGAATCCTGTAACAATCTGAACCCTCTTCTTTTATTCAGAACATGTGTATCCGCAGCATCTTCAATGGCATAAAGCCGCCCTGAGCATCCAAGAACACACTCCGTAACCACCGTTTTGATCATATGTCGCGCATCCGGAATTCGTCATTAATTTAGTATGTACAAGCATCATTAGATGGCTGGATTCCGCCAGCGACAGACAACCTCCTTCGTCAGTTCCATAAGCGTATGTATCCCGAAAGCATGTCATATGCAACGCCGCAAGGCTACGTAGCCGGCTATGATACAGTTAGCGCGGCCCGGAGGCTTTTCAGTGTCGAGAAACCAGCCCGGGCTAACGCCCCATTACTGTTTGGTGTTTTACTTTTTTCAATGTGTTTGTCGTTTGGGTTCGGTTACCAGCTTAGCCCATGCCGACGTACTTGAACCAGTTGGGTCTGCAGTCTTCCCTGTTGAGCCAGGCCTCGCCATCGGTGAAACGGCCGGTAACGCAGCCCTTGCACTTGGGCGAGTTGGGGCAGTTGAAGAAGGGAATATGCTGATAGCCAATATCGCGGAACCTGGAGAAAAGCGAATGGTCAGCACAAGTCTTTGGTGCCAAGTTTTCAAGCACACTTACCAATGAATCTTGCTAGAGTCCTCAAAGAGACCCAGGGCAATACTGTGAACGGGCGCGTCACCCCAACGCTCGTAGAAGAAGCCACCGGCGCGGTCCAAGTGGTTGAAATAATCCTCGTACGCCTTGCTGCGCCAAAAGTTCATATCGCCAATCTCAAAGTTGCTCCAAAAGTGACATGTCGAATAACCATTGGCATCCTTGGTATGGTCGGGACGGCGGGTCTTGTCCGTCAACCAGTTCATGGCGCTGTTCTCGTGCACATACTCGGGGTGCTCGGCCAGGAACTTTTCGGTTTCGGGCCACAGAGTCGTGATGGAGGCCGGGGCGTCATACAGGTTGATGGTGAAGCCGTACGTCTTGTTGCTGTCGTGCATGTAGCGGAAAACGTCATAGTCGACATCGCAGAAGAAGTGAACGTTGGGCTCGACGCGCCAGTAGTACTGTGTGTTGGCCAGGGCCGGGTGCTTGTAGAACATGCCGCTGTTCCACCGGCACATTTGGTGATACGAGATCTTGTCGGCATACTGAATCTTCTTTTCTTCGAGGATCTTGACCGATTCGTCGTACAGGTCCTGGTTAATCCACGATGGCATTTCCCAGTGCTCCTTGGGGATAAGTTCTGTAACCATCGCAACGATGTCAGCCCGTCTGCTCCATGTATCATACCGTGTGGGTGGCTACACCGCCTTACGTACCGTATCTGACCTCGGCCTTGGTTACCGCGCGCGTTCTCTTCTTGAACTCTTCGGAAAAGGGCACGTCGTTGAAAAAGGTCCAGGGGTAGTTGAACTTGTGGTTCCATGTCCGCTCGAGATCGCGCATCGCCTGTAGCATGCCGTCCAGCTCCTCGTTTCGTACCAGCGCCAACAGGGTGGCGTTGATTCTGGCCGAGTTCGTTGCGCCCGGCGCATAGTCTTCGGAAGCGCGAACTAGCTTCCCTTCGGGCTCTCCCGTAGCTGTGCGATGCGCAAGAGCAGATTAGCATCAAACAGCAATGCGACTGCGGACAAAATTCACTTACGGTCAAGGTTGGGATCCCGCTCAAAGGACAAGTACTTGTCCTTGGTCATGGCGGTTCCCGATGGCGACAGAAGCTGCCATATGAAGAAACACCAGACGAGCGCAGCCGCCAGGGCCAGGGCTCGTACTGGGCGAGCAATCGCCATTGTGATAGGAGGTTAGGAGACTGGAGTTGTCCAAGTGTCCAACCGAATGGTTCGAGGTGTCACGGCCACGGGGTTGACTACTTCATCTATCAGACGGGGATGTGATGGTGGGATCGCAGCGCGGGGCTCGGCGACGGGCCGATTCTTGTACTGCGATGGCCAGGCTCGGGGGTTGGTTCGGGTGGTGGTGATGACCTGAAAAAGGGGAAGATAACAGGCAGAGTTCTGGAAGCTTGAAAAAGATGGAGATGACAGCGCCGATGTGGTGTTGCTTGTCAGGCGCAGATTGGCACAGGACACATCAAACCCGACGGGACCCGACAGCTGCAGGCAAAAAGGGGATCACTAAAAGTTATAGCGGGCAGTCCCACTGCCGCCACTATCAGCTCCCTATCGGTGCGTCCAGACGGCCGGGATTCGCGTGTCTGAGGCTGATGAGGCGACGGGTGCTTGTTTGCCTCCTTAGCACCACTTCAAAAGCTGGCAAGCAATTCAGGTTGTTTTGGTTGGAATAGGGGTTCATTGAAGCTCTTGGCCGCGGTCTCTTTGACTTGATGCCACCCGATTGGCAACATCGTCGAGTTGGGTGTGGCTTGTTGCTATGGAAGAGGTGGTCTTGCCTGCCCGGGCTTATCGTCGTGATGACCGGGCGATAAGGGAAACAACGAAGGGATGTGGCTGGCCCGTGCGCTTACCTACATATCGTCCGCTGCCCGCTGGAACATGGACGCATGGACGCTGCAGTGCATCAGGTGTGTGAGACCTTCCACTTGTGGGTGAGAACCTCAACAACAACTTCGCTGCAATTCGATTTCTTCCCTTCAAAGCTTTTTCCTCTGCTTTACAAAAAGATGGTCCTGCTCGAGACGTCGAATGTTTTCATTGAGTGAATTGACGTTTGACTGGACCGCCTTCATAATAGGAACCAGTGCATTTCATAGACTGCTAATTTCCCAGCAAGAGCAACTCGGCAACCTGGAAATCAAGCGATGCTAGTGGGTCAAGTCGCGTCTAACACTTGCGACGAAACACCAGTTTAAGCCAGTAGACATTCACTTCTCTTGTCTACTTATTCCATTCTCAGGATGCTCAGTCACTGCAAGGCGGCAGCATGTCATACCTTTCAGAGCTCGCGGCGTTGACCGACGAGCTTATTGATGCCGTTGCCGCCGTCCCAAAGGTCAGTTGTTTTCAATCCCCTTTCCCGGCCATTGCCTGTGTTTACTAACATTGCCATCAGACCCAAAAACGAAAACTTAAGTCTCTGAGGGAATCAACAGTACAAAGTCTGCTCAACCAGAACTTTCTTAGGACGAACCAGTTCGAGGTGCAGAACCGCCTGACAGGGCTTGTGGAACGCTTCCGCATCATCAACAGAGAACCCCTTGGAGACGCCCTTGAGCAACGACTGCATGCACTCAAGCCGCACGTCAACGACTTCACTCCTGAAGTGTTGCAATTTCTCCTAGAGCTGTCCGACAAGCCTGCGCAAAAGTCCAGGCTGAGCGATCTTGAGCGCCTGAAAGAGCCAGAGAAGGATACCGTACCCAAACTGACTTGGCGACAGATTGCCAAGGAAGACGGCTGGCATCAAGAGCGCGCTCTGTGGAAGATTCTCGACCATGCTCCCAGTTCAGACGAAGAAGACTATTATGAGCGCGAGGGGGCGCCTTCTGATGTTTCCATTGCATCTCCAAGCACAGCTTCCTCAGTTCCAGACGATGCTCCACTCGCAGCACAGGACTTGGCCATCAAGCTTCCAAGCGGTGAAGAGTTGCTGAGACGCATCTTAGACAGCCAGAACTGGAGAAATGCTACCCACGACCTTGACTCTGACGGACGACAGAAGAAGACGCCAGTAACAAGTCTTCAACTTCTCCGCGAAGTTGTGTTTATGCTGCGCGGCCTGCCAACCTCTCTTTTTGACTCAGCATGTAAACCTGTCCCGTGCTACATACTGGAGGGAGTTTCGTGGCAGACTTACGATGCTCTGGTGAACACCTTTTCCGAATGTGGCCGAAAGCTCGCCCCGCTGCGCATTTACGCTGGCAAAAAGGAAAAGGAAGAACCACTTCTCCAAGTGTTCCAGGACTCACTCCAAAAGGCTCTTCAGTCATTTGACCAGGAGTTGACTGCCATTCAAGGGCGGTTTGTTGCCATTCACAAGGATGTCATTGTCAGCCTAGTGGCCATCTTGACGGAACTAGGTCCTTCATTATCCCCCCTATATGTCCTCTCCGGTATTGTGCAGCAAGTCCATAGGGAACGCAACACAAAGGCATTCCGTTACCTCGAATTGCTTTATGACGCAGTCGGGATGGCACAAATGGAAGGTAGTCTTGACGCATACAAGCTTCTTGGGACCATTTTTCTAGATTGCTTCCAGGTCTACCTGAAACCAATCCGACTCTGGATGGAGGAAGGGGAACTCCTCGCCGGAGACCGGACCTTTTTTATCGGCAAGTCATCTGCAAGGCCCCAGTTGCACCAAATATGGGAGCAGCAGTTTCACCAACTCGTCAGCTCAGAAGGCGTCTTGAACGCCCCACGGTTCCTGAGTCCTGCTGTTGATCGAATAGTCCGGGCTGGGAAAAGCATTGTGGTCTTGAAACATCTCAAGCGATATTCCCCCGTAGCAGACCGGGTGAAAGCAGACGAGCCGCCCATGGACTTTGCTGCTGTCTGTTCAGATGGCACTAGCTTTGCACCATTTTCGGAGCTCTTTGGCAATGCCTTCAACAAGTGGATTCAGAGCAAGTATCACTCAGCATCGATCACGCTGCTTGATATCCTGTTCGACTCATACGGGCTTTCCCGGGCATTCGACGCTCTTCGATGTCTCTACTTGATGTCCGATGGCGCCACCTCGGATGCTTTCGCCTCGACCATCTTCAGACAGCTGGATAATTTCAGCACGAGTTGGAACGACAAGTTTACACTGACCGAGATTGCTCAGGAGGCATTTTCACAGTGCGTGGCCGGCCATCGCTTGTCTGCCGATATCGACCAACGGTACATCGCCGACAGCCCAGCCGCTTCGCGAGCCTCTGTCCGCAACACCCTCCCAGCTATCCGCCTCATCTATCACCTACCATGGCCTATCCAGATGATCATCAGTCCTGCCGAAGTCAAGGGTTACCAAACAATGTTTGTCTTCCTGCTGCAAACCCGCAGAGCCATATACCTTCTCAAGCACCCGCTCCTGGGAACCACCACCACACCAGCCCGTCACCAATCGACTTACTACCTCCTCCGCACCAAGCTCCTTTGGTTCTGCAACACCATAATGAGCTACCTCACCACCCTCGTTTTCGCGCCCAACATCAACAAAATGGACGAATCCCTGCAACACGCCTTGGACGTCGACGACGTCGGCGAAGTACACTCCAAGTTTCTCGACCGGATCCTGAGCGAGTCCTGCCAGGGGAAACGACTCCGCCCCATCCGCGACTGCATCCTGGACGTGTACGACCTGGCTATCAAGCTCGAGGATAGTCACCAGGCCGAGATGGCCAGGCTGGAGGAGGAGCAGCAGGAAATCTCGAGGCTGTCGACTTTCTCGGCTTCACAGCAGCAGCTACAACAACAAAAACGCAAGACTAGAGCGGGGAGGACGGCTTCGTTGTATAGCAAGACAGGTTTGGGGGTGGGACTTGATGGGGAGGAGGATGGCGATGATGATGAAGAAGAAGAAGGCGACGGTGCTGCTGGTGCTGTGAGGGAGGAGAGGTGGAAGAGGAGTATCATGGAGGACGCCCGCGCAAGGGATAGTAATAAGTCGACGGCCGCGGTCATGAAGGAGATGCATAGCGACTTTGAGCGACATCTTAGGTTTGTCGCGAGCGGACTGAGAGGCGTGGCGAGGGGGAGCAGGGAGGATGCGGCGGCCAAGTGGGATTTGTTGGCCGAGATGCTGGAGGGGGGGATTAAAGAGGCGAGACATGTGTTCTGATTAAGATAGCCGTTACTCGGGGGTTCGTTCGTGACTTGAGGTGGGATATCATCAGTGATTGTAGGGAGGTTGTTAATGCTATATAGAGAGGTGCTGCGTATAACGACTTATTGTGTTCATGCCTTCTACATTGCCTTTCAGTTAAGTTGACAACATCATCGCTGGTCTTGCTTTAGACTTATCGAAGGCTGTAAACCTCGTCTTCACTCAAACCTTCTCCCTCTCCTCGGAAAGCCATTGGGTCCATCGCGACAGGCGATTAACGCAAGCAAAACTCACCAAGAGCCCGCTCCAATCTACCGACAAAGAGAGGAGTAGCGTGGATGAAGTATAGAGGTGGATAAGATCCTGCTGTGCCATAGACTGGAGCATCGCGCAAGGTGTTTGTTTGACACCATCAATCACCGCACCATCAGTCAGCATCACTCATGATTCCAACCACCCCCGTGACATGAGGCATACCCACCCTAGGTAGCTTTCCTTCCATTCTACGACATCTTCTATTTTACTCGACCATCCATCCCCTCGAATAATCCAAGGGTTGGTTATCCGAACAGCTAGCTGCACGGCCCTTTCACAACAAACGGCAAAGTTCCGTTTGACTTCGACTCACATTTTGCTCCATTTGTCTACATATGCATAGATAGGCACATGATATTCTACTCAGCTACTGTACCTAGAGGTACCTATCAGCAACATGCCGTCGGGCCCTAGACCTACATGATGCCGCAACATAGTTGTGCCGCGCTCCAGCAGAAAATTCTATGCGTTCCATGCAATGCAATGCGTCGAAGGATTCTTTCTATCCAACCTTCCATCAAATCTTCCATTCGCTTTCCATTTTCGTTCCATTTTCGTTCCATTTACAAGTAACTTGGTGTGTGCCAACCACCCGACCCCAAAGCCAGCACAACCAAACAGTGACAACCAGAAAACCTTCCGTCGTGCTGCCTTCTAGAAGGACTCTAGAAGGGACTCTAGAAGGTCAGCCAGCCAGCCGCTGCGGTGCGGCGGCGTAGCGGCGTAGCAGACGCATGTCAGATTGTTGTTATGGTGTTACTGCGTCATGCATGGAGTGGAAGGATGACAGACGCACGACGGCAGAAGCAGAAGGGAGCATGGAAAGGATGTGTCAATTCCCTTGCTTGGATGCTGCAGGTGATGGATGATATTGACGATGTGGGTGGGTGGGTGGGTGGGTGACAGCCATGCGGCGCGGCGGGGAGTGCGAGGTGAAGGGAGGGGAAGGGAAGGGAACCTGGAAGGGAAGGGAAATGGAAGGGAAAGAAAGAAAGAAGCAACGAAGGTTCGGAAAGGTGGGGGTTTTTCCGTTACGGGTCGGCATCTGGTCGACACTCGACATCAGAGGCATGAAGTCGGCGTGAGCCGTGAGACGGGCGTGAGATGGAAGTGGAAGTGGAAATGGAAGTGGAAGTGGAAGTGGAAGTGGAAGTGGAAGTGATAGTGATAGTGGCTTGTTTGGTCTGCCATTTGTACCTCTTACTTCATTCAGTACAGTGTTTAACATCGAATTTGTGCCGTGGGTTTTTTTGCTGGATGAGTTGGTGAGAGTAACAAGAACAAAGTCCTTGGACATAAGAAGAGGAAGTGATCATTGATGTCTATCTATGAACACAAAAGGTGAATTAATTGACATGACGATCATTACTTCCTCAACTCCTCGCCTTTCTTCAAGTCCCACTGCATAGGTAATTATCTCTAGGAACAGCCAGCCCCCCGTCGGTCAGCTTTTCAATCAATCACTCACTAACCCGCTGCCGAAGTCATGGTACATGTACATGCAATCTACTGTAGACATAGAGATAGAATCGCTTCGTTCGGTGCTATGCTATGTGCTATTTCCAGCAACCTCTCAATACCTAATTTCCGTTCTCTCGATCACTTGACGTTCCCTCAAGCGGCGGCCAATAACAACGGTACGGTAGTACGACCGAACAATAGAAGACACAGTACACTTGATGCGGCATGTTCGAAATGCTACCTTAATTATTCGAGAACTTTTCGAGAACCCGAACCGACTGAAGGTGGGAGGGGGGCGGTGGGCAGTCTGAACACTGCAGTAAGTGGGGGAGCTGGAGGGAAGAGGGGAACAGGGAAAGAAGGACCGGTTTTTTATTTTCCCTTTGGGAGGAACCGAAGATGGGGAGAGGGAGCCGCGCAAGAATTGGAAAACGGGAAAGGACGATGTCGAGATACGGTTACATTGCGACTGAGAGATGGAAGCTGCCCGAGAAGTGCCAAGACAGCCACCACTCTTTTCCTTTCTTCCTTTCTTCCTTTCTTCCTTTCTTCCTTTCTTCCTTTCTTCCTTCTTCCATGACTTGTACGATCCCGTCCGCCCGTCTCTTCTGCATATCATATCGTAACATACCCGTACCACGGTACCGAAGGTGAGACAACTTAACGCAGCTGCCAGGTAATGTAGAGGTACATACCTCCCGTCGTTACGTTTTGTAACAACGGTACTTACAGGCCGAAGAACCTACTTGCAGGACGTTGACATCCGAAGCATATGTCATAAAAAGGCAACCTGTCAAAAGTGCAGTTTGTAGTCTCTGCCGTCTACTATGTTCGCGATTGCTTGTGTACAAGCGGAGGAGCTGCCGAAAAACCTCCAACGGCAGTTGTAATGGCGTCGAAGTTTTCTGGAAACAGCTGAAGTGTGTTACATGCGAAATGTGTGAACTGCATGCATTGCATGTGCATGTGTGATGACTTGGAGGTTACATGGCATGGAAGGATATTGCATGATATTCTAGAAGCAGCCAAGTGAAAGCATGGAAGCCAAGAGGGCTGACGTTACCGAAGAAGCACAGTGCGAGTGTGCAGTGGCCGCAGTGGCAGCCTCATTGGGAAGAAGAGCCTAGGTAGGAAATGATGGTCTTTGTATACTACCTTGTCTCTACTCCCGTTCGGTACAAAGGGCCTTCAAACGGATAGTCGGCTCAATAGGAGGCAGCACCCAAGCGAATACACGTAGTTTGTAGAAGAATAGACCAGCAGGTTTGAAAGTTAAGGTGATGAGGCGGACGGGTCATTATTATTGATCGGCTGTGCGACTCTTGATGCAGCATAACCGAATCATCATCTCGCTGTTGCGAGAGTAGAGTATTGCGTATAATACAGGCTTCCCAGCCTCCAGGCACCTATTCGTCACCCCTTGACTCTACCTCCAAGCCTCCCGTTCCCGGTGCCCTCATCGAAGCGAGGAAGTCGCATCATCTTCTGCCCCAAACTCAAATGTAGAGTAGTTTTCCAAGCCCCCCTAAGAACAAAAACGCCGACACGCATCTTGCGCGTGTATATGATAGTATGAAAACATGTTTATCATGGTGAAGAGGAGAGAAGAAACCGAAGATGCATCTAGCCGCCAGCTCTACCCAGACACAGGTGTCTTCGACAACATGATTGGTGACCAACGAGTGTAGATGTTGTGAGAAGTCGACAGAGGGAAAAGTCAAGATAGAGAGATCCGAAGAATGGTGGCCCCGAGAAGATTGAGGTCAAATCGATAAGAAACAACAAGAATGAACATGTAAAAAGAAAATCGACTGAAAGCATGCACTGCTTCTTTCCACTCAAGCAGCCACTCAAACACATTAGCCGTACTGCATAGACTCCTTCATTGTACACATCTCCTCATGACAAAAAGAAAAACCAGTCGAACGCGTAGTCTCGTCGCAGAATCAAAAAATACTCTGCATACACATGTTCATAAAAGAACTTGTCGTCATAGAAAGAACCCTTCAAGCCGGCGCCTTCCTTGTTCAAGTTGTCATAGTTCTCGGCGCGTGGATCGTTGGTAGTCCTGCATAGATGCAGTCCATCTCTCTGGGAAACCTCGTCTCAAGCGTTTCACCCATTTGCCAGCAAAGCAAACCTTCTGGAACTGTAGCCGCAACCTGTTGCTCATCCTTTGCGTCACCAACGGTGCCATCCTTCTCATTCTGATAGGTCTTGTCAAGGCCGTCGTCTGAATTTGCAACGTAAACTCGGATTCCCCCAACTTCAAACTCATACTCTGACATATTCCCCCTCCCCCTTCCAACAAGGGGTACGGCAACAGCATCGTCCAGGCCTTCAGTTCTCTCCCTGAGGGCTACCAGCCTGTCCAGCCGGTGATCCAATACCGTCTTGTGCGCCCTTGCATCTTCCCATACCATACCCAGGATCTCCAAGACACTTCGTGCAATGGCAAAACCGTCAATCAATCCCGGAAGCTCTTGTATGTGCCCCTCCGCCGAAAGCACATCCAAGGCCTCAAGGACGGCGAAGCTGGTAAAGGGTGGTGGCATACTGGTACCGTCAAGGCTAGGGCTGCCAGTGGCTCTGATATGGTTTGCAACTGTACACACCAGACCCAGCAACTGATGGGCATTGGTGCGGGCTATGTGTGCATGTTCGGGTCTCTGCATTGACGAAGTCGAGAAACGTGAGTGAATATGTCGATGCGCTTTAACCATGGTGAGGTGGTAAATGAGATGCATCAGGATAAGGGATCCCTTATTTTCCCTTTGTACATTGTCGAGAGTAGCGGCAGTGAAAAGAAAGCTAGGAGAGAGTGAAGTTCTCCAGCTTTCGAGCCGGGATAGTACGCGTTGATGGAACTTGGCCATAACATCCACCTCATCTTCTGATAGGCGATTACCGGAGTGCGCAACCCGGTATATCAAAGCCATAACCTCTCCCCAAAGGGCTACCACCTGAATCAGACAGCCCATCATCCCTACTTTCGTCCCCTTGTCGACTGTCTGTGTCTCCCGGTGCTTCTGGTCTGGCTCAGGAAGTCCAGAAGAGTTGAAGTTCTCAAACGCCGAGACCGGCACAGAAACGTCCTCTTGTTCTTCGAACGAGCCGATATCCATAGGAAGCCGGAGGAAGATGTCGGCTGGGTTGGTGACGGCCATCCGGGTTGGAAAGAGGCCATTTAGTCTTTCCAGTAAGAAACATGACCAAAACGTCCTTCTCCTGCACTCAGCAAAGCCAGCCCTGGCCAATCCATACGGGAATGATTTGAGTCCTACGTCGGGAGACTGATCCAACTCCAGATTCAACTGCAAATAGGCCGCTGCCGAAACGGCGCTACTGGACATTTCGTTGGCATCGATAAGCCTCGAAATAGCCATATAGTAGAGGGAAAGGAGGATTCTCGCCTGGACAAGCTGTAGTGACATCGCTGCGTGCTCTGTTGCGTAACGAGCTACCTGAGCGTAGTGGTTGGTTTTCTCCTTCCTAGGGTCGAGCCCGCCGGACCCAGCGGTCGACAGGAGGGAACCGAGAGCAAGGATGCTATAGACGAGCATCAGATCTTCTGGGGACTTGTTTCTATGGTGAGCGTTGTTCTGTACCCAGGTTTTGAATGCCTTCTCGGGGAGGAATCGGAAGGTCGTGGCATCGGTGGAGACGAAAAAGGAGGTTATGGTGCTGATCACGGACTCAGGATCGGAGACATACGGGTCTATTTGCCATGCACGGCGCACTGCGTCCTCGTGGACGCGGGGAAGTTCAGGCTGACGGTGCCAAGACAAGTTGGACCGGATCATGTGGTCCGCCGCCGGTGCCATAGGCGGTCGGTGTCCCCCTGCGGGAGCGTAGTGGTCGTAGCCTACCCGAAGCCGTTTCGACGGCACGGATGAGGCCATCTCGGGGCTTGCTGGGCGAAGAGTGGTGCGTGGTGAAACAGATTCACTCGAGTGCGCGCTCGTCCTTACATATTCGTGAGGTGGTGGTCGAATTAAGCTGGGCAAGCGGCGCGCATCGTCGACTTCGGCGGGCGGAGTCGAAGGTGAAGTATTGTGTCCACCTCGCGGGCTATATTACACAGGTTTGATATTAGAGGGTGATCTGCTATTTCACAGAACGCGAGCGGTTACTGGGCGAAGGGGGCTGATAACACTTACGCATTCTTGAACTTGCAAGTACGCCCAAACTTCTCGCATTGCGCGCATCGAGGGTAATCTGGATCACACTTGATCTTCTTCTCCCGGCAAGTGATGCAAGCGATTGCCAGCCTCTTTCTCGGCTTCCCAGCTTTTGTCACTCCCCAATGGGCATTGACTTTCTCACCATCAATGACATCTTTGCAACGGGTTCCATCGTCATATATGAAATACGTTTCACCATCGATCTTTTCCTCCTTGACAAATCTCGGCAAAAAATGTGTGCCTGTCCAAATCTTGGGGCCCAATCCATCCTTGCCCACGATGACCTCGGAGGCACCGGTGCTAACTGGTGTTGGTGGTTGCGCAGCCGGCTGCTCGCTACGTAAGCCCAAGCCTTCCTCACGGCTCGGGATGCCGTTCGAAAGCTGACTATGGGCTCGCTCAGTGGGTGATGATCTGTACGATGCGTACTCCCGGTTTCCCAGCGCGTATTCTTGGCCAATTTCGTGACGCAGCGACCATTTGTTCCCAGTGCTGAAACCGGACTGAGAATGAGGCCTTTGAGGCTCCGACTCCCTGACCATGGGTGATAGAGGGCCTGGGAGCGCCCGTAACGGTGGCGGAAAGTGAGGCCGTTCATCAAGTCTGGGATCCGGTGTACTGCGAGGCTGCGAAGTCAATGATGGAGGGGGGAAACAAGATGACGAAGATGCCGAGTAAGACCTATCCCAACTGCCAGCTGGGCCTCGGGGATGATCAAGCGGCGACGACGATGTTGTGTACAATCCTGGACGGTCCGAGAAAGTCGGCGAATGCAATGGGCGAAGCTGCGTTGTAGACGGGCCAAATAGGCTACTCAATGAAGGCAACTGCTGCCGCCCAGCGTTCTGGTTGGTGCCGACGTCTCTCCGGGCTTGTGCCTCGTCGGGACTGTTCGTGGAAGGCATATCGCCTGTCCTGGATACGGGGTCATAATGGGACATGGGCGGGGAGATTGGAACGACGGAGTTCCGGGACCGCTCTTGAAGTTTCCTGAAGTTGAAGGAGGATAGATCTGAATTCGGCAGCTCGGGGGGAGTGGTGGGAATGGATAACCGGTAACGAGTGTCGAGGCAAGAGGTAATCCCCATCGAGAATAATGTTGGTTCAGCTTTGATAGGTCGGTGTCCTTGTTGTCATATCACACCTCAAGAAGCAGGCGGTTAGAGGTAGCCGGGGGGAACCAGCGAGTCTTGATTTCTAATGTGTAGCAAGCCCAACGGTCTGCCGAAGCACACAAAGAGTCGAAGAAGGCGGCTGGCAGCTAGATGTTGGCCGAGTAAAGGTGCATAGGCGGCACAGTTCACTCACAAAGCCCTTGTATATGAGCACATGGAGAGAGCCACTTGGTCGAGCGCTTAACTCTGGATGAGCATAAACGTGAGCGCGTGGGATCGTGGGTGATGATCGGAACTAGCGAAGGATTGGATCGAGGTGCCAACGGTTACAAGGTCCTCGGTAGAGGTGTTGCTGAAGTTGATGTTAGAAATGAAGGAGAGAAGGAAGGATGGAGATCGAAGTGGGAAGCCGAATGAGAAGCCGGGTAGAGCGCTTGTGTCTGAGAAGGCTGTAAGTGGAAAAGGTTCGGATCTTGTATGGGGGTCCCGTGCATCTCCCGGCAAGAGCCTAGACGTCTTTGGTGAAGCAAGCCGCCGTGGGATCCACAGACAAGGCAGGCTAGGAAGAGGACCACAGGACAGGGCTAAAACTACTAGTGCTTTGCGTGGGTATGCTGGGGTAGTGGAACCAGTGTCCAGGAAACCGAGTACATAACGGGAAGGGGCAACCGACGGGGGCCGCAGTGAGTGGTCTGCTGCCTCGCTGCAAGACCTACTATATATCTGGTCCCGGGGTTGGTTGGCGAGTTCTACTGTGTTTAAACGTCCACACGTGCCTCTGAGTTGTGCCGGTTTTTGTGGCCTCTCTCGTCCTGTATCCCAACGTGGAAGCTTATTCGACGGAGAACGACTACTTGAAGCTCGTGCCAGATGGGTTCCGGCACAGCAGCGGCGTGGCGTCTTGTCCCTCTTTGCGTGCAGAAAATATGCGGAAGATAGGAAGCATATAGAGGACACGTAAACTAGTCAGTGTACAGTTGGTATTCGGGAGTCAATCTTTTGGTCTTGAGTAGCTCAAGAAGGAGCTGGCAAGGGGAAATGAGCGAGTCCGTAGAATGGTCTGATATGACCAGAAACGAAGGCTTGGGACTTTGTCAACCCAAGGGAACAAGGAAGAGAAACCAGCAAGTTCCCGGCATCGACTTTGGCGACTCTGCCTTTGCAATCCATCTGCCTATTTCTCATTGAACTGCTAGCCGCATGGGATTATGCCGTAGTCTGTAGAGAGGAGGGGCGTGGGGCAAGCATGTAAGGGGCGTCGGGGCCGACGACGGGAGTTGCACGGACTGGAGTTCTCGGCAGTGGGTACGAAGAGTCCGCGCACGGCGGAGGGAGATGTGATGCCATGACGGGCTACCACGAGGCAAAAGAGGGTTCGGGAAGATAAGGGGCTGTTTAGTGGTTGAGGTTCGTTAACGGATGGTGGGAGGCTTTGGCTTGGGGGATCCGGGACGACAAGGGACGGGAATTGGAACCGGGCATGCCAGTCCAAACAGGGGACGCAGCCAGGATCAGGGGCACGCTACTGTGTAAGATGCAAGTCCAATGCCCAGCCGCCAAGGACGGGACAATGGAAAGCCGTGAGAAGACTTTTTTTTTCTCTTTTTTTTCTGGCTTGTGAGGTGACGGGGAATTGGAACTGGAACTGCAGCCGGGGCTGGGCTGGGCGAGAGCTGGATGGAACCACTGGCAAATACCGTACCGTGACACCAATCGCGGGATGACCGATTCATCTGTTCAAGATGATCTATCTTGTCTCGAGTAGAAAGAAGGTGGCCCGCGTGGGTGAGGAACGTCGTGTGTGTGAGCGGGAGCAACGGGCCTTGCAACGACCCTGATGAGTTCTGTATCGATACCTGCCTGGCCGGTCTGCCCTGCGTGCGTACCGTACAGTGTAGCAGTGTGTGCGGTACACTACCAGGCTCGTAGGTACCTCTACCATCCACCCTCTGTGCTCGCCGGGGATGATACCCTGGACCAGAAGACAAGATACCGGGGAGGGCAGGTAGGGTAGGAAAACAAAAGACGCCTGCAGCTGGAGCCAACTAGCGAGTGATCATGGTAATGGCCGCCTGTCTGCCCCGGTCCTCGTCGCATCAGCCTGCCACCCTGCAGTTGGTGGACTGGTGGAGTGGCTCCCACACACAGCTCCAACAGGACGGCACTTGCAGCCATTGTGTGCTTTTGACGATGGTGTTGGTCTGGATCTCGGCATCGTGGTTCCGCACTGTTTCGAGACGGGTTAGATGGTGTTCGTTATGCCTTGCCACGGGAACCTGAAGAAGCATAAAGATTACCGTCCTACTGCCTCAAACACGCCACGCAGCGGCAGCGTGGCTCGGCGAATAGTGAATCAAAGGACGGATAGGATAGGCAAGGCGCAAGGGAGGAAGGGACATGGTAATGATGGATGATGTCTGGGGTATCGGGAGATGGGGGCATACCTTTGGCTCGCTTTGGCTTCCCCGATGTGGGAAAGAGACCCATGGAGGAACATGTGAGGGAGATGAGGGGGGATACCTCTAGCGTAGGGGTGAAGCCGTTTCTACCGATGAAGAAGGGCACCGTTGGTGGTTACGGCCAAGTATCCCCAAGCATTACCGTCCGGTACTTGCAAAGTAGTCCCACCCACCACTGTGGTTTCTGATGAACCGTTTCCTCTTGATCCGTGCCGCCGCATTATACCCGACTCGCGACTGTCCACACGCAAAGCAGAGCGGAGCCGAAACGGGATTTGGTTTCCTTGACGAGCTGACACTAATCTGACCGGCGATTATAGTGCCAATGGGGTCAATGGATGCCCCGTCCAGGCGGAAAGCTCCGTACGATGATGGATTCCGCCAAGCCCAAAGCTCTCCCCGTTAGACGAGCATTGCTGTATGCTGTATGTCTTGTCTCTGACTGGAATAGCCGGTGGCGTCTTTTCTTCCATTTTTTTCTGTTCTTTCCCTGGTCGGCATGTCTCTGATGCCGTGCTGTCACTAGCGAGATGAGACAAGATCATGCCGCAGCACAGTCGACATCCGACGACTCTCTCTGTTGCTGGTCCAGCCTGGCCCAGCCGATGATGGCTGATCGGCTCGCTGCCATCTTGTCCCGAAATACGATGATCATGACGCTGGTGATGCCGATAATGGTGCAGCAAGCACAGTGCTGAGGACGGCCGGTGTGGCAGCCTGCCGTCTGGAGGTGGTCATTTTATGGAAGCCTGCTGCTGGGTCATTGCAACGAGAGGTTGGCTCGGTTGGAATCCATCCATGAAAAGTTGTTTTTCGAAAAGGTTGCCGAGAGGAAAGAAAAGTGTCCCCGGCTGTTACCCGAACAAGAGGGGAAGTGGAAGCTTTGGCGGGGCTCACACTACACAGTAAACGCGCTAACAGCTCCCTTGCTAGTGTATACCGCCGACGCAAGGCACACTAGCTCGATTAGCTGTAGCATGGGACGGGGTTTGTTAGCGTGCTGTTAACAGGTCCACTGCTTAAAGTGTCTCGAGTCCGACCCTTCCAGTTCCATTCCGTTCAACCACTTGGCACAGTCCAAAGATCCCTCCAAAAGGGAAGGAGAACCTCGTGAAGCTCTCACCGAGTCACCTTCCTCGCTCAGCGCACTCTTAGCGGGCAGGTGATAGGTACCGGGAGACTGCATTTGTTAAGAACTCACCATGTCATGCATGGATCAACATCGATATCTGTGGAAGTACATTGCCAAAGGTTGTTGCTGCAGGTGTTCATTTCCCGAGCTGCAAGGCCAAAAGTTCCTCCCATCATTCATTCCATCGAGGTCAACGTCAGCTTCCCTCCTTCCTCGGCGGTTCTTCAGACACGCGCACAAAGAGGCCAGCACTTGCCATTACACTGAAAGTGACATCCAGGACGCCTGCCTCTGCAAGGCCCTGGGATGCTGGAGGTATCCGCCTCTTTTTCCATTCCATCGTTTCTCCCCGACATCTTTATTGCAGCAGCGAGATTTCAGGATCGCGCGATAACCATTCTTTACAGAGGTACCTATCTCGACGTCAACAGGACTGCGCCACCAAGACACATCTTTCCAGAAAACCATGCCACAACAACGCATACCAGGACGGACGGCCGACAGGTGGAGTGTCTGTGTTTGAGTTCAACAATCATGATGCTGGACGAGAATGCCTTGCATCTCAAGCCGCCCCTTGGACATAAATGGCCAATATCTCGGCAAGACTTGCTCTCTACGCCAGTAAATTCACCTCCCGGCCCGGCACCCATCTGCCTCTCAGATCATCAGATCCCCCTCCCGGCAGCGGAGGTGTTCCCGCTGTCACCACCAGTGTCAGCGTGCAACTACTAGTATACTATGTATACCAGCGGGATAAGGCGGGACGTCTCGCGTCTGGGTTGTACGATACCGCTTTTTCCAGATAAGAGATGTACTGAACCTGGCAGTTTTGGTGAGAAAGAAGCATATGCACGGCGGGATTAGCTGCATATGAGGAACCAGTCCAATGGGATTCCCTCATCTTCCTAGCTAGCGCCTTTGGTAAATCTCTTACAGATGAGTTTTAGCGGTTAGTGGTCTCCCATGCCCCGCGTCTGTTGCCATTACATACCTCCGAGGCTAACCATAATATTGCCGTGGTACGCTGTACGAATGGACGGAATACGCAGATGCCCTGTCCTCCCCGAGGCCTGTCCCCCTGTCTTAGCCGCTGCCTCGAACGGTGTGCGGGTCACGATGCGACGGGCTCGGCATTGGACGTCCTCACTAGCATCCCAATCTCCTGGGATCTGTGGAAGGCGGAGAGCCTGGACACACAACACAGACACACATTGCGTTGCCTTGCCTTGTGCGTGCACAACATTCACAGGCTGAGGACGGACAAGCGGACGACAGGCTCAACAAGCAGGCAGGGGGCAATGACTGCCGTCACCCGTGCTGGCACACAGAAGCTGGGACCCGTAGACATCACTCCACCGAACACCACACAACACGATGCTCGTGGCAGAGATCGAAGCCAGCGAGAACATGTGCCTCACTCCCGCAGTCGGTTCCATGATCCCCAGAGTACTCGGTCTGGAAGGTCGCTCTTCGTCACGGCTACGTAGCCCACCAAGTCGTCACCAATTCGTGTATCCTTGGTGATCATATCGTCCTGTTTAAGTGAACACCAGACCCATCTGGCCCTTTTCAAAGCTATGGGGATAACTTTTGGCAAGTCGGCCATGTAAACCCGATCAGACGCT